TTGAAATGTCATTTTTAATGACAATCAATGAATCCTTTTCACTCTTCAAGGTCTCAATATTTTCACTCAATTCATTATTTGCTTCTTTAAAAGTGCAATTAAGAATTTCCAGGTTCTTTACCTTCCTTTCAAGTAGGAAATTTCTTTCCTTAAGCTTGGAAGTTTCAGTAAAAAAGACATCATACTTTTCACACATACCCAGGTATGACTGGTCATCCTGTTTCCTGTATGACTGGTCATCCTGCCTATCATCTCCAGACACAGATTCATTTTTTGAATCAGATTTTCCTTCCTTAACTACATGAACTCTAGCAATGCTAGAGTTATGAACAGAACCAACAAGGGCAAAATTATTTGTCTCTTCAAAAGATGAAGTGATATAGTTATTGGAATCAACACTATCACTATCACTCCATTGTGCACTAATTGACTCTTCTCTCCCATTAGACTCTATCATGTGGTTATTTGCACATTCCACATCAGTGTGACCAACACCACCACATAGATAGCACTTTACAAGACCCTTCAAACTTTTGTCCTCCCTAAAGCCATAAGAGTCCAAAAAATTCATCTCCTTAAAAACATTGTCTTGAGACACACATGTAGACGAGCTAGGAAGATTTTGACAATTCCTAGTGACTTTGGTTTTACCTTTGACAACCCTTCTATATTTCTGAACAAACAAAGCAAGCTCATCATGAATGCAAGGAGCAATTTGGTCCATTTTTATGTTTGCAAACCTAATACCAATTAGCACCCAAAGGATCTCTCTATTTATATTAAGAGCTGGTGCTCTGATACCAATTGAAAATGGTACTTAGGTGACGAGGGGTAAATTTAAAAGATATTCAACCAAGAACGCAGCAAACTTCACACACTCTAGACCTTGACCAAATACTCTTATGACTAGTCAACTGTCATATATGAATTATACCAAACAATAACATACACAGAGCACACCAAGATGTACCTGCAAGCCTAGAGAATTACTAGTGACAACCTAGGCACTCAGAAGGACCCGTCAATCTAGGCATCCCATGTGCTAGCAACAACTATGGTGAAAGTGTGTGAAGACCAAACAGCAGAATCAAGCAAACACCAAACAGCAGAAAAAGATGACTAGTCAACTGCACAAACCCAGATGACTAGTCAACTGTCAAGAACACAAACCCAGAAAATTTACAGAGTTGGAAACCAGAAACTGTTTACCCAGAAACCCACCATTGGGAAAAACTGGGGGTCATCAACCGACCAGGCAATCCACTAAGTAGAAAAAGATTCTTACAAAGGAACACAAGCAAGCTCAAGAAAAACCTAGATCTATTTAGGAAGATGAGCTATACCTCCTTTGTGCAATCTTCTTCTCCAACTTAGCAAAGCTTGAAGCTCAGTTCTTCATGGCAATGGCAGCTCCTTCTCCAGCTCGTTCATCCCATGACACTAGCTTGCAGGCTCCAACACAAACCGAAACCAAAATTTGGATTCAAAGAAGAATGACCAATTTCTTCAAGAAACCATACTCTTGAAGAAATCAATCTTGAATCTGACCTAGATATAAATGATAGAATGATTTAAGTAGCTAGATGCAGATTTGTGTTTCAAATGCAGTTTTTCAAAAAGAAATCAATTGAAAAAAACTCATAGATGAAATAAGATGGTTCTCTCGAGGAAGAAGAAGCGAAAGATGGCAAGCCAAACTTTCCAAAACTTCCACCCAAAAGAGACAACCCTCAAATGACCAAAAACGTAGCCTTTACAGCCAAAAAATTCCTTAGGTCAGAAAACACAGATGGCAGCAGAGAGAGAGAAAGAGGAACAGGACAAAACAGTTTGTTATCCAGCTGGAAATCCTACAGAGCAAGGATGACTAGTCATCTGAGAAACGGATGACTAGTCATCATTTTTATGAAGACTGTTTTATGAAATGATATGCAATGCACAATACCTTTGTCAAATTGCTTGAACCTCCATACAACAGAAGTTAGAGAAGAGCACCAAGAAAAGTTTTCCTTAATCTAAACTTGAGCTTGATAAATAACAAAACACATTCTATTACAAAGTTGTCAAGGGAAGCCAAAAGAAAATAGTAAAAACCATACATTAACAAGATGGAACTCTGTTCCTCATCATAATCTTACCAGAAAGACAATAACGCACATACACATTAACATCCAAAAAATTGCCTCTGAAATTTGACGACGGCAGCCTCAGATTTGCAATCAGAGAGACAATTGTTTGGAAGTTGATGATATGTATGCGTTTGTGTATCTACACAAACGCACACACACATCAACATCCAAACAATTGCCTCCTAAAATTTCACGACGGCAGCCACAGATTTGCAATCAGAGAGACAATTTTTTGAAAATTGGTGATGTGTGTATGTTTGTGAATCAGATACACAAACATACACACACACCAACATACAAACAATTGCCTCCTAAGAGATGAGGTGAGACAGAGAAAGGGGCAAGAAGAAGTTGAAACCCTAATCAAATACTAAAACTGAAAGAACCCGTGAAAAAAAACCCTATTTATAATTAAAAAACCAAATCCACGTCGGTTATATTACACCTAACGACGTTTAACAAAAAGAATCCACGTCGCGGAACAAATACATTACGTCGTCTTAGTCTTACTTAAGACGACAAAAAAAGACGATTGTATAACAAAAAACAGTCGTTGTTTTTATATTCGTATTTGATTTAAATCAGTCACCCAAAAAAGAAACTTTACAAATTCTAGAACATTAATTTCCTTCATTTTAAATTTCCTCGGGAAAAAAAACTCTATTTATAACGCATTGTTTTTGAAAAATAAACTGAAAGAACAAGGGAAAAAAAATCTATTTATTATTATAAAAATAAAATCAACGTCGGTTATATTACACCTAATGACGTTTTATAACGCATTGTTTTTGAAAAATAAACTGAAAGAACAAGGGAAAAAAAATCTATTTATTATTGTAAAAATAAAATCAACGTCGGTTATATTACACCTAATGACGTTTTAAAAACGAATCCACGTCGCGAAAAAAATATTGCGTCGTCTTAGTTAAAAAAAGATGACGGTAGAACAGAAAACCTTCGTTGTTTCAATTTCTTTACCCGTTCTCTTTCTGCAAGACTTGGATAGTTCAAAGCATTGACAGCTGAAGCCATCTGATTCGATTGCTCAGGCTTTAGAGGCCATCTGAAGCCATTTCTATTCTTTATCACATTCTTGAAAACCCATCTTCTTCTTCAGAAGCTCTACGGATAAAGGAACAGGCTATCACAAATCTGACAGATCTTCTTAGCCAAGAAAATCGAACAGAGGAGCACATCTGATCTTCAGGTTTCCTTGAGAAGCGAACTTTCCTTCGACAGCGAGTGGAGGCCAGGCTTGCATCTCTTTTGATGGAAAGCAAGGAGTATTCAGAAGCACTAAGTCTCCTATCAGGCTTGACAAGCTTCTTCTTGTGGACATAGATTTGTTGGAGAGTAAGCTCCATTTCTCTTTGAGAAAGACATCCAAATTATTGTCTTTGAGATGTGAGAGAGAGTGTCTGTGAGAGAGGAAGAACTTGGAAACCTAAATGAAAACTGAAACTGAAAGAAAGCGACAAATTTATACAATGAATTTTTAAAACCCACGGCGGTCCTTACACACAAACTGCCGTTTAATTTTAAAATCCACGTCGGTACATTAAAAAAAACGACGTATATTATAAAAATCAACGTCGGTATCTTACAACAAAACAACGTGTTAAATACTTCTACTATGACGCGAGATATTAATTTATTGACTTTTATTTTGGAGTTTACTATGACGGTACCTACAACACTACTGTCGTATTTATTTACCATGTCCTAAGTTCAAATTATCGTCGTAGTTTGTTTATTTATACGTCGTCGTTCTATGTAAACTGCCGTCTTTTTTATATGAAACGATTTGTATATATATACAACTTTTCGTCTACCTGACTTACACATGCATTGTTTCCAAACCCGAGAAAAAATTTCAATCTCCTAGAGAAAACTTTTCGTCTTTTTTCCTTGTCAGAGCACTGTCAGAGTATCTCATCATCTTCCTCTCGTCTTCGTCGTCGTCTCTGAACTTAAACACCAAACTCCGAGAGAAAGCTTTCATTGCACGCAAAAGGTAAGCTTTCATTTCTCACTATTTTTGTTGCTATTTTGCATGCTCATACGGTTTTTGTTTTGAAAATCTTTTTACCTTTTTTTTGGCCAAAATCATTTTAATTCTTTCCAAGTTTGATAAAATATACAGACAAAGAGGGAAAGTTTCCAACTTTGAACACAACTACTTCAACTAAATAAGACGACGGTAGCTTCTTGTTTACGTGGTTAAATATGTAGACCACGACGGTTCGTCAGTCGTCCTAGCATTATCTGAAAATTGATCTAAGTTGTTTTTAAAATGACCGTCGTTTTTTATTTGCTTGTTTAATTGCAGGTTTGATTTCTTTGAACCATGGTTTTTGTTTTTCCTAATTTGATAAAATACAAAGACAAAGAAAGTAGGGTTTGGTATCTTATATAGACGACGGTATCTTATTATTGACGCCGTGTGAATGTTAATACCACGACGTTATACTAAGATACCGTCGTCTATATAAGATGTCAAACCTTTCTTTCTTTTCTTTGTATTTTATCAAATTAGGAAAAACAAAAACCATGTTTCAGAGAAATTAAACTTGCAATCAAACATTCACAGAGAAAGAAAAAGGTTTTTGGATTCTTATACAGACGACGGTATCTTATTATTTACGTCGTGTGAATGTCCATACCACGACGTTATATGAATATTAACGTCGTGTGAATTTAAATATCACGATGTCGTGTAAATATCGCCGTAATAAGTTCTTATTATGTCTTCTTTTATATTGTTTCGTCGTTGTTTAAGTACTCTCGTTTTAAACATTTATTACGTCTGATGTTATGTTATTGCGTCGTGTAAAATCTTATCATATGTCGTGTTTTGTTTTTTCTGTAACCATGGTTTCTCAAGACCAAAGTAAGGACTTTGGCTCCAAAAAAAATGGAGGTAAGGAGCTTGGAATGGTAACTCCTCAAGACAAGCCCTTGAAGAAGATGAAGTTTGTTTCATCTGCTGAGACAGAACCAACCAGCATGATAACAATTTATGAGGATTCAAAGTCAGGTCGAGGTATGAGCACAATGCCTCGTGTTGTGAAGAAAAAATTTCAGAAAATCAAGCCAGTTGTTGAGTACAATAAAAGGGGGAAAGGATGTGGCCCTGCACATACTGAGATGCAGTCCTACATTGGTGTGTTGGCACGCTCCAGAGTCCCACTTGTGGACAAGAAATGGGCTGAAATTCCCAAGAATATAAAGGAGCATATTTGGGAAGCCGTTGACATGGCTTTTGTGGTAGGTCAAGCGGGCAAGAACTCGGTGTTATCTTCTGCTGCCAAGAAATGGAAGGATTTCAAGTCTACACTAACGAGGCATTATATCCTTCCATACATCAAAGAGAGGGAGAAATTAAGCCAACCCCCTGAAATATATAAATTCATAGAGAAAGCAGAATGGGATGCCTTTGTAGCTTCAAGGTTATCCAAAGAATTTGAGTCTGTGAATTCTCAACATTCACAGATTAGGGAGAAACTTGAGTACAATCATCGATTGTCTCGAAAAGGATATGCTGGTTTGGAGGATCAATTGGAGGAAACCATGCCTGGGGTAGAAATTGATCGATCTACCTTATGGAAGAAAGCTAGATAGGACAAACATAGTAACATCCCCGATCCAAAGGTGGCAGAGAAAGAAAAATTAATTGCAAGCCTACACACTCTGTTTTAAATTTTTATTAAACTGTGTATAATTCTTATTACGTCTTATGTTATATTTTTGCGTCGTGTGAATGACATTACTACGTCGCAATGTTTTAAAAAAGTCGTTAAAGGTCTATTCTGTTTTATTAAACTGTGTATAATTCTTATTACGTCATATGTTATTTTGGCGTCGTGTGAATGATATTACTACGTCGAAATTTTTTAAAAAACGTTGTGAAAGGTCTAAATCTGGAATCACTACTTTGTTTTCTGTAATTATAGCATAAGACGTCGGTGGTTAATTTTTACGTCGTGTGAATGATATTACTACGTCGAAATGTTTTAAAAAACGTCGTTAAAGGTATGAATATGGAATCACTGCTCTGTTTTATGTAATTATAGCATAAGACATCGGTGGTTTATTTATTGCGTCGTTTGAAACGAATAACCACGTCGTTAGTAACTACCGTCGTTATAAAATTATAATAACGTCGACTTCTATGTTATTGCGTCGTGTGAAATTTTATAATACGTCGTTTGTTTATAAATAACCGTCGTGTGTTTTCTTGTGCTTACTTTTTTATATATCTTTGTTTTAGGATGAATTGCAAAAACAAGTCTCGGAAGGCAGTCTCAGTGTATCTGGCGGCAATGATGTGTTGACCATGGCTTTGGGTCCTGAGCATCCAGGGAGAGTGAGAGGGGTAGGTGCTGGGATTTCTCCTAGGCAGTACTTCAATTTACCCAAACAACAGAGGATTAAGTTTGCCGATCATTTAAAGGAAAGTGTCAGAATTGTCCTTCAAGAAGAGACTAAGAAGATGGAAGCTAGGTAAAGGGAAGAGACTTTAAGGATGGAGGCTAGAACCAAGCAATTGGTGAGGCTGAGAGGGAAAATTTACTGAGTCAGCTTTCCCAACTCATCCCCAATTTTGATCCAAGCATGCTTAAACCGAAAACTAGCCCCTGTCAAAACCAAAGTCCCAAAAATCCAATGTCTGACAAAGCAAGCTGCTCTGGGGCTGATGTGAGATCCCTACATTTTGAGGATGATATTGCCAAAAATGGGGAACAACATGAAGAAACGGTAACATATCTGAACTTTGAATTCTCTGTTTTTTAAAAAACTATTAGACGTCGTTATTATGAAGAAAACCGTCGTTTGAAAATCATACCACGACGATTTTATAAATAAACCGTCGTTTGTATTTCAATACCACGTCGTATTTAGTTTACTTATTTTACACGCCATTAGACGTCGTACTTTGTGGTTTTTAGACGACGGTTTTAGTCCTTACCGACGTAATAGACAAATCCCGCGACGTTTATTATTTACCATCGTTTAATAATTTTAAGACGTCCATAATTCTTACATACCGTCTTATGTTATGCCTTACCATGACGTTTTGATTTAATTTTTTACTTTATGTACAATCTGTCTTATATATATTTCTTTATTACTTAAAACAGAAATATGGGGATTTAGAAAATCAAGATGAAGAGAAGAAAGAAGAAAAAAAAGATGAAGAGAAGAAGGAAGAAAAAAAAGATGAAGAGAAGAAGGAAGAAAAAAAAGAAGAAAAAAGAAAAGAAAAAAAAGATGAAGAGAAGAAGGAAGAAAAAACAAGAGAAAAAAGAAAAGAAAAAAAAGATGAAGAGAAAAAGGAAGAAAAAAATGATGAAGAGAAGAAAGAAGAAAAACAAGATGAAGAAAATCATGACGAAGAGGTATATTCTCATAACTTTCCCTTTTTATTTGTTTTTCAAATTTCAGACGTCGATATTTTTCTTTAAACCATCGTTAGTTTTCAAATTAGACGTCGGAATTTGTTTCCTATGACGTAATAAATTGTTCAACACGACAGTTTTTTATTACCGTCGTTTAAATTATTATCAGACGATGTTGTTTTCTTTAAACCGTCGTTTTTATTGAATTACCACGTCATTTTATTTTGCTTTATTTCTTTAAACAGGGTATTGAAGTAGTTGATTATTCAAATGTGGAGGTGCCATCTTCCTTACAATCCCTTTGTCGTTATGTGAAAACGACACTAAAGCCTCAGGAGAAGATCATGACCTTCACAATTGAGAAGGAGGTGTTTGGTGCAGATCGCAGTACCTTCGTCTTGCATGAAGATATTACACAGTTAGCAGGCATGGAAGAAATTGGGGCTATTCTGGTTGCAGTATATATGAGGTTTGTCCTTATCAAATATTTATTTCACACTCAAATTTGTGTTTGAAAAAAAAATCATTATAGCATAAGACGTCGGTGGTTTATTTATTGCGTCGTTTGAAACCACTAACCACGTTGTTCTTTTTTTTTACCGTTGTGATAAATTAGTTATAACGTCTGTTTCTATTTCAGTTCGTCGTGTGAAATTGTATAATACATCGTTTGTTTATAAATAACTGTCGTGTGTTTTTTTGTGCTGACTTTTTTATATGTCTTTGTTTTAAATATTTAAGTGCTTATATGATTGTTTGAGAGAAGCAAATATGTGCAGCATGGTTGGCTTTATCGACCCTGCTCAAGTTAGTGCCAACGTTGGGTCACTAACTGATAGATCACGAGTTGTAGCCAGTCGACTTCAGAAGACAGATGGTGAACAGATTTTCATGATGCCTTACAATCCAGGGTTAGTCTCCTTAAAAGGATTTTGTTTGTATGATTTTCACTAACTGACTGCGTATAAAACTGTTTAACTAATTTTGTGCCATTTGAAACATCTAACCACGTCGGTTCTTTATTTATTGAGTCGTTTGAAACAATTAACCACGTCGTTAGTTAATTACCGTCGTGATAAATTAATAATGACGTCAATTGTTACGTTATTTCGTTGTGTGAAACTGTATAATACGTCGTTGTTTATAAATAACCGTCGTTTGTTTTCTTGTGCTGACTTTTTATATTAACCGTCGTTTTTATGTTAATTTTGTGCAGTCGTCATTGGGTCTTGCTGATTGTGAGAGCAAAGAGGGAAACCATCTATTTTTTGGATCCTCTGCCCGGAAATCGTGTGGTTGATGAGGACGGCAAAAACATCGTGAACAGTGCTTTAAAAATTTATAATTCCCACATAGGCAGACCAGGCCATAAAGCACCAATTTGGAAAACTCTGTTAGGCACACCAAAGCAACCCAGCAGTGTCGAATGCGGGTATTATGTGATGCGCTTCATGAGGGACGTCATCATGGATCCTTCCTTAGAGTTTGAGAAGAAGGTGAGAAGAAAATTTTCAGAAACATTTTATGTGGTTTTTTGTATTATCAATGACGATCCTTTAAAATTACCGTCGTTGAATCGATATACTACGTCGGTTATGAAAAATAGCGTCGTCTGTGATTGAATTTCTTTTTATTTTGTAAAGCTTAATAATCATTGTTTATGGATTGCAGTTTTTTTTTTTTTTTTTTTTTTTTTTTTTTTTTTTTTTTTTTTTTTTTTTTTTTTTTTTTTTTTTTTTTTTTTTTTTTTTTTTTTTTTTTTTTTTTTTTTTTTTTTTTTTTTTTTTTTTTTTTTTTTTTTTTTTTTTTTTTTTTTTTTTTTTTTTTTTTTTTTTTTTTTTTTTTTTTAAAAAGGAAAATTTTTTTTTCCCTTTTTTTTTAAAAAATTTTTTTTTTTTTTTTTTTTTTTTTTTTTTTTTTTTAAAAAAAAAAAAAAAAAAAAAAAAAAAAAAGTTTTTTTTTTTTTTTTTTTTTTTTTTTTTTTTTTTTTTTTTTTTTTTTTTTTTTTTTTTTAAAAAAAAAAAAAAAAATATTTTTTTAAAAAAAATTTTTATTTGCCAAGGGAAAAGAGCAAGCAGCCATTGATGAAGTCCGGAATGAATGGGCAGAGTTTGTTTACCTTCATATGGAGTAGAGGATTTTTGGAACACTTGATATTGTTGGCCTGTTGCAAATCTCGCGATGGTGCTCCGAGCAGAGGGGATGTGCGTCAACATGTGACATCCTCCTTTTGGATGCGGTGCGGTTGTGCGCGGGTGTGCCAGCACGGTCTACCGTGCGTCAAGATGATGATGAGGTTCGGGTAGAAGATGGTTTAAGTGTTGCGCCTGTTTTGCGTTCGACTCCTAATCAAACGATCGTGGCCGAGTGAGGAACAAATCTCGGCCGTCAGGTTCACAGCCTGAGCTACAAGGCTGTTTAGTGGTGATGTTGGTGGTGGGTTTTAGGCGGTCGTATGATATATGGGGTGAGTGAGGCGATAACAGAAATGGTGCTCCGGCGCCTTGAAAATCAAGGGTCGTATGATATATTGATGAATGAATTTTTCTTACAGTCTACCACTACTCATAAGAAAGCAAATAAAGGTATTGAAAGTGTATTACATGAAAATATAATTTGCTCCATGGGAGGCTTTTGGTTTTGGTGTTTGAACCCTTTGAATGTGGTCCTGAGCTTAGTATTTATAGGAGTCCTAAAGGGACATTCGAGGCTGAGAAGCATGGTGGTGTGACCCCCATAAATCTCGGCAAATCTCGGCCACCGTCCTGATCGTGGGTTCTGCCCCCTTGGCCGTGGGAATGCATTTAATGCCTTGGTCTAGTGGTTGGTGACCTGACCCTAAGTCGTAAGATTACTTGTGAGAATGTCTGCGCCTAACCACCCTGATTCCTATCACCAAATCTTGACTTTAGTCACTTCTCTTGTGCATTGAATGTTTCTTGTGACTAGTGGGTTTTGCTGCGAAGTCAGAGGCATTACTTCATTAAATGGAGCGTGGGGCCCTGAGGTCACTTGGCGATTCAACCACAGCTTTTCAGACCGTGTCTTTTACGGCCTTCGGCCTCGGCCTTCAAAACTGCGGTCGCGAGGCCGAGGGGATTCTGCCTTTGTAGCCTTTCTTTTGCTCTTAGGAGGGCGAATTGGTTGACGAAACGGTAGGCGCCAGGGCCGAAGGGAAGTCCCTTCAATCAGTTCATGACCGTGATTTATTAGGCACAAACATATATTTTTATATAATGTACAAATTTTGTCTATAATATATAATGTACAAATTTTGTCTATAATATACATCCTTTTTTTTTCCCTGAAAATTTGTTGAGGTTTCCATAATTTAAAAGAAAAAACAAATTGCGTAACCGACGTGTAATAACTTTCCAACGACATAATTATGTCAAAAACCGACGTAAAAGGATATTTAGACGACAGATATGACGTGGTAATTAAATTACACGGCGACACCTTTTTTGTTTAAGTCGTGATATACCGTTTGTACGTCCATGGGATGTCGTTTTAGTGAATAAAATATTCCTACAAACACAACAAACAACGTCGTTACTTTCTTAAAGTCGACGTGGTTTGTTGTGTTTGTAGGAATATTTTATTCTATTTCATTCAAAATATTCATAATAAATTTAAAATAGATCAAACGTGAACTCCTATGAAGTCATTGATATATTTTCTTCCCCCTAAACCTTAAAAAAATTCAGTTTGAGTAATACAATTTTAAAATGACCACCCAAAAATAAATTGTTTTGATGAGTCATAACATCACTTATAGTTTGAGGTTTAGGGTTTAGGGTTGAGGGCTTAGGGTTGTTATTTATTAGGGTTTAGAGTTAAAGGATAATTTTTGGGGTTTACGGTTTATGTTTGTTATATATTAGGTTGTAAAACCATAAACAATTTTATAAAATTATATTTTAAAAATATATAATTTAGAGTTTAGGGTTTAGGTTATTACTTTTTAACGACGGTGACTGAGTCGTGGAATATTGAGTTTACGTCGGATGGTGAAACATCCGCCATGGTTTCCCTTTTAAATGACGTCCTTTTTACAAGTGAGTAGTTTATTATTATTTACAACGTCGTTAATTAATTAACCCCAACGTGGTTTGTTGTTGATATAAGAATATTTTCTTATTTTTAATTCACAATATTCAAAATAAATTTAAAATAAATCCAAAAAATGCAACGTCAACTCCTATGAAGTCATTGATATATTTTCTTCCCCCTAAACCTCAAAAAAAATGCAGTTTGAGTAATAGAAGTTTAAAATGACCACCCAAAATAAAATTGTTTTGATGAGTCATAACATCACTTATAGTTTGATGGTTTAGGATTTAGGGTTTGGAGTTTAGGGTTGTTATTTATTAGGGTTTAGGGTTAGAGTATAATTTTTGGGGTTTAGGGTTTATGTTTGTTATATATTAGGCTGTAAAATCACAAACAATTTTATAAAATTATATTTTCAAAATATATAATTTAGGGTTTAGAGTTTAGGGTATTACTTTTAACGACGGTGATTGAGTGGTGGAATATAGAGTTTACATCGGATGGTGAAACATCCGCCATAGTTTCTCTTTTAAATGACGTCCTTTTTACAAGTGAGTTGTTTATTATAATTTACAACGTCATAAATTTATTAACCCCGACGTGGTTTGTTGTGGATATAAGAATATTTTATTATTTTTAATTCAAAATATTCAAAATAAATTTAAAATAAATCCAAAAAGTGCAACGTCAACTCCTATTGGTTCAATAGACGATGTGGTTTCTTCAAAATAAACGGTGTTATGTTCAGTATTTGAGTCATGGAATACTATATTTACGTCGGTTTTGGTAGAACTTTCGCCATGGTTCTTCTTGGTTTTGACGATTTCTGTTTGATTTTGCGTCGTACATAGTTTTACCACGACGTCGTTAATGTAATAAGCGTCATGTTTAAAGTGAACTTTTAACGACGGTTGTTTTTTCCGTCGATGTTTTAAAGAGCGCGCTTTCTAAAAATATTCGCGCGACCTAAAATTTTCAGATTTGGCTCTTAGTTTTATACTTATAATCCTGAACCCTAAAATTTTCAGATTTCACGCAACATAACATTTCGCTCTCTCACTTCATCTCTAATTCAAAGTTGGGCTCTCTAGGCTCTGTCGAATCCAAGTAGGCCATAATCTGTGAGCTCTGCCAACCTGTAAGTACAAACCCTCTCTTCCCCTTGTAAATTCATTGAATGATATTAGGTTGTTTTGTTAAAGGGTTTTAGATATATGTTTTGCGATATGTTAATAATGTTGTTGGAGGTATGGGTTCATGGATTTTATGTTTAATGTTTTCTTGATCACTCTCTGTTATGTTGAATAAGGAATGGATTTAATTTTGTCGGATCTTTTAATCACTCTCTGTTATGTTGAATTGGGAATGAATTTATTGTTTTCATGCTTAGTATATGTTGGTTTCATGCTTGGTTTCATGTATATGTTGGTTTCATGCTTGGTTTCATGTATATGTTGTGTTCTTAATAGGGTTTTGGGATCTTGAAAATAAACTGGGATATCGACGCGTTTTTTCATAAACCGTCGTTTGTATTACTTATACACGACGGTGTTCTTTAACTACCGTCGTGGTTATAATTAGACGACGTTTGTTGAAAATCCGTCGTCTATATATGTCAAATACGTCTGTTTTTGTTTAAAAACCGTCGTTTGTGTTGTATATTACTTGCTATTAGAACTTTATATAATCTGCTATAGTAATGGAGAATACTTTATACTCAGAGCTGCATTAATATGGACAATTAATGATTTCCCCGCCTATGGAAACTTATCTGGTTGTGTTGTTAAAGGATATAAAGCTTGTCCAATATGCGGCAATGATACACCTAGTCACAGGTTGAAAAATGGCCACAAAATTTGTTACATTGGGCATAGAAAATGGTTACCAATCAATCATCCATATAGGAGGCAAAGTGTAGCTTTTAATGGGAAACCTGAATATGGCACACCTCCCGAGCCATTAACCGGAGAAGAAGTGCTGTATATGGTTGAAGATGGTGACAGAGTTTGTTGGAAGGAGAAATCAATATTCTTTGATCTCGAATATTGGAAATACCTTCCTGTGAGGCATGTCCTAGATGTTATGCACATTGAGAAGAATGTTTGCGATAGTATCATTGGTACATTGCTGGAGATCCCTAGAAAAAATAAAGATGGGATTGCTGCTCGATTAGATTTATTGAACATGGGGGTCAAAACTGATTTGCAACCCGAGTATGGAGAAAGACGTACTCGTTTGCCTCCCGGGCCTTGGAATTTGTCAAGAGCAGAGAAGAGAGAGGTTTGCAATTCTTTCTATGGTATGAAGGACCTTGAAGGTTATTCTTCAAATATAAAAAAATCTTGTATATTTACAAGATTCAAGACTTCTTGGCCTTAAATCACATGATTGTCATACCTTAATGCAACAATTGCTCCCTGTGGCAATTTGTTCTGTTTTGGAGAAGCCTGCAAGGTATGCAATAACTCGTTTGTGCTTCTTCTTCAATGCTATATGTGCAAAGACTGTTGATGTTTCCAAGCTAGATAAGTTGGAAGAAGATGTAGTAGTTACTTTGTGTTTGCTTGAGAAGTACTTTCCCCCTTCATTCTTTGATATCATGGTTCATCTAGTAGTACATCTTGTCAGAGAAGTTCGTCTATGTGGGCCAGTATATTTTAGATGGATGTATTTGTTTGAAAGATATATGAAAGTGCTAAAGGGGTATGTTCAAAATCGTACTCGTTCCGAAGGTTGCATTGCTGAGCGGTATATAGCTGAAGAAGCTGTACAGTTTTGTACCGAGCATTTATCTGATGTTAGTACAGTTGAAGTGCCTTCAAGCCAAAAGATGGGAGTTTCAAGGCCATTATCAGGTTGCACAGTGAGCGTAGTTGATCGGGACCTGTTGAACCAAGCACATCTATATGTCTTGGAGAATACGGAGGAAGTCTTACCTTATATCGAGTACGTATGAGTTTTATTCTTTAAGTTTCCATTTTAAATTATTTCTTATGTTTATCTTATATGTTTGGGACCGTAATGCTTGAATTTTTCGTGTCATGTAGGCAACATATGATCCACATCAAGACCGATTATCCAAAATTTAGAAAGAGAACAAAGTGGCTGCAGAATAAGCAGAATAACACTTTCATTCAATGGCTACGCTTCAAGGTATATGTTATTGAATAACATATTGGACTTTTAATTTTCTTCTTTCTAAGTTAGATTGAATTAAGTTATGATTAATTTGCAGGTTCAAAGTGAACTTAATGAGGAAGACAATAATGGCGTATCAGAAAATTTAAGGTGGCTAGCAGCTGGTCCAAACATGGCAGTGCCATTATATAGGAGCTATCTTATTAAAGGTATTAAATTCAACATCAAGGCACAAGATGATGTGCGGACAACTCAAAATAGTGGAGTTTATTTACTTGCACATACCATGCAAGTTGCTAGTGCCAAGGATAAAAACCCAATTATCTCAAATATGGGTTTCTATGGTGTCATTCAAGAAATTTGGGACCTTGACTACCAAAAGTTTACAATCCCAGTCTTTAGGTGTGATTGGATAGATAGTACTTCTGGTCTTGTAGTGGACGAACTTGGATTTACCCTTGTAGATTTGAGTAAAATTGGACATTGGAATGACCAATTTGTTTTGGCTTCTCAAGTCAAACAAGTATTTTTTGTTGACGACCCGATGCATCGTGGTTGGTCGGTAGTGTTATCAATGCCTAATAGAGAATATAATGATGTTATTGGTGATGATGTCTTAGGTGATGTGAGAATTGAGTGTGAGCCATTTACTAGAGGGATGCCAAATGTTGACACATTTGATGAAGTGGTGGGTGAGTTAGGGAGTCAAAATATTCGAGATGGGTGTGAAGATATATGGATTGAATGATGCTTTATGTAATTGGCAGTGTATGACATTAATTTTGTAATATATTGTAATGTGATTTCTTCACTTTCATTATACAGGTTTTGGCCACAAAACAATCAGTACAAAAATTACTGGTTCCAGATTACAAACACGACGGTCTTGATAAAAATGTGAAAAACAAACGTCTGTTCTAATAAAAAACGACGTTTTGGAGCATTCAACGACTGCAATATATTTACCGACGTCTTAAAGCAACGTAACAATGAAGAACCACGACGCTATTGTGAAACAGTTATTCAGGATAACACGTCGGAGAAGCTTAAAGAACCGCCATGTAATTCAAAATAACACGACTCCAATCCCATAATACCGACGTCTAAAAGACGAGATCTCTAACATGAACGTTACAAAAGTCGACGTCGTCATAAATTCACCACGTCGCATGTTCTTTCATAAACGAAGTGGAAAAGCATGAATTCACGACGGTATTTGAAGTCCATTGGTAAATTTGTCGACTTTGGACGTCGTTCCTTTTAAAAAAACAACGTTATATTGATGTATCCACGTCTCTTTTCTTATGATAATGTCGTTAAAATTGCTTTAAACGGCGAATTTCGGATAAACAACGCCGTCTAATATGAATTAGACGACGTTAATTTTGTTAATGATGACGTATAAATTATGAAACACTGCTGTCTTTTTCATAGTAACGACGTTGTATATATACGACAACGTCGTCTTTATAAATTAATGTGTCGTAATTAATGACCCCAACATTTTTTCCACGTCGTTTATTTTCAGATTATGTCGTTAAAATTATTTTACACGGCGGTGGAATGAGAAACGATGCCGTTTCAGAGTCATTACACAACGATTATATTTTAAAATATGACGTATAAATTCTGTAATACGGCTCTCATTTATTTGGAACCGACGTTGTTTATGTATTTCAACGTCGTCTCTGTACATACATGCGTCGTAAGTAATGACCCTAACATCTATTTCCACGTCATCATTCATAGAAAAATCGAAGTGGAAAATTTATTTTACGACGGTTGTTGGAAATGTAGTGACGTAGTAGGTGTCAATAATGTCGTCTATTATGTATTTAAAGACGTCATATTTTTATTTGTTATTAAAGGTTTATTTAACGGCGTTGAGTTTTAGTTCTTATCGTTGTATGTGTATCTTGCGGCCATGTTCTGTTAATATATGTCATATGTTTCCTTTTTAACGACGTTTTTTTGTTAGAGTTGGTCGTCTATTCTCATCCTCGACGGTTTTTTTATGTCTTTTTGCAGTACAAAGACGTCGGTTTTTATTTGTTGATGAAGTTTTTTGTTTTAACAACGACGGGTATTTACTGTCGTGGTTTTGTTATGGAAAAGATGTCGGTGGATTCCACGATCATTTGAAAACTAAATACACGACGGTGAACTCCCGTCGTGTTTTTTCTTTTTTGTAGTAGTGAATGCATGCGGGCTTAATTATTTTCACTGCTATAATAAGCAAAAGAGGTAAAGAGGAAGTTGACATACCTTGTGTACAAGACAAGCACACAATAGTCATGGTCCCTTTCATGGTCTACTAGATCTAAAAGTTTAATGGCATAATTGGGTAAACAAAAAAATAACGGTGTGATGATTCTTCAATTAGAATCACTCTTCCTCACTTTTTTTGGATGATGGTTTCAAATCCCATAGATTACCTAGTCCATAGAAAAAAGCAGTCACGATACTGTTCAAGCAAAATGATAATAAAAACACAAAGATAGAACCTATCAAAATATGTCTACCCAAAAAAAAAAACAAAAAAGGGCTATGAGCATTGAACGTTATTTCTTTAAAAAATCAATGATACTACGGACACCGATTTTTTTAAAACCAAGTTTATTCACTAATTAAATGATGTGTCTGCACATCTGTAACATGTTAGAGCATCTCCAACCGATGTGTCAAAAGTGCCAAATAGACATTTAACGGCTAGAAATAACATTTCACATCACTCCAACCGAAATGTCAAAGCTGATGTGGAATGAAGGTTGGAGGTTGAGATGTTATTTTGACATCCCAAAAGCAAGATATCAAATGAATATTTTATTATTTTTAAAAGATAGTTGGCTATTACTTTCATTTATTATTTTCCTTTTTTTTATTTTTTTCTTATTTGTCTTTAATGATTTGACTGTTATAATAATTATTTATTTGACATATCGGGTGGAGTGTAAAACTGTATAAATGTCAAATTGCCACATCAGCCATCAAATTTAAGAGCATCGCCAAGGGAGATGTCAAATACCAAACATCAAATTTAAATTTGATGGCTGATGTGGCAATTTGACATCTTATACAGCTTTACACTCCACTCGATATGTCAAATTAAATTATTATTTTATTACATTTTAGTGTTAAATGTCTACGTATTAATTATTCAAAATAACAACCTGGCTAGCATAATATGCAACTCAGATTAATTACGTTTAGCATTTAAGGGAAATAATATGTCAGTCTATGATTTATTCAAATATGGGTCCATTCTGAATCTTATTTGCTTTTAACAAGTAAGACTCTAAGAGCATCTCCAACCGATGTGTCAAATGTGCCACATAGACATTTAACGGCTATAATTAACATCTCACATCACTCCAACCGATGTGTCAAAGCTGATGTGGAATGAAGGCTAGATGTTGAGATGTTATTTTTGACATCCCAAAAGTAAGATGTCAAATGAATATTTTATTATTTTTTAAGTCTTCCTACACGGTGCCCGGCTCCAGACGAAGCGGCGGCCTCCCCTCGAAGCTCTTCATAGTCCAGGCGGGGTAGACAATCTTCTCTCAAAAAGAGACAGACCAGAGATGACAGAGGAATCGGTTCAAAAAAGATACGGCAGTCAGAACAATGATGGGCGTGATCCATAGCCGATGTTGGCTAGAAGCAGTATCAGTTGAAGATAGTGTGTTTGCACTATCTCTGGTTTTTGGACTGGGTTCTCTTCCTGTATGAAAACAATGTCATAGCTGGCTTTTGGAGGCACCCAAATGAATCCAGAACCCGATTAATTGAGGTCTAATTCAAGGTATAGCCAACGTTTTACCTTCCAAGAAAATGATAGCTAAACTAGCCAATTCCAGTTAATGTGCATTTAATATTAAGAAGAAAAAATGGGAGTGCCAAAAGGAATTTATAGAGGCTCAACTTATGTTAATAAACAACTCTACTTTTCTTCAGAATAGTTGTAAATTGTACTGCAAACGCTGCCGGAATATGACATTGTTTCAGGTCCACTGTCTTTATCATTTTGACCTGTCTCTTGTTCTTCATATAGCTATTATTTTTCTTTTTCCTTATATATACATACACTGCATGTCACACATAATTTGCAGCCTCAAGCAGTAAGCCTTCTCTGTTTTCATAAATAGCAGAGCAGGACAGACATTACTGAAGAGAAAGAGAGACACACTTAATTATATTTGGTTTTCTCACTCTCTCTCTCTCTCTCTCATCAGGCTTGGCTTGTTTTTGTGTTTTTCTTGGTGATTTTTTGAGTAAAGTCAAAATTTAGTCCTTCAAGCTTTCATTCATGATCATAAAGCCAGAGTGTGCTCGGATCCAAATTCACTGACACAAGTACATCCAGCTCTCCAGCATTAGCTTGAAGTAACTCAGAAGCAAAAATCACTGCAAACACAGCAATACAACCAAAAGCTAAACAGAGCAAAAAAGAAGCTCGTTCTTCTCGCAAAGCCAGAGAAACACCTTTACTATATATAACCAATAAGCACTTCTAGTCCCATCAGTTTTTTCATTGCTTTTTCTTTACAATGGACACATTGCAAGGAGGGCAATTTGGGTTGGTTTTGCAGCAAGCCAAAGCCACACTGATTGTGCCATTGCTGAAGTTTTTGGTGGTTGTGTGCTTGGGCATGTCTCTGATGCTTTCTGCGGAGAAGGTGTACATGGGCATAATGATAATATTGATTAAGCTGTTTAGAAGAAGGCCTGTGAAGCATTGGAAATGGGAGGCCATTAAGGATGATGTTGAGCTTGGGAACTCAGCTTACCCTATGGTTCTTGTGCAAATTCCCATGTACAATGAAAGAGAGGTACTTGTTTCTTTTTTCTTTTGAAAAGATAGTTCTTTTTGTATTTGGAGTTTTTTTTTGAAGGGCATTGTGCTGCTTGATGCAGGTTTATCACCTTTCTATTGGAGCTGCATGTGGGCTTTCTTGGCCTTCTGATAGGATCATAATTCAAGTTCTTGATGATTCAACGGATCCAACCATTAAGGTTCTTCCTTCAAACTCATTTATTTAATTTAATGATTTTTTTTTCCCTTTGCATATTCTTTAACCAAAGTTGGTAGACCGATACGTCATATTGCTCTGGTAAAGTGTAAATTTGTACTCGGCATTTAAACAAATATGATCAATAATTGATATTAGTAATTCCATCACGTAATATGTTAGACTATTTCACAAGAGAATATTTCATATTAATTTGTATATTGTTTAAGTTTTTTAGTGTCTCTGGTTCAAATCTTATAAAGGTGTTTCAATGATTAGTCTATCAAAGAGAATAGAAAAAGTCATCTTGGTCAACCTCATAGTTAAATTTTAACCAATCAAAATCCATTCACTAATGTTTACCAATCCAAACTCAGCCATGCGACTTTTGACCTTTCGGGAAAAGAGTCCACAGCAGCAATTTCCGCATCAAAACACATAGAGACCAAAACTTTCCCAATTCACTCAACAAACCTTTCAATTTCTGATGTGGGTTTTTTGGCCTTAAAAAAATTACAGGATTTGGTGGTGCTAGAATGCCACAGATGGGCAAGCAAAGGAATAAACATAAAGTACGAGATCAGAGACGACAGAAATGGGTTCAAAGCAGGGTCTCTCAAAGAAGGCATGAAGCACAGTTATGTCAAACAGTGTGACTATGTTGCCATCTTTGATGCTGACTTCCAACCTGAGCCTGATTTTCTCTACCGCACCATTCCATTTCTGGTCCACAACTCTGATCTTGCTCTTGTCCAAGCTCGCTGGAAATTTGGTAATCTTATGATTATTCTTGTTTTTATTGTATTTAATTAAATTAAGCTCGTTAGTGCTTAGGTTTGGTTTTGGTGACCATGCTTGCTATGAATTTATTGGTTTTTGGATTTAAGTTTCTGGGTCTCTTTGACAATGCTTCTTTTCTTTAAAAAAGATATAGAAATATAGAGATAGTGCTTAGATACAGAACAAGTTTTAGTCCACTTATGTTAGTTAGCTATTAGCATAGCATCATAATTCTTTTTTCCTACTTTGATGCGTAAGGAACCAAATCCCGATTAATCGAGCACTTCACAATTGCAGGGCTTTCCAGTTTTATGGATTTTTAATTGTATTTGTTTAGATTTTTAATTGTTTTGTGAAATAACTTGTGAGAGAGAGGATAAGTCTTTACTGGTTATCCAATAAAGGAAAATAGAGGTGTAGACACGCAAGGGTAAAGGTAAGGGATGATGATGGCTTCTTGGTGGCATTGCAGTAAATTCAGATGAGTGCTTGATGACAAGGATGCAAGAGATGTCACTGGATTACCATTTCACGGTGGAGCAAGAAGTGGGGTCTGCAACTTATGCCTTCTTTGGTTTCAATGGTAAATTTTATTTTATTTTTTGAAAATTACTGAGGGAGCTATGTAGAAAAGTTTCAAGTATCCCTCATTAATGATATGACACTGGGAATGTGATGCAGGCACGGCGGGTGTGTGGAGAATTGCAGCGCTCAATGAGGCTGGAGGATGGAAGGACTGCACAACAGTGGAGGATATGGATTTAGCAGTCCGAGCTAGTCTCAGAGGCTGGAAATTTGTATATCTTTCTGACCTTAAGGTAATGAACTTTGTTAAAATGGTTGTAGTCTTGCAAAATATCAAGAAATCTCAAAAGAGGTTAGCTACCTACGCTTACAACGAGCTAGAATTAGACATCCTCTGTTATTTAGGTTTCATAAATTACCTCGGAAATAAAATTATGCTGTTTTAGTACAATTCCATTGACATGGACAAATCCCATATGATGCTTTCTTTGTTTCTGGGAAGAAAAAGGCATGCATGCATGTATAGTGCAGGTACTGTAGATGTAATATGAAAACATGTTGGGAAAACAATGGAAACTTGTTCACTAACCAATCTGAGTAGAGAGCAACCGGTTGTCAACTTTTCATTGGACTTTTCCTCTTTGTGTGATATTTTCAATATGACCATTTCACATTTGATCCCATATTAATAATTGTCTACATTTTAGGTGAAAAGTGAATTGCCAAGTACTTTCAAAGCCTACCGTTCTCAGCAGCATCGATGGTCTTGTGGCCCTGCTAATCTCTTTAGAAAGATGGTAATGGAGATTGTGAGAAACAAGGTATTTCCCTACCATATCTGTTTTAGTTTTTGCCTAAGTTTATTACTTCATACTCACTGTTACTTTACAATATATTGCAGAAGGTGTCCCCATTGAAGAAGTTTCATGTGATCTACAGTTTTTTCTTTGTTCGCAAAATTATAGCACATATCGTCACATTTGTCTTCTACTCTGTCATTTTACCAGCAACAGTTTTGGTTCCTGAAGTTCAGGTTCCCATGTGGGGTGCTGTTTACATTCCTTCTACCATTACTCTCCTCAATGCTGTTGGAACTCCTAGGTTTCCTACTCTCCCCTTTGTTCTTTTCCTTTTTAAGTGATCCAGTTTTATTTTTTCTCTCGTGGTACGTCGCATTATTAATGGCAAGCTATTTAGCTTTTCAACCAACAGTGTTTTCTTGGGGTTTGGGTTTACTGTAGGTAACATTGTTTCATCCTGTTATAAACTTTAGCAAACCTGCAGAACTTCTAGCTCTCCATTGACAGATATGCAAATGTTTTCCTTTGTATTTACTTATTCATTGCTAATGCTTTTGAGGTCATATTTACAGATCACTCCACCTATTGATTTTCTGGATCCTCTTTGAGAATGTCATGTCTCTGCACCGGACTAAGGCAACATTTATAGGTCTTTTGAAGCAGGGAGAGTAAATGAGTGGGTCGTCACTGAGAAACTGGGAGATTCTCTCAAGAAAGATCCCAGGAAACCTCGATTAAGAATTGGAGAAAGGTATATTTGTATTCATTTGGTTTCTGTTCTGTTGATAGAACTCCTTTAAAATGAACTACTTTTCAATTTGTTATGATAGCATTTGATGCCACAAAATCTTGTCAAATGTAAGAATATGAAGTTTACATTTTCTTTTCTTTTCTTTTGATTATTAATAAACAGACTACATATGCTTGAGCTCATTGTTGGATTCTACCTCTTCTTCTGCGGCTGCTATGACCTTGCCTTTGTAAAGAACGGCTACTTTATCTACCTGTTCATCCAATCTGTTGCATTCTTCATTGCGGGATTTGGTTATGTTGGCACCTTTGTCCCTAACTCATAGCCGTACACATTGTTTCAAGAATTCATTCATCAACATCCCTTCTATCAAGGAAAGATGAAATTATTATGTTTTCATCCGGGAGTTATAGCTGTTTTAGATTGTTTATAGGTCATTCTTTTCTGATGAGCGATGGTTTAAATTAAGTTATTTCTTTGTGGATAGTCTAGGAAAATTCATGGATGAGAGTGCAGGGCCGGTAAGTTATATATATACATGGCATTGGAACTGCCTTTGTACTGTAAAATGAAGCGCCAACAAGCGGGATTTTGTCTCGAGAATTATGTAATTGAAGGGCTGCTGATTTGTAATGACAAATTATATAGGATTTTGCTTGGGAACAATGAAGCTGGTATCAAGATGCAGAAATAGAAGTTTATAAAAAAAAAGAAGCTCTTTCTCTACATATTTACATTTAAAACTACGTTTCAACTATAGAGAACACTAGTCAAAACATTCGGTAGCGAATTGTTTTTTAATAGTCAACAACTGGATTAATTCATGAAATAAAAAATCAGCAAAAAGATTGAGAACAGTATAACGCAAACTTAACTAGGGAGTGACTGACATATGGTAGGTTTAGGGTTGCAGGAATGTCTGCGAAATCTTTGTAAAAGTCACCCACTTGCAATCCAAGTGGTTCCATATCTTCTCTCTCATTTTCTTTTGGCCGTTAGACTTCTCATTTCTCTCTCTCTCTCTCTCTCTGCTACATCAACTTGTTTCCGTCTCTTTTTTTTTTAATAGTCAAATTCTCCCTCTAATGATTACATCTTCTATTATCTTGGGTGGGTAACTTGGCAACATCTTCTCCTCTCCTTTTGTCAACAACAAGTATTATTCTCATTCGCTCTCATTTTTTTTCTTCTAAGAAAAACTATAGCCGCACCCTGGTCCCCTTTCTTCTTGTTGACAACCAACTGCAAGGAGGCTAAGCGAGGAGATGGCCACTCCCCCTCCTCCCCTTCGCCCATTTTCCCCTTCCTCTCCTCATCTCCCCTTCTTTTCTCCCATATTTTCCCTTCCTCTTATCCCCTCTTCTCCTCCCTAGATAGTTTAGATCTATTTGGATCTAGGTTTGTTTGTCTGTTTGTTTTGTTTGGTTGTTTGTCTTTATCTCAGTGGTGGCGACAATAGTGACCTTGAATTGTGTCTCTTCTCGAGAGAGATGTGATATCTGGTGGCTGATGTTTTGTCTCTGTTTTTAACGACGGTGGCAATAGCGACGCTGGTGGTAGTTCTTAGGATGTGGTGCTCTTCTCAACTCTTTGCTAACCGAACAACTATGCTTAGTCATAGAAGGTTTTCTTTGTCAAGTTCTGAGTTGAAGTGGAGTGCTTCTCAGGAGTCCTTTTACTGTTGTTTCTGTGTTCCTCCTTCGTGTTCTCTCTTGGTTTATGCTATGGTATGCCTTGAAGTTTGTGTGGATGTCAAAAGACTGATTTTGCTCATAGAACGCCTCTTTTAACAATTGGGATGTTCTGCGGTCCGCTCCTGTGGGTTTACCATTTGGGGTTTCTGTGATCCTCTCATGTGAGTTTATTGTGTTGGTCTCTAGTTGCGGTTCTCGTCAATGGTCTTTGTGTTAGTTTTCGTTTTTGATTTGTTCTTTTATTGTACCTGAATCAGACTCTTTTGTTAGCCTATGAAATGTGTGGTACTCTTTCCTCCCCTAGGGTTTGTCCCATGAGGTTGTCCTATGAAGGTTTTAACAAGGTGATTATATCATGTCGCTCTTTGTACGTCTTTAGTTCTATGAATGAATTCTCTTTCTAAAAAATAGTATTATTCTCATTCTCTCCTTTGCTATATATCTTTAATTATAGTTTTAATTTAAAACTGAGTATTATAGGGTTTAATTAGGAATGACTTTTAATTTTGGGATTTTGTTGAAATTAATTAGGACTTTGATTAGGGATGAATTATTCTAGGGCCTTGATTTGGAATTTCATTACAATTGAGTATTCTAGGGTTTAATTACATATGAATTATAATTTTGGGTTTGGTATTGTTGAGATGCTATTATGAGAATTTGTTTGATTTTTTGTTGGTATGTTTGATTAAAATTCTTTCTACATTTTTATTCATAGGCTATCTTTTATTATGTCGGATCATAATCGGAATCCCCAAAGAACAAAGAATTTGTTATTTTTTTTTAAGAAAAAAAATGATGGGCCATCATCTGGTACATTGCCTTCTAGCACTTCTTTATCTACTCCAATATGTGATGAGCAAAATCTTCTTGAGTCTCTCATTGTCGAGCCTCCAGTTGAAAGAGTTGAATCTTAAAGAGTCAATGATGATCATGATTTTAATATCAATTATCTTGAGCGTGATCCAGGATTACGTCGTCTAATATGCAAATATTCGGTGAATGAACAAGATAATGTACGAAGAGCATATAATCTATCCTGTTGATTTCCTTGTAATTCCTTCAAGTCATTCATTATTTAGCATATATGTAAACTTGCCGAGAAATTCTATCTTGCTAATTTCCTTCCACATGAGTTGAAAGCTTTAGAAACAGAGCTCATGTATTTTCAAAATGATATACATCACCTTCCTTGCTTTAAGGAAACCACTACTTCCCCAGTTATGTCAACAACTAGTGGAAATAAGTTCGGCAGAGAACTTCATTTTCATTGATAAGTTGATACGGTTGGTGTTGACTCTTCCTATTTCTACAGTAACAACATAGCGAGCTTTCTTATGTATGAGAATTATTAAGAATCAACTTCAAAGCACCATAGCTGATGAATTCCTTGCTGATTGTACGATCCTCCACATTGAAAGAGAATTTGCCAATAATATCGATAATGCATCGATAATTGAGGAATTTAAGAGTTCCAAGCCTTATCGGGTTAGATTTTAGATTTAAATAGTGTTGTTTTGTATTGCATTGCATTTACTTTTGGTTTTAGTTTTAACTTTTATATTTGTTGAACTTTTATTTATGGATAGAGATGCAGTTGAGGGTAAGGCTCATTATGTCCCCTCTGACTAGGTGTATCTTTTTGTATTTATTAATAAAATTCACTCATACAGTCGAGTTTGGTATGTAAGTTTTCCCCAGCCGGCTTTTGAATCCTACAAATATAATCATCCCACCATTTGTCGGCTTCATGTTCTATCACGTGGGTTGTAAATCAGACTCAATACGGTGGCGGAGCATTGCAAACTATGTTGATCAAATTTAAAGATATTGTTTGTCATGTAATTTTCAATTACTACTTAACTTGTGTTAGTATGAAATTTTGTGATTGGCATTCTTTAGACTTTAGTATAGGCTAGTATATGTGGTAAATGTGTTGTGATAAAATTCGAAGGCAAGATTGACACTTGCATGATTGATACAGCTTATGAATCCCTGAATTGAAGGTGTTGAGGCCCAAAAAAGTCCATGGTTAGGCCCAAATAAGTTTCCGGCCCAATATGATATTGTATTAAGAAAAGTCACATATCGGAGTACACGAAGGCTCGTCATATACAAGTCATAGTCCAAATGCCATGCTAAATAAATAATTTGTCATGCCAAGGACTGCGATAATATTATAAAATACAAGCCCATGCTAAACTAAGCACCGTGTCCCTCTTCAAGGACGATAAAATTGAAGCACGCCAAGTGACATGCCACTCCAAGCAAGGAATTATTATTCCGCACCTAATCACGCCACAAGCTTAAGTGGGCCCCAAGCCACTCGAATACCCGGGGCTTGCTTGAGTGGGTTGTGGTATGGATGGTAATAAATTGACATGAGGCCCATTGATGGGCCGAGAAATGGAAGTCTCAGGTTGCTTGGGAGCCTCGAGATGCAAGCCCATTTCTTAGGCCCAAACATGTGGGTGAGCACAAAGGAGAAAATAACCTATTAGCTTAACCAAATTAGCCCAACACCTCAACAAAAATAGGCCAACACTTGTTGAGGTTAGCCCATTTATTTTGACAAACCAAAAGGCCCATACAATTAGAAAAGAGAAGAAGCCAAAGCCTCATACAATTAGAAAGGAGAAGAAGCCAAAGCCTCAGCTCCTTGCTAGAAAAAACAGAAGCCATGAAGGAGATGTCCACATATGCAGAGTTGCTGGAAAGGAACAAGTTCCAAGCACAAAACATCCAAATAACCAAGGGATATTAGCGTGCAAAATGCCAAGAAGAGAAGCACCCTTCGAACCAGCATATATACCCCAATTCCTTCCCTCATCAGACTTGGCCATGGAAAAAGGAAGAAAAGAAAAGAAGGAGATGGTTGGAAATAGAGGCAGCTGTGGGAAAGAGCATTGAGCTCCCAAAAATCCCTGATTTTGTGAGATTGGACAGAGAAGATTTTGCTAGAATAAGATAAGTCAAAGAAGGGGAGGAGAAAGGAAGGAAAAACCTTAGCCAAATTAGATAGAAACCATTAGAGTTTCTTGGAAAATATCAGTTTCCAACGGCTATAAATAAGGCATTTTCTACCCAACAAGAGGGAACCACATTTCAGAGAGCAAGCTTCCTCTCTTACTCCCAAAACCCAGCATTTTTGTGCTCAGCCCATCATTTTCCCTTAGTTTTCTCTCTTGGCAAGCTGTTCTGACACTTGACAGAGTCTCTGTCAAGCTGCCAGAAAAAGCACTTAAGCCATCTTTTTCTCTCTTTCCCTTATTCTCAGCCAAATCAGCTTGCAAACCTCTTCTTCCTCACCTTAAACACTCCCCTTTCTCCCTAGTAATCCATATTTTCCTATTTGGTGCTAAACTCATGTTGATTTTGCTTCCATGCCACAAGCCTTTCATGCCAAGCTAGAAAATTTATATGTAAGCATCAAGAAATCATCTGTAAGCTGCTGTTATTTTCATTGGTGAAGGTAACCAAGGTGTTTCCTAAGGCATCTCTGTCATTTCGAAGCATTCTTGGGGCTTGATCTTCGAACTCAGGCTCAAGGGGCAATTTCATCCATCTGCCCTTTACGGCAGCCCAGCCCGTTTGTAGCTGCCGAAAGAAAAAAACGCCTACAGAAAGTAACTATTTCAGTCAACGTGTTTTGAGGTAATGTCATCATTCAATCATGCATTTTGATTGTGCTAATTTTAGAATTGTTTTCAAATCAAGGATTTGTTTGGAACTCTGATTTTAAAGCAATCAAAGTTTGATTGGGAAGACTTTTCATTTAAAGGAAGTTTTTTTCAATTCAAAATTGCTTTAGAGTATTTCGCGTTTAAAACTATTCTGTGTTTTCTTTTCTAATTACGAGTCATCTTTGTCATTATACCATTCCTTCTAAATTTATCTCTTTGTGACATATTGATTGGAGATCAATCAGTTTTCTTTGTAAATCAATTTATTTGATTATCAATTTAGGTGCTGATTGATTTTTTTTTCTTCCTTGTTTAGAAAACCACTATAAAAAGGAAGCTTGGGCTTCATCTTCCACACCACTTTCAACTTTAGTTTTCTAGTTCCTATGAAGTCAAACAAAGTTGCTATGCATTACTTCTTCAGATAAATCATCATGTGTAAGATTAGCTTGGTGATTTATCAATTAGCGTTTCATTCATTTTTATAAGGTTTAGTGGCTCATAAGGTTGAGTGCACAATGAGTGTAGTGACGCATCATTCAACGAGTTTGAATTTGATCATAAGGAGAGAAAGAAGTACATCCCACAAAACGAGTTTGAATTTGATCTCTTTGTGACATATTGATTGCAGATCGTACGGCAGAGGGGGCATGGAAAGCCACCTCTACCTTGACCACTGACCCTAACTAAGAAAGTTCCACTATGACCGCTGTTGACTTGGAGACTATCGGCACAATAGCAGGAGCAGACCCGCTGATATCACCATATCAAGGTAACCACCAGAAACACAGATGCATCGATGAGCAAGAGAACGACAAAATCAATACCCTAGATATGAGAGAGACAACAACAAGGCCAGCACCTCAAAGTCGAAGCAAGGAGTGATGGCAATGACTCGACGTGGAAGAAAAGTGGCTCCACACTATCAAGTTGAGGAAGGCGATGACGACTGAGCGTGGATTAGAACGAGTGATGTTAGGCCGAAAAGGGAATGACAGCTGAACGTGAAAAACCTAAACCCTAATATTTGATGCACGTCTCTCCTCACATTCAATATGTTACTAACTTGAGTGTAGTACGAAAATGCTATATGTAAACAAGTAATTACATGTTTAATTGAAGAAATTCATGTTGCATCATTCATCAATGTACTAGTACTCTTGTGATCTAATTATCTATTTTTAAATTTTAAAACAATTCCATCCTACTAAAAATCAATAATAAGTTCCATAAATATAATATAAAATCTGTTCAAATCAGAATAAATTCAAAATATAATGAAATATAAAAGGGCATCAAGATGCAATACTAGTGTCTTAAGGGCTCGTTTGATACACTGTATTAGACTATAAATAGGAGTAAATAGTCCATATAAGGTGTTTGGTGTCAACTTGCATTATTTAATTACCTGACTATTTTAAACGGGTCGCTTTTAATACTCTCCTTACCTGACTAACTAATACACCCACACACCCCAGTTTAGATAATACACGCTTGCTTAATTATATAGCTAGGGAAAAAGAAAACACATGTTCACGTGAAAAATCCGATGACGCTATTTTCATATTCTTCTTTCTAGGGTTCTTATCTGCTATCTTCTCCAAGGTTATTCTCTTCACTTTTCTCCAGGTATCCATCTCTCTCTCTCTATCTCTCTCTCTCCAATATGCTTCTTCTCTCTTTTTCTGTCTTCATCTTCTCTTTCTTTATATATTTCCTATTTTATTAAATTTTTGTGGAAATTAGGTTATGAGTTTTTCCTTTTTGACCTTTTTTTTCTTGCTGTATTGGAACAATACATGCGAATTTGTATCCAACTCAACTATGTGTTGAGGCCCAAAAATCCAAGGGGCTAAACCCAAATTAATCTTTGGCCCAACACAGGTGATTGGATGCAAAATAGGCTCAATCGGGATAAAAGAGAATTTATAAGAGCCGCCAACACAAGCTACAAGCCACGAATCATGCCAAGCAAGCACGTGCAGAAGGCGCCAAGAACATACCGACATTATTAAATCACGCTCACATTCTCATTCGGTGCTACTCGGCCCAATTATAGCCTATCATGGCATAATAAAACCCCAAGCACGAGCATAGATATCATGCACGAAGAGCCACTATTGTAACACCAAGCTATGCCACGAGCTTAAGTGGGCCCAAGCCACAAAATTAACCGGGGCTTATTGAGAAGGTTGTGGTATGGAAGGAAACAAGCAATCACAGGGCCCATTGAGGGTTCAAGGGATGCAAGTTTTTAAGCCACTTGGGGGCCTTAAAACTCAAGCCCGTTCCTAGAACCCAAGCACATGGGTTAGCATGAGAGAGAAGAGAAAATTGCCCCATGCTCTAGGAAGACACCAAGTAACCTACTAAAATACTTAGCCCAGCCCACATCAATGTGCCCCAAAGAAATTAGCAAAAGCCCTTTCCAGCAGTGTGACGAAAATCCATTAGAAATAATAGGCCAGCAACCCAACGTTACGCACAAGCCCAGTCCAGCAGCTTGTGGAAAAGCTGTCATCGTGTTCCACCTCTGATGAGACTCCAAACAAGTCAGACAAAGGGCCAAGGCAAGAACCAGCAGAAATTCATGGGTAAAGGGCAAATATCCATCGGACAAAAGGCTCCACCCATCTCTTTCCCCATTACAAGCTCTGTTTTGAAAACGTTGAGAAAAAGCAAAGTGGTGCCTCACCCTTGTGGGGAGGTCCAGCTGCATCAAAGTCGTTGGAACCACAATGGTTCCTTTCCCATATGCCTTGATAGGAGAATTGCACCAAAATAGGACTAAGTAGGGAGCTGCCAAAGGAAAAGGAAGAGGAAGACCAGACAAAATTAGGGCTCTTAACGAATATAAAAGGAGGCTTTTGATACCTAGAAAAACCAACCATTGATAGCCTGACCAAGCTTTGTCAAGCATCTGAGAATTCGCTCAAGGCACCCAATTCCCTCTTTCATTCGTTCTTCTTCTCCCCCTTAGTATAGAAGTCGGGCTAATATTCCCCTGTTCACTTCGGGCTTCTTTTCTCTATAAGGAACTCATGCCTCTCTCTCTCTTTCTCTCAAATTGCTAAACTTGTGAAAGCTTAGCTACCATGCCATAGGCTCTTTAGGCTAAGCCATTAGTGAATTTATCATGCTTATTTGGGTGTTAGTAAAGTGATCCTAAGAGTGTTCTTTTAAAATCTCATCAGATTTTTTAAAAACTCTTTTGGGAGCTTGGTTTCGAACTCAGGCATTTGGGGGATTTTGTTCGTCGTCTTCTTACAGCAGCCCAAGCCCATTCATTAGGCTGCTGGAACAAAAAACCCCCTACATAAATTGGCGACTCTATTGGGGAACAAGCTGCCATTTTACTGGTGCCTCCAAGGAAGAAAACCAAGAGCAATACCATGGCCTCCCAAGATGGACCCGACCATGGTGATTCCGAATCAAGGCAAAATGCCTCTTCTAGAGGACAAGAACATGCAAGTGAGGGAGCTTTCACCCTTACTGATCTCATCACAGCTATGCAGGCTATGGGGGAAACACAGATGGAGATAATGGACACTATCAAAGAATTAAAAAATGCTGCCTCTAAGCCAAGCGAAGATGATAGACATCCGCAAGAAGAATCTGCCGCTGCTGGAAAGGGGTCTAAACAAAAGGGACCGTCTTTTGTCACCCAGAAGGATGTCGTTGCCATGCTGGAGAAGGAGCTTAGTCAAAGCCAGGAGGTTATGAAACACCAACCTTTGTTCTTTTCGATGGGAGGAAAGGAAGCCCAAAGGAACATGTCAACCGATTCCTTGATGCTTTGGGGCCACACGCCGGTGATTATAATCTTCGACTCCGAGAATTCTTAAAGAGCCTCCCTGATCGGGCTTATACATGGTACACCACATTGGCACCAGGCTCTATGCGTTCCTGGGATGATTTGGCAAGCAGTTTTTGTAAAAAATATTTTCAGCACGAGGAGAGGGTTACCACCACGCAACTCAACAACACTCGCCAAAAGCAAGGGGAGGATCCCGTGGACTTTGTGAGAAGGTTCCGGGACTTGGTTCTCGATTGCTATGACGAAAAGGATGAAGAGGCACTTGTTGAGATTTGCATCAACAACATTATAGCAGACTATAGAGTGTACTTGGAAAATATTGGCATCAGTCAATTTTCCTGGCTGCTGGAAGCAGTAAGAAAGACGAGCATGTCTGTCAAACTGGCTGGACAAAGAAGTTGGAGGATTGAGAAGAAGGAATCACATCAGACGTTAGCCACAGACGATAAGCCATCTAATGACTACAGCGCACGCAAACGAAAGGATAGGGAGACATACCCGCCATTACCTTGCAAAGATGAAGAGTTTCATGCCATCCTTGACACGATGATTGCTGATGGCGCGATCAAACCCCGCAAGCCCTACAACGTTCCCACCAGGGAAGAAAAGAGTGATCCCAGATATTGTCGCTATCACCAGTTTGTAGGACATCCGACCACCGCTTGTCAGAGTTTAAGAAGGATCTTACATGGCAAAATACATGAGGGGGTTCTTGAGCTTCCCTCTAGGAAGCAAACTATTGATGAAGACCCTTCGCTGAAACCAAGGGGGAAAGAGACAGCTGCTGTTATTACATGTTCGGATGATTTGCTCGATGATGACGAATTGTGCAACCCATGGAGGAATCATCCGAAGCCACCGGAGGCCATTTGGGAGCCTTGTGGAAACATGGATAAAGCTTACTGGTGCAAATACTCGAAACCATCAAGCTATGACACGCCATGGTCACTCGCTGATGGATGGGATGGCTGTGCAGACAATGGAGTGTTCATGTTGGACATGCCGGAAGAACAATGCCAGGGAGCCTAGTCCGGACAGCAGGAAACGGCTGCTGTAACATTTCACACTCTTACAGAAGCTGAGGCGACTGTAATGGAGTGATATCTGGGCTTGAAACAAGGACCCACAGCTTCACAAGTCCTCCAGAGGAATCCAAGAGTTAAGTTGCTCTTTGACCAACTTGGTTTTGGGCCTCAAGCAAGGGAAGCAGCTGTTGTAGCCCTCATGAATATTTCTGCAGAATCCAACCCCCATTGCTTCACTGCTCAACCTCAAAGGTCATTCTTGGAAAATGACAATGCTATTGTTTTCACAGATGAAGACATGGAAGTTCCATACCCGGATCATAGGAGGCCACTCTACCTGGAGGGGCAGATCAGTGATGTATTTATACGGAGGGCTTTGGTAGACACGGGTTCTTCTGACAACATTTTGCCTCTATTTGTACTTATAGCAGCTGGTATTCCACTATCCAAGATCGTGCAGTCCCAGACGAGCATTAACGGCTTTGGGAATCAAAGTGAAGTTACAGTTGGATACATGCAAGTAAATTTGAAGGTAGGGCCAATCCGGTCACTTACCAAGTTCTAAGTGGTGGACGTAGATGTGGCTTATCACGCTTTGCTGGGAAGGCCATGGCTCAACAAGCATAAACTGGTGGTCTCTACTTACCATCAATGTGTAAAGGGGAGGATTGGGCTAAGGCCACTTCGTATACCTGGGAACCAAGCACCGTTCAACCAAAACGAAGCTCACTACTCCGAGGCAAAATTCTACATTAAATGCACAGGCGCCGAAAGCAACCGATCCAAGGATTTCGGGACTTACCTGCCATCGTGGACCGAAATTTGTGATCTGAGCAATGAGGAGCTCATAACCATCGTTGATCGAGAAAGAAAGAGACACTCGGAGGTCAACAACCATGCCTACGATCATCCTCAATGATCAAAGGTGACGCTGCCAGATGGGCGCACTGTATACCGCTTATGACGGGATTGAGGGCTTGACCGTATCCTACGGGAAAGCCCCGAGTATGGAGGAGAAGCTATGCAAGCAGACGGCCGTAAGAGTCCAAATGACAAGGCACCCCTGCCTTGTGCTTTCCAAGAACCAATGACAGCACCCAAGCACATGCAAGATGGCTCAACGGCAGTAGCTGAGCAGTTGGAAACAATTGATTTGAGTAATGACCCCTCTGTCCCAAGACCCATCTCTGTCAGTGTTCATTTAACAGGGGAAGAGAAGGAAGCTTTGGTGTCTTTGTTGAAGGAATTTTGAGATGTATTTGCTCGGAGCTACGAAGAGATGCCCGGCCTTAATCCAAATTTGGTAAGTCATACGCTGAATATTGAGCTCGATACAAAACCTGTTGTACAGCCAATGAGGAATTTTCATCTTGAAATTGAGAAGCAAATCAAGGTGGAAATTGAAAAGTTGTTAGCTGCTGGATTCATCAAGCCAATCAAACACCCGACATGGCTAGCAAATATTGTGCCCGTGAAGAAGAAAACTGGGGTAATCAGAATATGCACAGACTACCGTGATCTCAATCGAGCCTGCCCAAAAGATGAGTTCTCGCTGCCCAACATGGATATTTTGATCGATTCAACCTCGGGTCAAGGCATGCTGTCCTTCATGGATGGATTTAGTGGCTATAATCAAATCAAGATGTCTCCCAAGGATGCTGAGAAAACAGCCTTTTGAACGCCCTACGAAAATTTCTACTACACGGTCATGCCATTCGGTCTCAAGAACGCCGGTGCTACCTACCAACGGGCCATGACGGCGGTGTTTCATGATATGATGGGAAAAGAGGTGGAAGACTACGTGGATGACCTTGTAGTAAAATCCAAAACCAGAGGAAGTCATCAAGGAGTTCTGAGGCAGGTGCTGGAAAGGTGCCGGCTGTACGGGTTAAAGATGAACCCAAAGAAATGTGCATTCAGAGTCTCATCCGGCAAGTTTCTGGGCTTTCAGGTACACCAGCGTGGTATAGATGTGGATTCTGAGAAAACCAAGCCATATATTCTCTTGCACCACCTAAGAATCCAAAGGAGTTGAAGAGTTTTATGGGAAGGTTGTCATACATTCGGCATTTTATTCCAGGCCTTGCTGCCATGGTGAGTGTTTTCACTCATCTACTCAAAAAAGGGAAGCCATATATATGGAGCCAAGAATGCCAAGAATCTTACCGACGGGTGCAACAACTAATCACTAAGCTACCCACGATGAGGGCACCTATTCCGGGGCTTCCACTCAAGCTTTACTTGGCTGCAACAAATACTGCAGTCGGAGCGTTGCTTGCCCAAGATGGCCATGACGGGGAGGAAAGCACCATTTATTATGTAAGCCGACAACTAAGAGGAGCTGAAGCAAGGTACCCAAAAACGGAACTCTTATGCCTTGCTCTTGTCTATGTTGCACAGCGCTTGCGACACTACTTCCTTGCTCACAAGCTACAGCTCATAGTAAGATCCGACCCTGTAAGATATTTGCTCACGAGGCCGGTGTTATCTGGTCGTCTCGCACGTTGGTTGTTACAGCTATCCGAATTCGATATCACATGCGCAACTCCTAAGGCCATGAAGGGACAAGCCGTAATTGACATGCTAGCTTTATTTCCCGAAATAAAGGAATCAACTATTTCTGAGGAAGTCCTGGGAAAGCTGCTGGAAATGGTTACTACTGTTATAGAGGAGGAGCCATGGACCCTCTACTTTGATGGGTCTTCCACATCAAAAGGTGGAGGGGCAGGTGTGGTGCTCATTAATCCCGATGGGCAAGCTACGGCTCTCTCATTCAAGCTAGACTTTCCATACACGAACAAGCATTAGAAATGGGTACGAAGCTTTTATTATGGGATTGTCCACAGCAAGAGAAATGGGTGTAGAAAGGGTGAAGATCATCGGCGATTCGAACCTAGTACTAAGCCAATTGCAAGGAAGCTTTGCTGTAAAGGAAGCAACCTTGGCACCATATCGGACAGCTGCTGAAAGGCTCATTAATTCTTTCAAGCAAATTGTGATGGAGCACATTCCATGAGTCACCAATAGGTACGCTGATGCTTTGGCCACATTGGGATCAAAGCTCTCATTTGTACAAAAGCAGCCCAACATCACCGTAATAAGGAGAAGCACACCAGTGATCGAAGCAATGACCCAAGAGGACCTACTAGAAGAGGATGATTGGAGAAAGCCACTGAAGAAAAAATTAGGTGAAGAAAGCAACATTAAAGACTTGAAAGATTATGTGATTATCTTTGGGGAACTTTACAGACGTCTTCCGGGAGGTGTTCTGACCTGGTGCGTTGGGGTGGAGGAAGCAAGAAGGAGGTTGCAAGAGGTACACGATGCCACTTGCAGCTTGGAACCAGTAATCAGCCTGTACCGGCGCTTGCAACGCAAATGTTATTATTGGCTAGAGATGAAGAAGCAAGCAGCTGAGATACAATCCAATTGTCCCACCTGTTCTACGATACCCTCCACGGAGGAGTCATTCACCATTTCATTTGCAGAAGATTGGAGGGCTCAATACTTGGCATTCTTTGTTGGAGGAACTCTGCCGGCCAACTCCAAGCTTGCCCACAAGCTCAAAAAGACCGTAAATAGGTATTTTGTTGATGGGCCAACTCTCTACCGGAAAAGGGTTTAATGGTGAGCCGCTAAAATGCTTGGGAGAATCAGAGGCACGTCAAGCCATGCAAGAAATACATGCTGGAGAGTGTGGAGAGCACCAAGGAATGAAGAAACTTCACCGGCAGCTACTAAGCGTTGGATATTACTAGCCTACCATGAAGAGGGATGCACACGACTTTGTTAAGAAATGCCATACATGCCAAATCCATGCTAATCTAAGTTACAAACCTCCTACATTGCGGCAAGACATGCGCACTCCCTGGCCTTTCCATACTTGGGGGCTCGATTTAATTGGGGCAATCCATCCCCATTCCGATGGCTACATATGGATCCTTACCGCTACGGAATATTTCACAAAATGGGTCGTGGCAATTCCCCTTCGGAAGGCCACAGGAGCTGCTGTCTCGAACTTCATTCGAGAATACATTGTGTGCAGATTCGGAATCCCATACAAGATGGTCACCAACAATGGCACGCCTTTTGTTAACAAGCAAGTGACTTCAACCCTTAGTGGGTACGGTATTAAGCATCGGCGCTCTACACCTTATTACCCGCAAGGAAACGGACAAGCAGAAGCTACCAATAAAACGATACTGAGGATTTTGAGCAAGATGGTATATGAGTACCAAGGGAGTTGGAGCATTCACCTGCCGGTTGCTTTGTGGGCTTACCGCACCTCACCAAGGAGTGCTACAGGTTTTTCACCTTACTCACTTGTGTACGGGTCTGAGGCTATTTCACCTGTGGAAATCACCATTCCAACAGCCAGAATAGCGGCTGTCAATGATCTTGAATGGAATGCAAAGACATACTCAGATTGGCGTTTGCTAGACCTCGAAGCGGTTGATGAGAGAAGGATGGAAGCAGCAAAAAGGATGGCACTCTACCACAAGACTGTTGCCCAAGCATATAACAGGACCATTAAGCCTCAAGCCTTCAAGCAAGGAGATCTCGTGCTAAAAGTCGTTGAACATGTGAGAAGGCAAGTGTCGGGACCTTCCAAGTTTGCCCCACAATGGGAGGGTCCATTCGCAATCAAGGAGGTACACAACAGTGGTTATTATCGCTTGATCTATGTCAAAGAAGGCATGCTAATGGATCCCATCAATGGAAAATGGCTCAAGCCCTACTACTGCTAAGTGGGCATATTGTCTTATTTTCATGTTATCGCATTTCCTTTTGTTTAAAAAAAAAATATTGTCTCCTTCTATATGCTCGCTTTTGTTTTGAAAAGCTTTTGTAAAAATGTACCGTCATGGTAACATGAGATTTGAAATGAAAATGAAGGAGTATTTTGAAAAGAAAATTGTCTCTGGAAGTTTTCCCCATTTTCGTGTCCTGAATTCCTTTTTGAGCATACGTTTGCAATTATATATACGACAGGTATTTCAAAAAAAATAATAAATATAGAAGAAAATATTACTCAGCAAAAGACATGCCAAGCAAAGCCATTTGAATAGGATCCTAGGTCAGTAGCAGATTTCGCGCTTTAACAAAATGAAAAGAAACACGCCAGGCTAAACACTCGCAAAAGGAAGCTAGCATGCTCATAAGGTCCAAGAACCTTCAAAGAAAATAGGCAGAGTGTCAAAAGGCCATCCTAACAAAATTTTGGCAACAACCACCATACTTCAAAAGGATACCCAATTTGTAGAAAAAAAAACTCAAGCAAAGGATTCCACCAACCAGGCATTTTATACATGTTAAACAAAAGTTACAAAAAAAAAAAAAAAAAAAAAAAAAAAAAAAAAATAGGGGTTCCGGCAGCTAGAACACAATAGCACCACAATGCCAAGCTGCCACCGTACAAGTTTTACAACATAAGTCAGATCAAGCTATACAAGCTAAGAAGTAATGTGTGCTTCAATCTCGAATGAAACTCTAGAATGTGTCAAGCTAGTCAATCCTACACCAAGCAAAATACGACCTGCAAAACAGAACAAAGAAGAATGTCAAGAGAAATCAGGGTAACATTGAACATATGTAGAATGAAGGAGGGACAAGAAGTCACGAACCTCAAAGTACCATCAAGGATGGCTAGAAAAGAACGGAGGAGACCCTGTGAGAAGATCTTGTCACTGCTTCCATCATGCAGTCAGCACTGTCAGGGGAGACACCTTGGGTAGAAAGGAGGCCACGCAATTCCCTACACTGGTTTTCCAGCTCACGCTGCTTGAAGACCAAAGCCTCTGCCGCTACCCTTATTTCATCAGGGCCGGGCCAAATATGGCACGTGCCAAATCCTTCACCAGGTTCAGAAGAGACTCTGCTCGAAAGCCCAGAGTCATAGCCTCACAAACTGCATCCCGCCAGCAAAGGAGCCTGTGATCAGTGATGTCCAGCAGCTGCACGGTATCCATCCCATGGAGCACCAAGCCGAGGGTCCGAAAAGTAGCACATCGCGAGAAGGAAGAAGTAATACCAGTCATGTCCATGAAATCCCCGTATTTGTCTAGAAATTTCTCCAAAGCCGCGACCGTCTCGGGATAAACAAGAATTCCCCGGAAGGGTGCGTAACCATTGAACCGATGACAAAGCGGCAGGAGTTCATCTGCGGATCGAAGGACCTAAGCACCACTGTCAAAGAAGGCAATGAATGCAGTAAATGATTCCTCCTACTCCAGCCAAGACATGTTAGGAAGGTGTTCTGCAGCAGCATTCCCGGCAACGGTAATGATAGCCTGGGCGTTTTCAGCAGCGCTCGTGTTGTCAGGTTGAACCGCTGGAAGAAGTGCTAGGGGACTAGGCCCTGACGCCCGGAGAAGTGGTTGAACATGGGATGGAACGAGCAGGGTCTCGTGGACGGCAAAAGTGTTGCTCCGAAGAGCTGCTGGAAGGGTTGGCGAAATATCAGGGTTAAGGTCTCTTTGGAGAAAATGCCGAAAGATAGGTGGTAAGGGGCTCGTGACTTGGAACGTAGGTGTTTCATCCCGAGAATTCGTTGGTGTCATGGTTGGAGAAGGTCCTGCAAGGGCTGCCTCAACCAATGTATTGAATGTGTTGAAGGGAGAAGGCACTACAGGCACAATTTACAAGTTCGAAGCGGCATGCTCAGCCAAAGGCAAAAAAAAAAAAAAAAAAAAAAAAAACATGCAAGGCATGCAGTATGAAGATAATAGACAGGTGATGGGCATTGGCAGATGAGTAGGAGAAGAAGGTAAATGGAATATTATCGGCACGGATACCTGAGGAGGACTCCGGGCAGGGTCAGCAATGGCTGCAGCAAGGTTTGAGCCCTCAGCAATGTCAACAACTTGCAAGATGAGCACGCATTGAGTGAACAGATTATGGTGTGAAGAAGGAAATGAGGACATAACTTAAAATGCGTCAGTTACCGGCTCAACACTAAAATGGCGCGTACTGCTACCAGCGGACCCAAAGAAAGCATCTGAACCACCTTGTCCTCCTCGATAGTTGCTGGAATAAGCAAATGCATCCTCATTGCAATCATCATTGTAGTCCCTGTCAGAATCTTCACGCATGTTGCCAATGTCATCAACGTTCTCTTATTCTGGACATCAGCCTCAGATTCAGTGGTGTCGCCATCATCACTATCATCGTCAACTGGGGTTCCGGCGGCTTCAACGTTACTGGTGCGTGTTCCAGTAGATCTTGCGTGTAGAATGCGCATGCTACGACGTTTAGGGGTCACCTGAGAAGATACCGGGGGTGTGTCACTTCTCTTTCTCTTTGTGGTTGTACCCATTTTCCCTATATAAAATATATATATATATAATAAATAAGTATGTACCTAAATATCATACACGCATAGGACTAAGTAGGGAGCTGCCAAGGGAAAAGGAAGAGGAAGACCAAACAAAATTAGGGCTCTTAACGCCTATAAAAGGAGGCTTTTGCTACCCAGAAAAACCAACCATTGATAGCCTGACCAAGCTTTGTCAAGCATCTGAGAATTCGCTCAAGGCACCCAATTCCCTCTTTTGTTCGTTCTTCTTCTCCCCCTTAGTATAGAAGTCGGGCTAATATTCCCCTGTTCACTTCGGGCTTCTTTTCTCTATAAGGAACTCATGCCTCTCTCTCTCTCTCTCTCTCTCTCCCTCTCTCTCTCTCTCTCTCTCTCTCAAATGTGAAAGCTTAGCTCCCATGCCACAGGCTCCTCAGGCTAAGCCATTAGTGAATTTATCATGCTTATTTGGGTGTTAGTAAAGTGATCCTAAGAGTGTTCTTTTAAAATCTCATCAGATTTTTTTAAAACTCTTTTGGGAGCTTGGTTTCGAACTCAGGCATTTGGGGGATTTTGTTCGTCGTCTTCTTACAGCAGCCCAAGCCCATTCGTCAGGCTGTTGGAACAAAAAACCCCCTACACTATGATAATGGGTTATATGAAAAAAAATCTAGATAAAAACCATTGAAAAACAAATCACAACACCAAACACAATATAACTTAGTTAGACTATTTATTCGGAACAACACCAAACACCTTATAATATTATGGATAAACAGTCAGTACTTTACGAAATAGATTAATACTATCCGACATAAATTAATCAATATAGTCTGATGTACCAAACAAGCCCTAAGTTGTTTAATTTTAAGAATATCTTTGTCCATATAAGCACATAGGTTACATTAAAACTTGTTAGTTGTATTATTATATACTTTTTACCGTTGTTGTATTCTATTAATTTTCGTAATGGTAAATGTATAGAAAGTTCCATTGTTTTTCTATTTTTTTTTAATCACTACATTGATTCGATTCGTTGTAAGATGTAAGTCATAATTTACACAATCTTGGACTTATTATATGACACAAATGTAGCAAATTATTATTCAATTATTTTGTTAAAATGGACTTGTTAGAAATATAGAAAACTATTACATTTTGGTGCCATAAATTTTAAATTTTTTATTTAAGAAAAAATGTAGTTGGGGCACATGTCTTGCCTTATAAAAATAAAATGAACAATTATGAAAGAGTGTTGATCAATTTACAAGATATTGTTTGTCCATCATTTTTCAAAAAAATAACTAGAGTAATAAAGCATCAAAATTCATCTTACGAATTTATTTTTATTTATGCTTACGATGAAGCAAACAATGGCTAGTGTAAGTTTGTGCAAGTATTTTCGAAGGCGGCACTAGTGTAAGTAATTATTGTTGTCGTGAACTTGTATATGTAGGCAAAATATGTCATGATCTATTCTTCAACTCCTCTCTATTGTCTAAATCCAATGTCGACAAATGTAGAGTTCTGGCAAAGAGTGCACAAATTTGGAGCCAATGTGTTGCTATTAGAGTTTCTCCCACATTTTCTATCGCAATTCCAACTTCAGAGACATCATATTCGAAGACCTTGGATGAATGTAAAAAATATCTCCATTGAGTGTGCTCGGCAAGTTGGTGAAAATATCGAAGGCGGGGCTAGTGTAACTAATGCTTGTTGCTATGAACTTGTACATGTAGACAAAACATGTCATGATCTATTCTTCAATTCTGCCCTTTCTTCCAAGCCCAATGTCGACAAATCTAGAGTTTTGACTAAGAGTGCGCAAGTTTGGAGCCAATGTATTGTGATTACACTTTCCCCTACCTCTTTTATTGCTTAAACTGAGAAAAAAATGGATAATAAATTATGTATGTGATATATGGTAACATTTTAACAAAATTTACGTTTGTACAACGGAAAAAAAAAGATTTTGATATGTGCATTTGGCACTTATTTAATTTCTACTATTACCTACTATAGTTAACAATTCTTCACGTCAACCAATTACTCTTTACCATTGTTTTCACCTTTTTAAAAATCAAGATATTAACGAAAAAAATTGTAATTTTTAAGTGTGCCTATTCGTTGGCCATTTCTTCTTTTACTTTTATTATTATCACTTACATGTTTGTCTTTTTCGTCCTCACCCTCATTATTTTCATCCTTTTCATTTTATTCATTTTCACGTTGAAGATTAGAAACACCCACTCAGTACAATCATGAACAAAATTAGTTGGATCATATTTGCAAAATTTTGTTCTTATATGATAAATGAACATATAAGAACGAAATGTACTTTTTACTGTTTGTTGTATTCTATTAATCTTCCTAATGAAAAATGTATAGAAAGTTCCATTGTTTTGTTCTTTTTGAATGACTGCGTTCAACTCTTCTTTTTTGTCTAAACCCAATATCAACAAATCTAGAACTTTGGCAAAGAGTGCACAAGTTTGGAGCCGTTGTGTTGCTATTAGAGTTTCTCCCACATCTTCTGTCACAATATTCTATCGCAATTCCAACCTCAGAGGTATCAAATTCGAAGAGCATGACGAATGAATGTAACAAACATGTCTCCATTGAGTGCGCTCGGCAAGTTGGTGCAAATATTTTCGAAGGTGGGGCTAGTGTAACTAATGCTTGTTTCCATGAACTTGTATCTGTAGGCAAAATATGCCATGATCTATTCTTCAACTCTTCTATTTCATCTAAACCCAGTGTCAACAAATCAAGAGCGTTGGCAAAGAATGGACAAGGTTGGAGCCCATATGTGTTGCAATTACAGTTTCTCTCACATCTTCTATCGCAATTCCAACCTTAAAGGCATCATATTCGAATACCTTGGATTGGATGAATGTAAACAAAATGTCTCCATTGAGTGTTCTCGAGACGTCGGTGCAAATATTTCGAAGGCAGGGCTAGTGTAACTAATGTTTGTTGTCATTATCTTATATATGTTGGCAAAACATGCCATGATCTATTCTTCAAATCTGATCTTGCGTCTAAACCCAATGTCGACAAATCTAGAGCTTTGGCAAATAGTGTGCAAGTTTGGAACCAATGTCTTGCAATTACAGTTTTCCCTACGGCTTCTCTCACTTATCCAGAAAATAAAATGGATCATAAATTATGTATGAGATATATGGTTTGAGAGTGTAACAATTTAACATAATTTATGTTCATTCATTGACAAAAGAAAAAAATTCGATATGTGTAGTTACTTTATGATATTGAACAATTCAAAGGAACAATAGTTAACAATTCTGCACGTCAACCAATTCCTCTATACCATTGGTTTCGCATTTTAAAACTCGAGAGATTAACTCACAAAAAAGCTGTAGTTTTGAAGTGTGTCTATTCGTTAACCGTTTCTTTTTCAATTTTCCTATAAAAACAACTTGGTCCTAAATCTTTTTTATTTTATTTTATTAGATCCAATAGTATAATTACTTTTACTAACTCACCCTCGTTGTTTTCATCCTCTTCATTTTACTCGTTTTCACATTGAAGATCAGAAACACCCGATCAATACAATCATGAAGAAAAAAAAAAGTTGGATCGTATTTGCATAATTTGTTCTTATACGATAAATGAACATATTTTACATAGAAAGTCAAATACATATATTAAATTAGGGTTACAAGCATTAATATAAACGAGTAGGGTTGACAATGGATTGTAGCTTAACTAAGGTGAACAAACTCTCGTCTTTAATATCCCGAGGAATTTATAAAGTACTTAGGCGTTTTCATATTCCAAATAATTTGTGCAAAAAAAGGGGTGTCACATTAAAGTAAAAACTTGTAATATTCCATGGGGATGACAAAATGTGATACGTAACGTAAGTAAACTCACCAACTCACACTTCCTTCCAACCCAGCCCTCATGTTACGTGTGGTGGGGTTGAACAAGAAAGGAATCACATCGGCTTGGTCCCAATTTGATGTTACATGAAGTCGAGAAATGTTGTCAAACCTTGCTTTCTCTACAAGAATCAGAATCTTCGTAGAAGGCAAGAAGCATGACATTGACAACGTTAGAAAAGTAGAGATGTATTAGGTTTTCCAAATTTGTAGAACACTTTGCTGTCCAAGTGTCTATCATAAAAAGCGACAGTAAGAGAATCGTCGTACATATTTGACATGAAGTCTTACTCTCATTAGAAAAATGAACATATACAATGGTAGTATTATGTTTTGATTTAGTTTGCTTAAAAACAAAAATGCTAAGATGGTCAGGATAGTATTCACGTCTCCTTCCGCTCAAGTTCGAATCCTCATCTCCGAAAATAATGAGTAATATTAAGATATCGCCTTATAAAAACAAAAGGGTAACTTCCCAACATATACGATTCAACAATAGAGTGAGTGAATTTTCTGTATATCTTTAAAATTGTGAATACAACGCTTTATTTCTTTTTAAATACATTTCCAAAATGACTTCTAAAAGATTCTAGAACCACTTATAGAATGATCGTAGAATAAGTACGTTGCAGTTTGCAGACGCCTACTAAGAATTGGCATTGCTGACCCTAAACTTTTCCCGTACTCTTTTCTCTTGACTTGAACATTACCCACTAACAATCGAAAACAGGCCTGCAAGAAGTAGCAAATTAGAAAATTCCAATCTCAAAGCTGAAACAACCAACCAAGATAAAAGTGTTTCATTACACTGAGGGGACGAAGGTATAAATAGCCAGAGCACTCCCAGAGTTGCCAAAGGGAACAGAATACCAGAGGAGAGGCAGACTTTAGAGAAACTCATAGAAAGCGGTTAGCAGGAAAAACTACTGGTGCAGCTAAAGAACCGAATGTAGCCAGGTTACCCACCCATGCGCCGTAACGAAGCAGTTACAGTAAAATCTCCCGACTTACAGTAATTTAGGAGTTTAGCATATATTCTAATGAAGTAGGAAGAATATGAACTCCATTTCCAGCCAATGGAAGAAACAAGCATTTCCACCTGGCCATGCAATTCGACTACAAAATATAAGCTACTGTCAAGTTTAAAAGGAGGAAATTGAATTTTCCTGACCAATATGAGAAAAAGAAACATTGTTATCAATTATAAAATGTGTGAGCCAACCAGAACACCAGAAAACTAAAAGTACCAAGTAAATCTGCCTTCAAATTTTCAAACAAAAATAATGAACCTACAAAATTGAACCAGCCAAATTAATGAATGCAACGGAACTCCAATAGCTGGCCTTGGAAGGAAATATTTATTCAAATCATTATGTCTAAGAAGCTGGAATCGCTAATTGACTCCTCGTCAGCGGCCAACAGTTGCCGGACTGGCTAGCCTTCCCTGCCTTCAGCCTAGCTACTTAGTCTTAACCTATTACTTGAATCAAGGTCATTGCAGCAAACTAATGAACTTGAAACATGTTCCTCGTCGGGGAAACTCTTCCCTCACTAAGTTGTAAGCTCTTCTACAACAATGTGGTTTATTTGATCCCAAGGAATTTATGTTTATATAACCATATCCAACTTCTACATGTTTAGTTTCTTCAGACTCTGTTCTGAGAAAGAATCCAAGATGTCATAGTGTCCATATCCATGAAAGAGAACATTGATTGGTTTCTCCTCTTCTTTCCGATACTCTTCACCATAATTTGCTATGTTAACCAAACCAGCTGAGCTTCTATCTATCATGAAGACAGATATTGGTGTCCTGAGGAGTAAAACATTGTGTCAGACTTAAAGATTAAGCAGATTGCTATATAACACACCCTCTTCCAGATAAAAACCGAAAGAAATGCAAAATGGAAACTAAAATTGTAGAACCATGATAGGTAGTGTCCCCTTTCAAAATTAATCAAGGAAAAAAAAGAATGACAACACAAAATATGCAGCCATGGAAGCTAAACTAAACTACACTTAAGGGGGAAAATGCAGGCCATTTGCATGAAAAAATACTAAATGTAGAACCTGGGAAGAGACAAAGGAAAAGTTGAAATGAAAGAATATAAAAACCCCAGGCTGAGAAACTAAACTTCAAACTTAAACTCTGACATTTTAAAATGCATAAAATTGTCGAACACAATGACAACGCAACCTATTTATTGAAGCCACACAAATCTGAATATAGAAATCCTAACATAAAACCCAATAATAACCCAACATGTAGCTCAAAATGCTTAACTAAAGTCAACTATAGATAAGTTAAAACCCTATGCCACGAAACTAAACCACACACCCTCGTCGCATGTACATGAGTAGAAACGCATCACAAACTCCATCCATGGCAACATGATGGTATGAGAATCCAAAATAAGTAGGAAGGGCAACCGGGCCTATGGAGTTAACACAATTCTACCAGAATGAGAAAACATCAACAATCATGGTTGAAGGTATAACAAACAACACAAACTGCTTGTTCTCACTTTAAAACATGAGAAGCCATCAGCAACTCAGGTTCTCCACCCCAAACATAAGGCTGTTGAAGTCTCTTCACATATGCATCAAAATCACCTTCGATGAACCTAAACATGCATTTCATAAAAGATTAAAAACCAAATCATTTCTGTGACATGGTAACAAAAACAAATTGAAAAATTTCAGTCCAAAATCACAAAAGCTTACCATTCTGTTTCCTCACGCCTCTTTAAGAGCTCGTCTACAACCTAAACCACACGATAAGAAAATACAGCACACACATAAACAATTTGGTAAAAAATTCAATGCCTCCGAAAAAGGAAACAAAAAAACATTATGCCTAAAAATGAAAGTTACTTGAGCTCTTAATTCATCAGCGAGATCTCTCTGACGATTCTCATCAGGGGCTTCCTCCCCATTTCTCAAGCAAGCAACGTGTGCTATCGCTCTGAATAGGCATCGACCATCGGCTGGCACCCCTGTTATTATCTCAAACAGAATCAACGTATAGTTCAGGATGTTTTGACGGAAAATTGAAGTCAAAACAAACGAAGACAACGAAAGTAACTCATGTATGCATGCACCCAAAAACAAACACAAAGAGTCACCAAACAAAGCATTAGCAAAAGCACCAAAAGTTCCAAAAGAGAAAAGTTAAGAATAGTGGCTTTCAATAAAACCAATTAAAAATTCACAACCAAAAAGTGCACATATGACTAAGCATTTCTCAATAGATTAATCTTAGTGGTGAATCCAAACACCCAAAATGAAAAAGATGAGAGTTTTCTTCTTAATTATTTATAAATAAATAAATAAAATACTTGACACAACAAACTCAATAATTCACTGAAACAATGTCAATAAATTGATGAAATTGATCCAAATTAGCATTAATTACAACAACAAAAAAAGACCTGTAACTCTGTAATCAGCGGAGCTATCAATGTTATTCTGATCGGGAGCAGCTGAGCATTTCGAATCAAAACTCTCAGCATTCTCGTTCAAAACGCCGTCGTTTCCGTCGGGAGTAGAGTCGTCAGCCCAGTCGATCGGGGCTAGGCAGTTGCAGACGCCGAAGAGGAGCCAAGCCGAGTCGGGACGGTGGAGCCAGCGAGCTGGGCGTGCGTCCCAAGCGGCGTTCCACGACCCCTCTCCCTTAAGCTCGTAGTGGATCGCCGGCCGGCGGAGATCTCGAGATCTCCGGTTGCAGGACGAAGGGAGCAAGGCGTGCCATATCGATGCCGCGCCGGTGCCGCAAGCCGAGCCGAGCTGGCACGCGCTCGAGTGGTGGTGGCGCCGAGTCTCAAAACCGCAGGAGAAGCTAGCGATTTGCTGATGAATAAGGGGAAGGGTATGGGCTTGGAGGAGCCGGCTCTGGTGAGCCGCCGCCGAGCCGTGAGCGAAGGACGAGAGGGAGCTGACGATCCAAGTCTTGCGGCGCGCGCAAAGAAATCCGAGCATCACCGGATTGAGTCGTTGAGGGAGGAAGAAGGGATGTGTGTGTGCTATTGGTCAGCTGTCTGGTTGACGGGCTTAACCTACGCACCAATTCGTCGCTGGAAGGTTGGAGAAAGTGGCGTACAGCTATCACCAGAAAGGCTATTGTTGGTGGCTGCAGCCATGGCTAAAGGTGATGATGATGAGATTTTCTGAGGTTTTTGTGAGTGTGAGGGCGAAGCATTTTAGGGAAAGCCAAGAGGGTGACACTCGCGTTTCACGAGGAAAATGTGATTTTTAATTTTTATTTTATTTTATTTTATTTTATTATGATATAGGGGCAAAATATATGTATGTTTTGTTTTTTGAAGTTTGTGATTTATACTGTTGGAAGCATATGCCAATGAGATATTCCAGAATTTTCTTTTTTATGGGTTGATTTCATTTTTATGATTATTTATTAAATGAGAAACGATTACCAATCTGTATTAAATAATTGACAAGTGGGCAGTTTTACGTTTATGAGATAAACTCTTTATTAGAGTAAAATAACTTTGAAATTTGAAAATAAAATTTAAAAATAACTCTTATATTTTAAATACTAATATATGGTAATTATTGTAAACCTTATTTAGGGCTATAATTGAAAAACTAAATAAAGTTTGTTTACAAATCGTGTACAAACCAAATATGGAAAATGATATTTCTTAGTTACTTTTCTGACATTACCAACATGGTAAATGAATATCGAACAAAAAACCAAAAGAACATGTACATGAATTTTCCATTTCTCATCTCTTAGGAAAATACATGAGAACTGATTTCTCTTCAGTCGCAAACCAAAACAGGCCTTAGGGTGAATTTGCTTCACAGGAAAAGGAAATTGGTAAGGCCATGCTTGAGAAATGATTTCTTGGCTCATGAATAATATGAGGAAAATGAACCTCCTCCCACAATCCGCTTTGGGGTTTCATTTTCCCTTCCTAATAAAACCAATACAATCATTAACTACACTTTTTAATGCTTAACTTGCCCGTATTAACAATTAAAAAATACCCATGAAAGCAGTAGTTATCCTATTTTTGCATATCTCTAATTTAGGGATATAATTATAAAATTAAACAAAGTTTGTTTTTAATTTGTACACAAACCAAACATAGGAAAGGAAAAAAGATATCCTAGTTATTTTTTTGACATTATTAAACATGGTAAATGAATCTTCCATTTTTCATCAGGTGGGAAAACACATGGGGATTGATTCCCTATTAATTACTTTTTTATGGGAAATAATTTCCCATATCATTTCCTAAAGGATGGGAAATGGAAGATTCATTTCCCATGTTTGGTAATGTTGGGAAAATAACAGAGAAATACCACTTTATTTTCTTTCCCATGTTTGGTTTGTGTAGGAATGTAAACCCATAGCCTAAAATATCGATAATATTGACAAAGTATCGATAATATTGATGATAATATCGAAAAATATATATGTCAATAATTTCTCTCATACTTCAGCAATATTTTGTCAAAATATCACTATAATATCGAGAATATTGAGATGATTAAGACAATGAAAAATTTGAAGAGTTATTTACACTAACACCCCCCTGAGGTTTCTTGTGTTTTTGCAAAACCCCTTCAGGTCTCAAAAATTACACGAACACCCCCTAAGGTTTCAATTTGTTTTCACAAAACCCCTTTTTGTTGATTGTTTGTCCAAAAATTGATGATTTCATTGGAAAAAAAATTATACAAATGACAAAATTAACCTCAATGAAATATATGCAATCTAATCTCACATGTCTGCGACGATAGGTTTGAGAGCTATGGAACTGCAAAGTTGGGTCATCCGACCACCATTGTCTCTCGTTGGGGTCCTGAACTCTGATGGTTTGCCCTGTCCCCCAGTTGGGTCATCTCACTTGAACTAGATTTCTGTTCTGTTTGGTTGGGCTTGAGACAGTTTACTAAACTCCGACGGAGCTTTAGATTTGTCTAACCCATATTGTATTTTGCTTATGTTCTGTGTTCTTGCTGGTTCGGCCAGCTGTGTTGTATTTGCTTCCCGTTTTGGGCTTTTATAATACAACAATCTCTTTCAGACCAAAAAAAATCTCAAATGCCAACTTTGTCATTTAGAAATTTTTGTTTTTTTTTGTGGGTATAAAATCATCAATCTTTGGATGAAAAATCAATGAAATGGAGTTTTGGGAAAATAATTTTAAACCTCAAGGGGTGTTCTTATAATTTCTAAAACCTCAAGAAGTTTTGTGAAAAAGTCAAAAACCTCATGAGGTGTTAGCGTAAATAACTCAAATTTGAACATTGTAGAAACTCTAAGTGGTACTAAGTCACTTATAGAAACTCTAAGTTTGAACCTTGTAGTAAATTATTACAAATAAATGATTTTGGTGTGTTTAATCTTCTTTCATTAATTACTACTTATTTTCCACACTTGCAATGTTTATCAGTTCGTTATATAAGCACCTTAAATCATTTAAACCCATCATGTAATGCAATTCCTTCTAATTTTTTGTGATAAAATAATAGATAATTGACTAAATAAATATCCTCCAAAGTTTTGAGAAAAATTTCCAAGTTTTTCTTATAATTTCAGTGGTTTTTATTCAATTTTTATCGATATCGATAATATCTCAATATTTTCATCTAAATTTCCGTGTTTTTGGACTACCAATATTTTCGAAACCATCGATATTTTAGACCTTGTGTAAAAAAAAATTTGTTTAGTTTTTCAATTATACCTATAAGAAATCAAATAATAAAATAATGCATTTAATGCTATATTGTAATTCTAAATTGTTAATGGGGACAAATGGTCATGAAAAACGTGTATTTAATACTGGTCCGTTTTCCCAAACTTTCCCATTGGAAGGGAAAATGAAACCCAAAGGAGGAGGAGGGTTACACTTTCTCATGTGCCAGACAACTGTTTTCCATAATTAAACTTACCAAATATAAGAAAATAATTAATTTCCTGTCCCCAAGCCTTCTTTCTCATAAACCAAACGGAGCCTTAGAGTAATCAAATAAATGGCTATCAATAAAATTATTTTATGTCCCATATTCTACTTCTTTTTTAGCCACAAAAAAATTACTTTTATGTTTTATATTATCACATTTTAGGATTTAAAGCATTTTGGTGGAAGAAAAGAAGAAATTTTGTCTAAGTTAAAGGTAGAAAATCGATTACTTATGAAAGAAATTCATCTCATTAATCAACACAATATAAGAGGATATCAAGACCTTATAGACTATCCTTTCTAATTTCCACTCAAATGAAGAATTATTCACCTTTACATTCATTTCCTCGTTCAACATGCTTGTGAGTTTTTCAGTCGAATCCAATTTCAAGTACCTATTTATAAGGGCATGTTGAATAAGTAAATAGAGAAATTTGTTCCAACTTGAAGATAGAAGATGAATTACTAATCAAGGAAATTATCCCCAAAATAGTAGGATATCAACACCTTATAACGTGTCCTTCTTTAATCTCAAAATGAAAATCCCTCAAATCTACCTTCATTTCGTCCTTGAACCTACATTTGATCTATTGCGCTATCCAATCCAATTATTGACAGGACTCGACTTGAATTTCCCCTCAGAACTCCTGTCAAATCATGTTATTCGACCGGCACCAGAACGATGCCGGACCTACTACTAACTTTACACATCTCACCCGTACTTTTCAAGAAATATCAGAGCAACTACTAGAGTTAAATTTACAAAGTTAGTTTCCAAATAAACAACAAAAACGGAAAATGAAGTTTCCTACTAGGTAGAACTACAAGGAATTCACCGACGCCGGAGCAGCTTACGTGGTTGTCTGAACTATGAGCTATTGTTGAGGCCCAAAAAATCCACGGTTAGGCCTGAATAAATTCCCGGCCCAGTACGACACTTAACTTGAGAAGAAACTCAATTTGGGTATGCAAGAGTTCATGATATATGCTTGCACACGTGCCACGCCAAGCAAATAAGCAACACGCCACGTTACAAGCTTAATTGGGCCCAAGCCGTGCAAGATGCCCAGGGCTTGCTTGAGTGGGTTGTGGTATAGATGGTAATAAGTTGACATGAGACCCATTGATGGGTTGAGAAATGGAAGTCCCGGGGTTGCTTGGGAGCCTCGGAACTCAAGCCCATTTCTTAGGCCCAAACATGTGGGTGAGCACAAAAGAGAAACTAGCCCAACCAAAATAGCCCATCACTTCAACTAAACTAGCCCAATACTTGATGAAGTCAGCCCATTTGTTTGATAAATCAACTTTTGTCTTAGAAGACCCATACAATTATAATAAGGAGTTGCAAAAGCCCCAACACTTGGCTGGAGAACAAAAAGCTACGAGGGGAAGTTTGAAGGTCCACTATGCAGAGCTGCTAGGAGGCTCCAGCACATAGGAGTGAACAAGTTTCAAGCAAAAAATCCAAAAAACCAAGGGATACTTGAGCAAAACACCTTTCAAACCAGTGTACATACCCATTTCTTTTTCCCCATCAGATCTAACCATAGAATAGGGGAGAAAAGAAGGAAGAAAGATGGCTGAAAATGGGAGTTCTCCATTGAGGCAGTAAAGAGCATTGAGCTCCTAAAAATCCCTGATTTTGTGCAAATGGGCAAAGTGGATTTCACCAAAATAGGATGATTAAAGGGATGAGGGGAGAAAGGAAGGGAAACACTTGGCCAAATTGGATAGAAACTATTAGGGTTCCTTGGAAAATTATATCTTCCAGCACCTATAAAAAGAGGCATTTCCTACCCTGATTTTGTGCAAATGGGCAGAGTGGATTTCACCAAAATAGGATGATTGAAGGGATGAGGGGAGAAAGGAAGGGAAAGACTTGGCCAAATTGGATAGAAACCATTAGGGTTCTTTGGAAAATGATAGCTTCCAGTGCCTATAAAAAGAGGCATTTCCTACCCATCATCACAACACACATCTGGAGAGCAAGCTTTATCTCTCACATCTGAAACCTCTGCAATTTCGGGCCCCATCCTTCCATCTCTTCCCATTTTCCCTTTTGGTAAACTTTTCCAAAGCTTGACAGAGTTTTCGTCGAGCTGGTGGAAACTACCCAGCACACCCACTACTTCATCATTAGCTAAAACAACCACATCCAGAGAGCAAGCTTCCTCTCTCACCTGCAAAACCCAACAAATTCGTGCTCTATTCGTCCTTTTTCCCCCAAGAACGCATAACTTTCTCTTCAATGCTAAACTCATGTCAATATTGCTCCCATGCCACAAGCCTCTCATGCCAAGCTAGAAAATCTATCTGTAAGCTGTTGTTATTTTTGTTGGTGAAGGTAACCAAGGTATTTCTTAAGGCATCTCTGTCCTTTCGAAGCATTTTTGGGGCTTGATCTTCGAACTCAGGCTCAAGGGGCAATTTCATCTATTTTGCTATTTACAGCAGCCTAGGCCCGTAGTAGCTGCCGGAACGAAAAAGCCCATGCAGCTATGTACTTCCTGAGGGCACAAAACAATAAAAGTGTGAGTGGACAAAAAGAAAGTTTTTCTTGAAAATAGTTATACAGAACATACTAACCCCTCTGTTTTCGCAAACCCTTGAAAACTTACTAAAAACACAAGCAAATTTACGTATAGGAACATAATATAATAAATCCACATGTAGGTAAAATAATCTCGGAAATAACTGTAAAGTAAAGTTTCAATTAATACAATATGGTATCTCAAACAACATTTAATTCCAAAATATCAAGTAACTCAAAATATAATTCAACAAAAAATCAAGTTTCAAACCATTCTTTGAATTCAACAAAAAGTATGATCTTAGGGGGACATGGGGTGCTCTATTAGTGGTTAGGTTCAATGACGGACTCAGGAATTTGGTCAAGGGTAGGCTAATATTTTTCTTTGCTTTGGGGACTCAAGCAAACAAAAAAAAAAAAAAAAAAAAAAAAAAAAATAATTAAAATATTTAAAAACCAAAAAATAATGTTTTTTTAATAAACAAAAACAAATAATATTAAAACAAACCATTTAAACAAACCCTTTCTCCTTCTCTCTCCTATCCTGACTTGAGAAGCAGAGAACCTCACCCTGATGTTTTGATGGAACCTCAAGCAGAGAAGCAAGTTCTCTTTCAAATGGCATAAGAAAAAAATCCCAAAAATTTAACAACCAAACCCTAAATCTTAAAAACCTAATGATTACCATTAAAATTTAACAAATAGAACCTAAATGTTATTACTGTGAGAAGCATTTCCTCACTCTGCCTCCTCTTCTCTATGTGAAAGAGAGAGAGAGAGAGAGAGAGAGAGAGAGAGAGAGAGAGAGAGAGAGAGAGAGAGCGACAATGAGAGTTGAGAGAGGGAGGGTCGGGAGATGGATATTTGAGAGATTCTGTAACACCCCCGACCCAATTTAATTGTTTCATTCAATTTATCTATTTGTGAATTTATAATTTGTCCTTAGGGGATAGGGGCACTTTGGCCACTTTTTGATCCGAAAGGTTTTGGGGAATTGAGTTGCACCGTTGCGTAGATCTCGACAATACGAGTCCGTACATAGGTGGCACGTTAAATTATGAGTTTTAACGAAGGAGAAAATACATGAAAATTGAAAAGGGCACATTAGTAATGTTAAATACAAAATATCTAGCGTGCTACAGGCCAACCACTTTGGCTGGCGATTTCTCCCAACTTCAAAGTCAGTTTCAGGCAATACCTGTCCCAAAATCTCAATCTCTTCATCCTCTACCCAGCCGAAAACATTTTGTAGCTTGAAAACCAGGCAATTTGCGACTGGAACAACATCAAAATCGTCCAACCGTTGCCATAGTCACTGACGACGATTCCAACCGTGCCATTGCTTGGAACAGGTAGCTTTCCTCTCCCTCATGTTTTCCCCTAGATTGCGTGACATCATTGGTGGCTGTCGCCACCATTACGAGGCCGTGAAGTTCCAGTCAAAATCCTCACGGGTTTGGTCCTGATTTTCTTATTTTCGGCCAGGTTTGGGCCATGGTCCAAGAACAAAAAGTGTTCCCCTAAGTAGTCTGATTCTAATGGTATGGGTATTGACTGCCAATTTGGAGTTTTCTAGTCACCAGAATTTTCTCAAGACACCTACGTGCTACCCACGGTGGGTGGCGGTTAGTGGCCTACTGGGTGTTGGCCCATTATGTTTTAAAACACTCCTCACATTGTCCCAAGCACGATGATATGCTCGGATTTGAAATTGGTTGTCGTTTGACTATCGAATGGATATTGCGCATATTATGCGATATTTTGGTTCAATAGGTTCAGACTATTTGATAGGTCCCAATTTCAATTATATTGTTCTCTGTACCTCTAGGATCGTGTAGGAACTCACAGATCGAGAATTGAAGTATCGGATGCTCCGAATCAATGATGCTAGGATTAGGCAAAGCAATCGCCGTCCGATTGTGCGATTGGCTTACATCTGACTACCTTGGAAGCTGAGACATATTTGTCGCCACAACATTCAGAATATTTTGGTCAACTTGCAACTGCCACCAAACTCTTCCCAGTACGGGTATGTAGACAGGGTTTTCAAGGCCATCTAACCTACTTGCACCACCACCTAACAAAGGACCGGCTGTTTCTACTTATGCTCGAATTGAATGTTTCCATTGCCATGCCAAAGGACATATTGCCTCTTGTTGTCCACATCAAACTTTAACTATCAACACTCCCTCTAGTGAGCTTTGTGAGATTGTGAGATTGTGGAGCCTCTTGAAGGTGTCTATGATACGGACATCGATGGTTGCTAACCCTTGTCCCCTATTATTCATACTTGCAGTCGGTGTTGTCGTCATTAATTTACCTTTTGTGGTTGTTTATTGGTCGGAGTCGAGTTTATTTCTCGAGAAGAGAATGATACAGGACGCGTATGACCTAAATTTATTAGTTTCTTAATGTATATGTTAGTTTTCTAGATTCTCTAGTTTTCCAAATTCTAGCAGGATTTCTACTTTTCTAGGTTTCCAGATTTCTAGTTTTAAGTTTCCTATTTTATTTGGGTTAGGATTTTTGTTTAAGTAAGGGATTTTTATCCTATTATGTCTAGGTTTTAGTTTGCTATAAATACCCCCATGTAGTTCTTTAAAATTCATGTTTGAATGTTGAGTAAACCTTTTCCTAGAACTCTCTAATTTCATCCCTTCAATTTATATTTCTTCTCCTCGATCCCCGATATTCTTCTTTGTTCTACTGTTTCTACTCTTTATCTTGTCTTTTCGATCTATATTTCTTCTCCTTGGTCTCTTATATTCTTCTATGTTCTATTGTTTAAATGCTTAATCTAACACCTATGGGTTGTACTACATTAGTTTTCTAAGGATTTTTATTGTTATTATGGTTATTATTAAAGTACATGGATTGGGTGATATGGGGTTTGATTATGAAAGTATTTTGTGGATTGTCTTGCATATTTATATAATTGGGATTATTGAGATTATTTTGATTATTGAGCTTATGAAATTATAATATTGTTTATTTTGTGGATTATAGTATTTTATGGAATTATTGAAGTTTATTTTGTGTGGGGGCGTTTTCATTCATGCAGCTACTGATGGGCTTGGGCTATTGTAAAGAGCAAATGGGTGAAGTGGCCCTTGTGTCTCCTTCACCAACAAAACCAACAGTCGCTTACAGATAAATATTATGGCTTGGCATGAGAAGAAGCTTGTGGCATGGGAGTTGAGCATTCGTGAGTTTTAGCATGAGAGAGAGAAGACTTGGGTTTCCTATGAGAAACGGAGGATCGAAGTAGGGGGAAGAGAGAGTTTTTGGGAGAATTTGCTGAGGGGAAAGAGAGATAGAGATTAGGATGGAAGAGTGGGTGCTTTGAGTAATTTTCCGGCAGTTTGACGAAGGCTTCGTCAGGCTCTGGAATAGCTTGCCATAAGAGAAAATGGGAAGAGATGGAGGAATAAGGCTCAAAATTGAAGTGTTCCAGGGATGAGAGGTGATGCTTGCTCTCTCTGGATGTGGGTTTTGGGAGAGAGAGGAAGAAGATGGAAGAACAAAGCATGAAATTGAAGGGTTCCAGAGGGGATGCTTGCCTTCGATGAGTTATCTTTGCTGGATAGAAAGTGCCTCCTTTTACAGGAGTTGGAAGGCTCCAATTTTATCCTTGCTTGGTTTTGGTGGTTTGGCTTCGATTTGGATATTTCCACAATGTTGGATATTTTATAAGGTGCTGGGTTGGACTATTTTGTTTCCAGTGGCTTGTGAGTTTGCTTTGATTTCGTCGAGCTACTAGAAGTTTTGGCTGACGTGGGATTTTTTCAAGTGTTGTGGGCCTTTTCTTAAGGTGATGGGCTATTGAGTTATCTCTTTCATGCTTACCCATATGTTTGGGCTCAAGGAATGAGCTTGAGTTTTGGCACTCCCAAGCAGCCCAAAACTTTCGCTCCTTAGACCATCAATGGGCCTTGTGAATACTCATAATCATTCATACCACAACCCGCTCAGCAAGCCCCAGACATTCACGTGGCTGGGGCCCACTTAAGCTTGTTGCATGGCGTGCTGTTTATTTACTTGGCGTGGCATGTGTGCAAGCGCATATGATGAACTCTTGCGTACCCAAGTTGAGTTTCTTCCCAAGTTAGGTGTCGTGTCATACTGGGCTAGAAATATATTTGGGCCCAGCCTTGGATTTTTTAGGCCTCAATATTTTAATATTTGGAGTTTATGAATATTTTGGGTTATGGAATTTATGCTTTTAAGAGTTTGATATCTATATTACGTATATATCATGGGTATTGAGTTATGGACGCTATTATTGTCTAGATGTCTATGTATAAGGGATTTGGTACATTGGAATATTTGGAGTTTGGGATATGGTTATGGTATATGAGTTGGGATGTGGAATATGTTATATTGGAGTGTTGATAGCACCACCCTATGTACCTCCCCGACACTTAGATACTTAGAAACAATGGATACTTGGATATGTCAGAATCTGGGCACCTTGACGAGGTGTTTCATAGGTCCTTGATCAGGCAGTCTGCACGCGTAGGACTTATTCAGCCACACAAGTATTAAGGATTCTACTGTGCATGTCTTTGAGCCCAGTCCCTTGGTTGAACGGCTTGTTCTCTAGCCACATAGTTATTGAGGATTCTTCCATGTGGTTTAGTCAAACAATCCCCCAGTTGGATTGTTTGCTCAGTACAAGTTTGGTAGTGGTCATACCTATATGTATACTTATATATATACACAATTTTATTCTTATTTATTGGTGAGGATCCTTCCTCGCTCGCTGTGCCTACAGGCATGCGTTTTGGAAGAGAGTTGTTTGGGAAGAGAGAAAGGTCTAGTTTGAGTTTGTGTTATATGTCATATCGGGATTATGGGATATCTTGGTTTTAAAGTCGATTTTGTTATATAAATATGTATTGGGTACATTTGTGGACTTGTTTCCAAGTTGAGTTTTTGACCATGTGCATTGAGATTGCTCTACCCATGTATTTATTTTTGAAATGAGGTTTGGATTTGAGATTGGGTATTTGTAAATTATTTGACATTTTATGTTTGCAAGCATACGCCTAAGAAAGGGTATGGTTGCGGGAGAAAAATGATATTTTGGACTTTGATGTTTATATTTTACATTAACGGGATTATTTTGGAAGTTTCCATTATATGGTATTACAATAAAGACTAAATTATTAAGTTTGTGTTTTCCAAGAAAGTGAGAATTATTAATTAAATGGATTTCTTTATTGTACATTTTGTTATAAGTACACTAAATTAGACTATTTTTCAAGTATCAATTTGTATATATATACGCATATAAAGGATTTTGTTGCTTGACATTATTTTCTAAAACGGATGAGTTATTTATGTTGCATATAAATTATGTTAAACACTTTTTTTTTCGTCCACTCATATTTTATGTTTTGCGCCCCACAGGTTCTAGATGTTCGAGGTTGAGACCACTACCTCGAGGCATCATCATTGTCCGCTCTGTAGGAGTGTTCTACTATCACTCTCTATCTTTATTCTTTCTCGAGTTGTAAACTTAAAACTTTAGTTGTCCTGGTCGCTCGTTTGATTTTGAGTAGAGGGCGTGAGACCCATTTCCTTAATTTTAGTTGTTGTGTGATATTACCTTGTGCATGTTGGAAATTGGGGTTATTTCTGTACTTGTTTGCAGGTATTGAAATTTGGTAGAAGTCGAACTGTTTATCCGTTTAAATTAGGGCTATAGGACTTTTAGTAAAGTGGATCCGGCATCGGGTAGATGTTGAATGGGAAGCAGGGTTCGTCACGGGTTCCAAGAGGGAATCCAGGTCAGGTCCTGTCAGAGTCAATGAGAGAAGGAGCAGTGAGAGGAAGAGAGAGATAGAGGTTGAGAAGCGGTGATTCACACAAATAGCGGAAGAGAATGAAGCAGAAGAGAAAATAAGTTGTATACATAAAGAAGAAAAAAAAATAAAAATAAAGGCAAGAGAAACAAAATTTGGTTGGTTAATTAGATTAAACAACTAAAAGCAATTGCAAGAGACAACATGTGGCAAAGAGGGGTAGGCTAATATTTGTGGGAGTAGGGATAGCTTTGTAAAATTTGAACCAAAGTCTATTAACTTTAAACCTTGCACACTAGGTTGGAGCCCACTCTAGCCTATATGTGGATCCACCCTTGGTTAGGTTCCTACACTTGCTTGCGGTTGAGTGGATAAAGCTATTTAGTTAGAACAAAGACCGAGTGGGAGAGAAACTCATCTAATCCCCAATGACATTCCTTGATTTTTGTACTAGTTACGCTTCATATCGCAATTCTCTATAAATAAAAATAAAATAAAATAAAAAATTAACCATCTATTCAATCATATACGTTGAAAACTAGCTCCTCATTATTTATAAATGAACAAGTTCCCCTATATAGTCGTTGTAAACTTTGACATTTTAATTGCATATACACTTGACTTATAGTAATGTTAAATATCATTGTACCGTCTCATAAGCGAGTCTCTAGATGAGCTACTAATAATATTATCGCCGTTTGCCGGTCTATCGTATCTTTACAATTTGACAAGAATCCATGATTTATATAAAGGAATTATTGAAAGATCAATGTCCTTAGTCCCAAACGAAAATGCCGTATATAATTTAATTTGGCAGATCAACTGACTATTCCACTTCTTGGGAAGTGATGGTTGCTCATGTATTCAAACCCTTGAAATTTTTCCTTGTTCCAATCTCACATCTCGCTTGGTGTCCAAACTTACCTTCCACATTTCGAATCAGACTTAGACCAAAAATGATAATAAAAGCACAACGACCTACAATAAAAATTTGAGAAAATTATACTTTTCAACTAGTGTAATTTCGGGGAAAAACAAGTGTAATTTCCGGGAACTACGAATTTCAATCATTAAGATATTACAAAATTTGAGTTCATTATTGCAATGGTCCGTGAATGAAATATTGAGTTTCATTTTCACCACTCAATTCAATTTTTACAATAACTAAAAGCTTACATTGGTAAGGAGTGTTTCTATAATTGCATGTGGGAAAATGGTGTAATTTAGTACCATGATCCTACTTATTATTCTAACTCAACAATTGTTTCTAACTCTAGATTTGAATTTCTTGATGGCCCAGTTGCAAAGCTTCTTGTAGAACCTGTGGACGCAAAAGGATTAGGAGGTTTTGTTAACTTTTCTCCTCCTTCCAACATTTGAACCACCGCAATCATGGAAGGACGATCAACCGGGTTCCATTGGATGCACCAGAGCCCTACAATTGCGAGTTTCATTGGAATTTCATCATCTCCTTCTTCTCCAAAATGGATTCGTGGGTCTTCTCCTTCTTCAAGAAGATTATAGACCGCCTCTGGGTAGTAATCTTGGTTTGTGTTCTCTGTGGTTGCGCCAATATTTTTTTACCTCGTATAATCTCAAGCAATAACATTCCAAAACTATAGACATCTGACTTATAAGACACCTTTCCGAAGTTCCTGGAGAACACTTCAGGTGCAATGTAGCCCATGGTTCCCCTAGCTGTAGTCATTGACACAATACTTTCGTCCTTGGAACACAACTTAGCCAAACCAAAATCTGAAAGTTTTGGAGTGAAGTTGTAGTCTAGCAAAACGTTATGTGGTTTGATATCAAAATGAAGGATTCGATGATCACATCCTTGGTGAAGATATTCAATTCCTTGGGCTACGCCTAGAGCAATATCTTGCAACTTATCCCAACCAAGGAAACAATATTTGTTATCTGCTGATGAAATGAAATCCTGCAGCGAACCATTGGGCAAGAACTCATATACAAGAGCTCGTCTAAATCCATCAGCACAAAACCCAACCAAGCGAACTACGTTGATGTGGTGGATATGACCCATCGCTCCCACTTCGTTTATGAAATCTTCCCCAGCTCCCTTAGAACTGTCGAGGACTTTCACAGCAACAAAGAGTTCAGAAGAAAGCTTCCCTTTATAAACGGTTCCATAGGCTCCTTCTCCTAACTTGTCCTTAAATTGATCTGTAATCCCCTTAATGTCTGCATAAGAATATCTGCTTGGCTTGAGCGCTCTGTACTCCTCTAAAAATCTTTCAATTTTCAATCGATTCTCCTTTTCATTTTTGTCATAGCTATAGACACGATACGCTGCAATGCCTAGTAGGATGAGTACAAAGGAACCCAGGAATGCACCTACACAGAAAACCCTATCTGAATATATGGCTAACGTTTTCTACACATAAAACAAATCGGAAGACCAGTTAGGTGACTCACCTGTAATCACTGATTTCGTTGTTGCACCTGTAAAAGGGTGACACAGTCAGAATATTTTGAAATTGATATATTCCATTAACGTGGGACACTCCATTCATGTGAAATTAATATATTCTGGCTCGTTTGATAACTAATTCATTTTCATTTTTTAGCTTCCAGTTTTTATGTTCAATTGTTTTTAAAACTGATGGTTTAACTTAGTAGAAAAGTGCCTTACAGACCAGTGGTCTCAAGTTCAAAACCCAATGGAACCTTGATAGTGTGTGTGTGTGAAAAATCACCATCTCCTTGTAGTTTAGACTATCGTTTGGCTTAAAAACAAGAAGAAAAAAAAATTGATAATTGAAATCATGTTCTAGAACAGTTGAAAGTGTTTTCAGTTTTCAAAATCACACCCATATTTTTATAACCACTTGAAAGTGTTTTAGTTTTCGGTTTCATTTTTTTATCCTCCTTTCTCATTCACTAATTTTACATCACTACACTTTCATTGCACTACAGCACCAAAACTCAGTATTTGGGACCTCCTAATTTGTACTCCGTTGCTCAATTCAACCGCCCAATTCGAGGCTCGAAATTGATAGATAAAAAATTCATCATAACTCCAAATAATTTTTTATTTGTAACATGTACTTTCATTCTCAAATTCACAATTTTACCCTAACTTAAAACTGAAGTTAACAACTTTTGAATAATTTTCAGTTTTTTTAATAACAAAAATTGTTACCAATATTTTTTTCTTTTCTGTTTATAGTTTTTTTAAGATGAAAACTGAAAAACTGATCAGGATTTTAGCTATATTATTATTATTATTATTTTTTTTAGAAAGACGAGTAAAGACAAAGAAAGATGTTGCGATTCACTTAAAGATCTTTAACAAAGTAATAAGAGACTAATTGAGGCTCATATTCCCATGATATCCTTAACCTATCCCGTTCTGAAATAAGAAGCAGAAATTAAAACATCAATATGCTATCTAAGAAATTTTTGGAATTAAGAACTTGAGCACAAAAACATATAAAAAGGAAGAAACAAATAAACAAATGTTACCCACTTACTCTTATTTGCTTTCCTCAAGTCCAGTACACATTCAATTTCATTGTTAGTGTCACTGTTCTTCAATCTACACTTCTTTCCCTCTGCATCACATTCTGTACAATTTGGTTTAGACCATCGGAAAGGAACCACGCTCTGAGAATAAAAAGGGACTGAGAAAACATTATACATCTTGGTACATGATTGTAGGTCTTCAACGTGATCAGCAGAATCAACTGCATAAACTTGGTGGCCGAGGCTGTTAAGGCATGGGGCAGCCACAGGATAATTTGGATATAGATCCAGTCCCTCATCCCGAATAACTAAAGAAGAACAATTGAATAGCGTAATGTTCTGAGGGTCGATTACGTAGAAGGGAGAGAATGACATGTTGCGGATTTCTATAAGCTTTGCCACCAGGCAATTATCGGGGTCATATAGATACATTTCCTGACGCTCATAATTTATAGATTCCACAGAGAGTTTGACCGGAATTGTTGGGAGCTCAAGAAAAGTCTCATGTCTGTCATTGCAAGATACAGCAAACCCAGGATATCCACAATAATCTGGGTGTCTATCTTTGATCCTGAAAGGGAAATGGATAGCAGGGCCATGATAGCTACACTTCAATTCTTTGCAGGGTTCTTGGGTTTCTCCATGAACTTTGGAAAAAGCCACTAAGATTAAGCAAAGGCAAGTGATGAGAACTGCTTGTTGCATTTCTGTGGAGATAATGCCCATAGATTTGCTATAAAACTTCTCTAATCTCTTAATGATCAAATGACACAAGCTATATATTATCCATGTCTCGCTATTGACTCAATCCATGGCTTCCCTCATCTAATAGTGACTGCATCTAATCAACGACACTAAAATATTGGGTAAACATTTTGCTTCCTACGGCAAGGACTCATTCAAGATTCAACTATGGTAATGGGAATGAAACCTCTGAGAAAAGACGATCTAATTTCACATCTCTACTCATTAGCTTTACAAAAAATTTGTGGAGCAATTGTTATCGCTGCTTGTTGCATTTCTGTGGAGATAATGCCCATAGATTTGCTATAAAACTTCTCTAATCTCTTAATGATCAAATGACACAAGCTATATATTATCCATGTCTCGCTATTGACTCAATCCATGGCTTCCCTCATCTAATAGTGACTGCATCTAATCAACGACACTAAAATATTGGGTAAACATTTTGCTTCCTACGGCAAGGACTCATTCAAGATTCAACTATGGTAATGGGAATGAAACCTCTGAGAAAAGACGATCTAATTTCACATCTCTACTCATTAGCTTTACAAAAATTTGTGGAGCAATTGCTATCGAGATCCTAGTTTGATTAGGAGATTTATTTCATATTCTATTAGGATTTTATTTCTTTCTCTTTTGTACAAATTTTGTGTAATTAGGATTTTATTTGTTTCATTATATGCCTCTACTTGGATTTACACCTTTGATACCTTCTTTTGGAGAATAGAGATACAACTCGAAAATATTCTACCCTATATTGTTTGACTGCAATTTCATTATTTTCTCAAGTGACGTTGTTCTCGACTTTTTATATAGAAAATTATTTGTTTAATGAAGTTGGTGAGCCTTAAATCAGCAATGACGACAAATGATGCTCCATAGAAGCTAGCCTGTGATGAATCGTCATTCATTATTAATTTATTAGTAGCATGGTGATGGTTATCCACTTATAAAACTACTAGTTTTAATTGCCCATACCTGTGCTTGTGTACGAATCAAACTCCAACCCAGCTGCACACTCTCTCTCCATGGAAAGTGGAAGGTCTTTCTTCACCTTGCCGTCATGGTTTGTAATTGTAGCCATTCTTGTTGTTGGGTTATCCGGTGGATCTTACGCTAGTGATGACGGTACTAACTTTACCTCTTCCTGCGGCAATATCCACAACATAGGCTATCCTTTCGGACTAAAACATGATCCAAACCACTGCGGCAATTCGTATTTTTCTCTGTCCTGTGAGAAGAACATTACACTATTAAACCTACCTTCTGGAGAATACTATGTCCAGGCAATCAACTACCATAACCGAACAATCCGACTCCTAGATCCTGGCCTTCAGAAGGACAATTGCTCCTCCATTCCTCGTTATCCTTTAGCCTTAATGAATCGATATCGGATCATTTATACGGATGACCACTACGGAGATTACATATTATCAAGTACACCTGTAACTTTCTTGAAGTGCGCAAATCCGGTGAATTCTTCAATCTATGTGGACACTGCTCCATGCATTAGTACTACTTCTTTGTCGTCGCAGCCAAAAACGTACGGTTATTTCATGATTGGCTGGACAAATGCTTCGGACTTTGCGATCGGCTGCAGTGTAGAGTGGACGACGGCTATGCTTGACTCATATAACAATCTACACCAAAACGCTTCCTGTGAATATATACACAACGCTCTGCTGTATGGCTTTGACCTGGGATATGGGCTTGGTAACTACTCCTTGTGCAAATCAGGGTGGGACCGCTTTTTTTTGTTGTTTCCGAACACCACCTCAAGTAAGTGATTATTATCGTGAAATAGAAATAACCACACCATACGTACATATATTTGGCCCAAGGACGTAACACTAAATAGGGCTCTGAAAATGGTGGATAAAGTCTCATTTAGTGCTTCAGTGAAATATTCTTTAAAAGCATCTTTTCTATTCTGGGGAGCTTTATATACTCAGGGCTCTATTTATGATGTACTTTGGTTTACGTACACTTTATCACTGCAAGTCAAAAGTTCAGTTTATTGAAATGACCCTCACCATTGCTGATACTCTTTTGTGCTAATTATGTTCATTTTCATTTCATTTGTCATTGTAGGTTTCTTTCATCACATGGCACTGAGGTTTCACGGTACGTAATTGATTTCTCTAGCATAATTGGGTCTCTCTCTCTCTCTCTCTCTCTCTCTCTCTCCAATTAGTAGAGAAACTTGAACTTGACTCAATGATATCTAATGAAGTTTTCACTTTAATTATAACAAAAATGATACTTTCGATATACGTTATAATAGGGCTGGGCTGTCAGCCTGTCACACCCCCAAATCCATGGTCAGTAATGTTACTCTTATCACATTTTTATGCCACATAATGTGGTTGTTGAGGTGGCTATGCCATGTCATTTAATAAAAATGCTAGTTATACAACATTTATACCACATTATGTACTACCTCTATTAGAGAGGTGAGTTCTATTGTACCACATCTATTAAAGAAGTGGTATGCAAATGTGTATGCCTAGCATTTCTCTTAATGTAATGAGCTATCTTCTAATTATTTTGTTATATTTTTAATTAAAGCATACAAGTACCGAAGACAATGAAACTATAAATTTTTATTATGCTGAGGTAGCATTATTTTATACTAAAATATCACACGTGTAAACAAATTTTGTCCGAGTTAGTAAAAGTAGTGTAAACAAGTATTGCATAAATTACATTACTAAAAAAAAGATAGAAACAAATGTAAAGATGAAATTACATTATTTAAGGATAAAACGTAGAACATGTTTAATGTTTGTTTAATCATATTCTTCCCTATTTCCCATGAAGCTACTCGTTGCCTGAAAAATAAAAAGGGAAATGCTAGCAACCTTCTCTCTAACCTTCTCCTTTGGATCTTTTCCCTTTTTTGCTTGACACGTGTCATTCTCCTTACACTTAAAACAATGTCATTAATATTTTATACAAGTTAACTTTTGCTTTCCAAGTTTACCCTTATTAAATGTATTCAATTTATCAAAAAAAATTTCACAACTTTCTTACCATCTTATTAATTCTTTTTTAAACATCAATTATTTTTTTTAAAGAAAATGTATGCTTCTTTCAAAAAAGAGGAAATGTTCGTTTTTTTAAACACAAATGACTTTTCTTTTTCTATCTAAAAAAAAAAAAAAAAAAAAAAAAAAAAAAAAAGGACATCTTTTAAAATCACATATTTTCTTTAAAAAATTTATTTAATAAAAAAAATTAGAAAAAAAATTAGTAAGATGGTAAGAAAGTTGTGAAATTTTTTTGGATAAATTGAATACATTTAATAAGGGTGAACTTGTCAAGCAAAGGTTAGCTTGTATTATATATTAATGACATTGTTTTAAGTGTAAGGAGAATGACACATGTCAAGCAAAAAAGGGAGAAGGTCCAAAGGAGAAGATTAGAGAGAAGGTTGCTAGCATTCCTCAAATAAAAATGTGTAGCATCATGAGTTGCACCAACCCAATCAATACTGTCAACTAACATATATTAAAATGATTTGTAAGATGATCATGAATGAATACCAAGTGACCAATGATCAACTGATAGAGAATATAGTTATGCTCAAATTTTCATACAAAAATATAACTATGTATAATATAGTTATACAAAAATAGTAAATAACAGAAGAACCTCTGTATTTTTCAAGGATCTTTAAAATGGATAAGAAATGAGTCAGATATAACTATTTGAATTTATGAAGTTTGTTTGAATTTTCCGGCGAGGTTCACCGGGAAAGTTTTGAAAATTATGATGTTTGAGAGGGTTGTGGATTAATGGAAACCACCTATAAAGATGCATTCGAGTTATAAAAAAACATATTAAAGTCATTTAGGTAACCAATTAGAAATAATAAAAAAGACAAAACACATAATTTTCCGGCATCCAGAAAACTCATAAACTCACTGGATTCTGCAATGTTTTTTTTCTTTTCCAAAAATGTTATAATCTTGTTTTAGGCATAACTTTCTCATTTCTTAACCTTTTTCCGCTAATTCAAAAGCCTTAGTTGAAACATCTTTGACGTAGAATATGATTCTTAGTTTAGTTTTGAACAAAATCTAACATATCAGTTCAGAAAATTAAAGTATTCACCTGTGACGAAAATTTCATTTTGCTCATCTAGTTCTTCAAGTTGATTCAATCTTAATGCGCAAAGAACGATATGAGAGTTTTCCGAGCAAATAAGGTTTTGAAGCTCTGACTCGAAGTTGAACTCTTTAAGTCACTTTGGAACTTTCTAACTTTTTGAACTTTCACTTTCTTAAACCTTTTCTCTCCAATATTTCTATAACACTCGGGGAGAGAAAGGTGAAGTGCCTTATATATTTGGGCACTAAACTTCCTAGTAAGAGTCGTTTTGGGCAACATAGCATAAGCATGAGCCCAAGACACTCCATGTGGGTGTTGTCCAAAACGGACAATATCTTGCTAATGAAGCTGGGCTGTGACAATTTGGTTGAGTTTGTGATCTGCAAAGGGGAAAGATGATAAGTAAGGAGACCAAGTATTAAGTTGATGGATTGAACGCAGTCTTTCTGTCAAAATTAGCAGGCTTTCTTACCCTTCCAACCTTTGGTGATCAACCCCCTTAACTTAATCATGTTTATGTTACCTAGTTTCAAGTCGATCAATTGGTCATGACTTATCTCACTTCAGCCTTATCTGAATTTGTTCCCACCCTGGCCTTGGCCACTCTTCTTCTCATGTTATTAGGGAGTACCTTTGTCAACCCTTCTCTCAAGTCTTCGTTGTGAATTTGTTAAAAAAAGGAGGTCTTTGTTGTGAATGTTGGCAATTGCCTCTTCCAACTACCCAAAACCATCTTCGAATACCTGCAACATGCCAAGGTTGTCTCACTGCTATTTAGCCCTTCGTTCTGCCAACAAAGAAGCCATCCTTGAAGATTTCCCATTCCTTCGTGGTTGAGCCGCCTCTCTTTGCCATTCGAAGTGCTACCTTTGCTTTCCCTTTCTATAACATACCCTGATGCCCTCCTTTCCAATTTATAATTTAAAAAAAATCAATACCATTCAAATCAAAGCCGTATCTAAATAATGCATCGTATGTAATTTTTTATAACTGAGAGAGTAAGAGAGAGAAGAGTAGCAATTGAAAGAGAATAAGATGAAGAGATATCAGAATTAGAGAGAAATGATAGAAGCTTTTCCATATTGGGAAGACCTATGATTTATATATGTTAACAAAGCCTTAACAGTCTAACTAACACATCTCAACAGAGCTCTTAACAACTTTAACTAGAGCACATGCCTTGTCGACTTGTTAACTAACTCCTTGATTGACTACTTAACTAACATTTTCCCTCCCTAGCTGCGTTCCTCAGTCTAAGATGAACACAATGCTGGAGAAATATAGGACTGTGTAGGCCTTTTATAAACACATTAGATAGTTGTCCTTTGGTAGGAATGTATTGCACAATCAGATCTATTTTTTGTACTATTTCTCACACAAAATGGAAATTGAAGTTGCTTAATCCTCGAGTGATAAACTGGATTGGAAAGAAGTGCTAGATCTAACAAATTTTCACAATATACAAGAGGGGTACAAGGAAGATAAACCTTTAAGTCTTGCAATATTTGACAAATCTAGGCAAGATCATCAGCAATATTTGCGACAGCTTTGTAGTCAACTTCTGTGAAACTTCTAGAGGCTGACCCGTATCACTACATGCAGTGTAATGCAAACGACCACTTGTACAACTGATACCATACTGTAATGTCCCTTGACCACCATGGAGTTGAAGTCGTTCACTGACAAGGAGAACTTTACGCATCGGAAAAGAAGGATGAAGTCATCCCTTAAATAGAAAAATCTCAGTATTATCTTGGGAGGTAAGGAAAAGAATCCAGCAACCATGACATACGAGGAGTGGGATGTTCTAGATGAGGTGCTCCTCAACGTGATGCAAGCCACATCGAAGCAAACATGGGAAAGCTCGAGCAAATGTTTGCAGGAAGTCAATGTCCAACAAACTCTTTCTCAAGGAAGAGCTTCTAAATCTTTGGATGGAGGGGGAGGAAACCTAATGGAGCACCTAAGAAACTTTAATAGTTGTCTTACAGATTTACACAGAATGAAAGTGTTATATAACACAGTTGATAAGGATTTTATGCTACTAACAGCATTTCTAGTACTTTGTCAGAAATGCTAAATCTAAGGACAAGGAACACTGCATCAAGTGTGGATCTCCGAATTATTGGAATCCGTTTTGTGTTGTATGAAAGGAGAGACATAAGAATTTAAAGAAGGCTGAAAGTTCAAGAGTAGCCAATGTGTCTATTGGAGACATTGATGATGAACTTGCGACGGTTATCGAGGAGAATAATAGGGAAGTCGTGGAAAGTTCTTCATGTGAGAGTATTACTTCAGTTTGGATTTTAGATTTCAGTTGTTCCTATCATGTGTGTTCAAATAAGATGATGTTTGACGCGTATGAGGCAAAGAAGGCAAGCAAGAGTATGTTGGGAGACAAAACAACATGTGATATTTTAGGCATAGGGAAACAGTGAGGATTAGGATGCACGTTGGTGTTGTTTGGAGTCGTAGTGAGGTAAGGTTTGTACCTCCACTAAGAAAGAACATGATTTATCTTGGAACTCTAGATAGAGAAGGGTATTTATACAGGGCCCAAGAAAGTTAACTTTTGGTCACATAAGGTTGAGTTGTGGTTATGAGGGGAGAGATTCAACCAGACCAAGACTACAAGCTTTTCGGGGGTACATTCACAAGCGGAACAGGGGAGTGGCTGGTTCGAACAAGACCAAAGCCGGCCCTTGCCATGACCAGCGTTGGGAGAACGAAGAGTGAGCTTGGGGTCGGGGAGAGAGAAACGCACGGGGGAGAGAGAGAGAGAGAGAGAGAGAGAGAGAGAGAGAGAGAGAGAGAGAGATAAAACTGAAAAATAAAATCTGATTTTTAACCCCATCCCTTCTCAAATTAATTACGGTTTTACCACCGAAGGAAACTTGATCGCCGAAACCTCGTTACCATTCCGAATCGAGTCCGCCACACGTCCACGGACTCACCTCAAAGCGATCAATCCAAAAATATCAAACACTGCCCCAAACTCCCTCTCCGAATTAAGAAAATGACCGAACTACTCTGCCCCAAGGGTAATTTCGTAAATTCACATTTAATTTAATTAAAATAGGGAATAATTTGGAGTCGGGGTGTTACAACCTACCCCCCTTATAAAAATTTCGTCCTCGAAATTTACATACCTGTCAATTGAAGAGATAAGGGTATTTGGCCCGCATCTGCGCCTCGGGTTCCCAAGTAGCCTCTTCAACAGTTTGACTTCTCCACAACACCTTCACTACAGGAATGGATCTGGAGTGCAACCTTTGTTCCTTTCTATCGAAGATCTGTACAGGTTGCTCCTCGTACGTCAAATATTCACTCAATTCCACAGGTTGGTGTTCCAGAACATGGGAAGGATCAGGCATGTACTTCCGTAACATGGACACATGAAACACGTCATGGATCCGGGACAACTCTGTAGGTAAGGCAAGTCTATAGGCAACTGGCCCAATGCGCTCGGTGATCTCATAAGGTCCAATATAACGAGGGCTTAACTTCCCGCGTTTACCGAACCTCATCACACTCTTCCATGGAGATAGCTTCAAGAACACCCAATCCCCAACTGCAAACTCAAGATCCTTGGACCTGTTATCCGCATAACTCTTCTGTTGGTCTTGTGTGGTTTTCAACTTCTCTCTGATCATCTTCACCTTCTCAGTTGTGGCTCGGATACTGTCTACCTTTTCCACTTTCTTGTCACCCACTTCATTCCAACAAACAGGAGTTCTACACATCCTCCCATACGGAGCCTCATACGGAGCCATCTCAATGCTTGAATGGTAACTGTTGTTATAAGCAAACTCCACCAAAGTAAGGTGAGTATCCCAATTATCTTTCAACTGTAATACACAAGACCTCAACATGTCTTCCAAGGTCTGAATGGTTCTTTCCGAGTGTCCATCAGTCTGTGGGTGGAAAGCTGTACTAAAATGTAACTTGGTACCCATAGCCTCGTGTAAACACTTCTAGAAATGAGATGTGAACCTTGCATCCCTGTCCGACACAATAGACACAGGAGCTCCGTGCAACCTCACGATCTCATCCACAAAGAGTTTTGCCAGCCTTGACAAGGAATAGGTTTCCTTTATAGGTAGAAAATGGGTGGATTTGGTGAGTCGGTCAACTATCACCAAAATTCCATCATGCCCTTTGGAAGTATGTGGAAGTTTGAAAACGAAGTCCATTGTGATAAGCTCCCACTTCCATTCAAGGATCGGAAGTGGTTGCATAAGTCCAGATGGTTTCTGCTGTTCTACTTTCACTTGTTGAGAAATCAAACATCTACTCACATACTTAGCAATATCTCCCTTCATATACGGCCACGAGTAGTACTCACGTAGAGTTCGATACATCTTAGTACTACCAGGATGCATAGAGTAAGTGGAACAGTGAGCTTCTTCCATGATTTCTCTTCTCAAGTCATCATTGTTCATGGGTACACAAAGACGAGTTCCAGTCACCAAAGCTCCGTCCTTTCTTATTGCATAATCCGTCCGTGTACCACTCTCTACTTCCAACCTTATCACACAAAGATTAGGATCTTCCAACTAGGCTGCAATCACCCACTCAACTAGAATAGGCCTCACATGCACACTGACAAGCATTCCTCCCTAATGAGTCATTTCCAAATCCATACCATCCTTCTGCAGTTCTACCAATAATGGAAGATTGGCCATTCTGAGATGAGCTAAACTCCCACCAACATTCCTACTCAGTGCATCAGCTACCACATTCGCTCGGCCAGATGATACTTAATCGTACGGTCATAGTCCTTAACCAATTCCAGCCAACGGCGTTGTCTCATATTCAGCTCCTTCTGAGTGAAAAAGTACCAGAGGCTCTTGTGATCAGTGAAAATTTGACACGTCTCACCATACAGGTAATGCCGCCAAATCTTGAGGGCGAACACCACTGCAGCAAGTTCCAAGTCATGGACATGATAATTTTGCTTGTGCTTCTTGAGTTGCCTCGAGGCATAAGCAATCACCCGGTCATGCTACATCAGAACACATCCCAGGCCTTGTAAAGACACGTCACTGTAGATCACAAAGTTCCCCGAGTTATCTGGAAGAGCCAGAACAGGTGTGGTGGTTAACCGCTTCTTCAGCTCCTGAAAACCCTGCTCGCACTCCTTCGTCCACTCAAATTTAACATCCTTCCTCGTCAACCGAGTAAGAGGTGCCGCTATCGAAGAAAACCCTTCTACAAATCGACGATAGTAGCCCACTAACCCCAGGAAACTCCGTAGTTCTGTTACACTTGTGGGTTGCACCCAATTCACAACAGCTTCCACTTTACGAGGGTCTACATAGATTCCTTCTGCTGAAATCACATGTCCAAGGAAGTCCACTCTATCTAACCAAAACTGACACTTACTTAACTTGGCATAAAGCTGCTTCCTTCTCAAAGTCTTCAACACCAACCCCAAATGTTTCTTATGACCCTCAAAAGTTCGAGAATAAACAAGGATGTCGTCTATGAACACAATCACAAAGCGATCCAAGTAAGGTCGGAACACTCTGTTCATGAGATCCATAAACGCTGCTGGAGCATTTGTCAATCTGAAAGGCATCACTAAGAACTCGTAATGGCTGTAACAAGTCCTGAATGCTGTCTTGGGAATATTATCTTCTCGTACTTTGAGTTGATGATATCCCGATCTCATATCAATCTTGGAAAAATACTTGGCACCCCTTAACTGATCAAACAAGTCATCGATTCGAGGCAAAGGATAGCAATTACGCACTGTTACCTTGTTCAACTGCCTGTAGTCGATACAAAGCCTCATGCTTCCATCCTTCTTCTTTACAAACAACACTGGTGCACCCCAAGGGGAAACACTAGGTCGAATGAACCCAATATCAACCAATTCCTGCAATTGAATTTTCAACTCACGTAACTCTACTGGTGCCATTCTATAAGGAGCTTAATGAATTGGATTCGGGCCTCGAAGGAGTTCAATAGTGAATTCGGTTTCTCTCTGGGGAGGCAAACCAGGGAGATCATCTGGGAATTCACAAACCACAGGAACATCTTCCAGATTCAGAGTGAACCCTTGAGTATTAATGATGTGAGCTAAGTATCCCACATAGCCCTTCTTGAGTAACCTTTTTGCTCTTATGGCGGAGATAAGACAAGATGGGAGAACTCTACACTCTCCATGGAATATTACTTCAAGTTGTCCAGGACTTCTTAATACAACCTCTTTCCGGAAACAATCCACTGATGCACGATGCTTTTCCAACCAATCCATTCCCAAGATGATGTCAAGGTCAACTAACTCCAAAGGAATCAAATTGACTTCCAACATGGCATCACCCACTTGAACATAACAACCTTTGAAAACCATGTCCGCAAACAGAACATCGCCCGTAGGCAACGAGATACTAAAACTTCCTGCCATGGATGTCGGTCTAACACTGGCATATGGTAAGAAACTATGTGCAATAAAAGAATGGGTGGCCCCGGGATCTATCAAAACACGTGCAAAATAACCAAAAATAGGGATCATACCAGTGATAACATCGGGTGTAGCCTGCACCTCTTGCTGAGTCATCGAGAATACACGGGCCTGCGTAGTAGAGTGTCCAGACTGGCCTCTCTGACCCCTACCACTTCTACCCTGAAAAGTGGACTTCACTCCACTACTCAATGACGAACTCGCTGCAGACGACGATGCACCACTCTGTGTCTGACCCTGAGCTCTGCTACCTGCTGGGCCCCAGTCTCCTTTGTCGTAATACCAACATCAGTACGGAGGGGGCACTCACTCCAATAGTGCCCTACAGTGCCCTGCCTGCCCACAATGGAAACATGTCACTCCGCTTCTCTGGTTAAAGCCACTAGCCTATCCACGGTTTGGGCACTCCTTCCTAACATGTCCTGCTTGCCCACACTTGTAACAGGTTACACTAAACTGTCGCTGAGGGTCCCTGGCTGTACTGCCCACCGATTGTTGTCCCGAGTGCTGGCTCCAAGCTGATTGAGAGCCAGACCTCCTACTGCCAGAACTGGACCCACGTCCTCCTGACCAACCACTACTGGCAGAACTAGAGCTGGATCCACCCCTCTTTGATGGACCCTGACTGGGCCCACCAAAACCTGCTAAGTCCCTGCCACGCCTACCAATACCTGCACCCAGACTGTACGTATTGGCCATCCTATCTGCTGCTTGGGCCAAGGCTCTCATGGTAGGATATGTAGTAGCAGTGACCACAGCCTGAATATCTAACCACAGACCCTCTTCGAAACGTGTGCACTTGTCTTCCTTTGTGGTTACCAACTCAGGTGCAAACTGGGACAGTTCATTAAATTTGTGCTCATACTCGAACACTGACATGGAACCCTGCCTCAGATGCAGAAACTCAACCCTCTTCGCAGTCTTGTAACTATGCGGGTAGAATTGATCAAAGAATGCCTTCTGAAACTCTTCCCAAGTGATGGTAGCAGGGTTAGTATACCCTCTACAGACTGTCTTCCACCAATGATAGGCATTCCCCTTCAGAAGGAAGGCGGCCAGGCGAACCTTATCTCCATCAGGACACTGGAGAACTTCAAATATCCGCTTGATATCTATAAGCCAAGCATCAGCCTCAGCAGGATCAGCATCACCATAAAACTATTTTGCTCCCAAGTCCTTTACCATCTTTATGTCCAAGCCTTCCGTATTCCTTCTCCCTTGTAAGGCAGTAGACACGGTGCGGGTAAACTGAGATAAGAGACGCCGTAAGCCGCACCCATTCCCTCCATCATGCCCCTCAATAGGTGGAGATGGAGGTGACAGAGGAGGAGAGGGTGATGGAGATGGAGATGGAGGATTTGCTCCCCATCTTGGAACACGACCACCCCTCGTTCTAGGACGTCGAGGATGCATGATTCTACATGAAGGAAACCATAGAATCATTAGTTCAACAATGCAACAAAAGCGCGGAAGTCGAAGGAAAATGAACCTAATGCTATGATACCAAGCTGACAGGACCCGCCCCCAATTTCCTCAGAAATCGGGATGGACCCTGCCTAATTATCGACATTATCCCGATGCTGGGCCCACTTACTAAAGACCGAGACTTTCTACCAAAAATTTGGCAGAACCTCCCCTGTAAATTGAACATTTCCCAAACTTCAACCTGCTCAAAATTTACAGTTAATAAACCCAACCAGCAGCATGCTTTAAAAGCAGTTAAATAATTTACAACAAAGGCCTCCAGCCTCACAATTCAAACCCTAAGCGGGCGATACAGAGCATATCTAAGAAATTCAAATACAACATAAACAAAGTCCCACTGGAAAGGAAAGATGAAGGAGTCCCTACAAAGACTCAAGGTTCGGAAGCACCCGATCCGGCTCGACTGCGAAGGGGGGCGCAAAACAGAAAATTGTGAGTGGACAAAAATAAAGTTCAGTTCCAATAAATCAACGTAATATAAACCCCACCGTTAGAAAATCATGCAAGAATTTCAAATGCATCTTAAAATCGTCATAAGCAAGTATATGAACATATACTAAAATAATACCGGATACCAAGTCCGAAATCCGTGAACAATACTTCACAAACCCACCATTCAAAACTTAAAGTCCTGAAAGATTAAACTCTCGAAAACGTACCCATTGGCACGACCGGCGAGGAAGTATCCTTACCGAGAAACAAGAACGAATGAATATTCATATGTATAAATATGTATCATAAGATATATATATATATAATTATAACCAACATTTAGTTGTACCGGGGGATTATTTGACTAGTCAACATGGCAGAGCCATTCCTCAATTCACCATGTGACTAGGGAACGAGCTGTCCAACTGGGGGACTAACTCTCAGCCAGCACGTACAACCGAGATACTCAAAGCTTGTACGCCTGAAAAACCAGTCCTACGCACGCAGACTACCCCACATCCAGGGTCTACAGCAACATCCCGTCAAGGATGTCCTGGGTTCCGACCAATCCAAGTATCTCAAGTATCAATAACCAAGTTCCAAATCCGGGGAGGTACATAGGGTAGCGCTTAAAGCACTCCAAACAGATATCCACAAACTCATTTTAACAACCCAAGTACCCCAAGTACCCCATACATAACCAATACTTCATAAAAATATCACTTTCCACCCTTGAATAAATATTAATATAACTAAATATACCAATAAACATTATGCATAAAGTTTCCTATCATAAAACCATGCATATTATGTAAAAACAAAGTCCACTCACAAGTAGTCCCACGCTGCTTGACCCTGAGAGGGCCCTGCCTGCTGCGTATACATGGTCGGAGTACCTATTTCAGAAAACGAACACGCGATTAACATCAAGCGCTTCGAAACAGAATTTTGAATTAAAAACCTAGTTCCCGGGTTTCTAGTGACTGTACGTGGAAAGAGACGTTCTAAGGTCCAACTACCCTATTCGAACGATGGAACAGCTTCGAGAGACACTCAATCACCCGGGTGGTCAAACTTCCCAAATTGGGTCAACCGGGCCCACGGGACCCACGACCTCCGTTTTACAATCCGTGAGTTCCTAAAGGTTTTACAAGGTCTAAGATGCACGTCCTGCAAGTTTGGTCCGAAATGGACGGTTAGATCGCTTACGATCGCACGATCGGACGGTTATCGTATAACGTAAACTTTAAGTTATTGAATCGGAACATCCGGGGCTCCGATTCAGGATCCGCGAATTCCTACACGATCTTAGGAAGGTCTAGAGCAACATACTTCAGTTTGGAAATGATCCAACTGTCGGAATATATCGAATCCGGATAACGCACAATATGCGATAATCCGTTCGATAGTCAAACGACCTCGGAATCGAGATCGGCGAAATCCTACGCGCTCGCGACATCCTAAGGATCTCATCAGGACAATTTGCAGCTCCACCACACTTGCCCATGCGCCGCCACACGCGCCGGCAGCAAGTGGGTGTATAGAGAAATTCCGGCGACGGAAAATCTCCAAACCACAAGCCACCCTCCCGGCTACAGGTTCTACTCAACTAGGGGAGCATTTCATTTAACTACGGCCAAACCCAAATCTGCTAGGAACTGGCCGGAATTTCGAATTGAAAACCGGTCAAAACCTAGCTTCTCAAATCGGATTTTATGCTACGAATTGAAACAAACCTAAGCAACAGTCAGCTAGGACTCAGAAAATGGATGAGAATCCATACCTCAACTGCCGGAAATGATGGAGAATCGAGAGAGAACCGGCGCTGGAAATTTCGTATGAAAACCGGCCCGAAACTTGCAAAAATTCCGGTGACTTGCGACGGTTTCACGGGGAGGAGAGCAGTCGAAGGTGGAAGAGGGGAGTGGCCCGGTTCGAACAAGACCAAAGCCGGCCCTTGCTGTGACCAGCGCTGGGAGAACGAAGAGTGGGCTTGGGGTCGGGGAGAGAGAAACGTACGGGAGAGAGAGAGAGAGAGAGAGATAAAACTGAAAAATAAAATCTGATTTTTAACCCCATCCCTTCTCAAATTAATTACGGTTTTGCCACCGAAGGAAACTTGATCGCTGAAACCTCGTTACTGTTAGGAATCGAGTCCGCCACACGTCCACGGACTCACCTCAAAGCGATCAATCCAAAAATATCAAACACTGCCCCAAACTCCCTCTCCGGATTAAGAAAATGACCAAACTACCCTGCCCCAAGGGTAATTTCATAAATTCACATTTAATTTAATTAAAATAGGGAATAATTTGGAGTTGGGGTGTTACAGGCATGTCTAGGATTCAAGGTTCCATGAAGGCGAGGAGAAATGAGTTTGGCATGGAGGATCTCATTTCTACACATGAGGTCGTGGTTACTCAAGTCTAGTCTTAGGTGGAGCACTTCCTCACCTAAGGTAAGGCAAGAGGTTTCTTGCCATGGTGCAGGTCTTAGGAATTACCAAAATGATCTAAAGAGTTTGAAGTTGTTCTAGGGGTTCAATGATTTTCACAATGAGTTTAGGCTAGCAAAGGTGGACATTGTTGAGAAAATTGGCTCACCTAAACAGATGCTAAGAAGAAGGATTGTTTCCACGAAGAAAATGATTAGTTGGTTTTTGAAGGTTGCTTTATGCTGGGAGTAGCAGATTGCAGAACAACTAGAAAGTGATCGATCGTCCATGCCAAGAGATCGATCGGGTTTTCTCTAGATGGGTTGTTAGCTAAGAGCGATTGGTTGCCCTTGAAAAACGAATGGTCGAGTTGGGCTTCCCGTCAAGATCTCAAGCGTTTTTGAAGCGTTATCCCATGTGCTTTGTTCCCCATTCCAATGCAACAGGTACTTAAGTAATTTATAAGCTATATATATTTAGGCAATCAGTTGGGAAAGCTAGGAAGACACTTATTGGCATTTATGAGGGGTGGTTGTGTGTTGGAGTTTGCAGTTGGAGGTAACTGCTTATGATTTTACGCTAGTTGGTGCCACCCGATTGTGCACCTAACCAAGTCTCCAGCACCCATCATTTTGTCAAAAAAGCCTGATACCATTTTTGTGCAATTAAACACTCCAAGACCTCTTCGATTGCAGAAACTCTCCAAGAACTTGTTATCAATGGAGTATACGACAAGCACGGAAATCAAACCTCTTTGAGGAATCAAACATAAAGAAAAAAAAAGCAAGCAACCATGGACACAAAAATTTATAGAGGTTCGACTAACAGGCCTACGTCCCCTTGGTGATCCCCTTGAGAAATTCACTAAGAACCCTATTTCACTAAGAAAATATATGAACAACTTTGGTTTACAATTGGAAACCACTTTAGGTAACTACTCTTTCTCTCACACCATGCTCAAAGGCTTGATGCTTCTCCCTTGCCCTCTTGCAAAGCTTGGTTAGCTTACTCTCATGTGTTTACCTTTTCCCCATAGCCTTAGCACTCTAGCTTAGGCTCTCTTGGACACTTTGCATACCCAACTTTAGCATTACTCTCAAAGCACTTGGACTCCTGGCCCTCACTTGGACTGGTACACTTTGTATTCTCTACACTTCCACCTTAAGTATTCTCTACACTTTGTATTCTCTACACTTTGCATACCCAACTATTCACTAGCTACTTCCTTGGTCTTGGTTTTCAAACTACCTATCTTGAGTCCTGATTCTTAATTCTTCATCAAGCATTTTGGCTCCTCTGTGGTTATTCTCTTACTCTACGTTGATGATGTAATCCGAACATGCAATAACTCAGCTCTTACATCTCAAGTTATCTCAGGTTTAACTACTGAATTTGAACTTAAGGATTTAGGTGATCTCCATTACTTTCTAGGTGTGCAAATTACTTATAATTCTACTTGTTTGTTTATCTCTTAAACCAAATATATAAAGGACTTGTTAACTAAAGTTGAGATGCTTGATCGTAAGCCCTGTGCTACTTTCAACAGTTTAGTTGGTGCTCTATAGTATCTTACTTTTTCAAGACCAGTTATAGCTTTCTCGTTTCATTAAGTTTGCCAGTTCATGGACACTCCTAGGAAAGCTTATTACATAGTTGTCAAATGCATTTTACGGTATTTACAATGGGCTATATGGTATTCAGTTTAGTATAGGTGACTTAGATCTCAAGGCTGTTAGTGATGTTAATTGGGCTGAGGACCCCATTGATTGAAGATTAACAACAAGTTATGTCTTTTCTTGGTCCTAATCCTATCTGGAATTCCAAGAAGTAGTTGACAGCATCTCACTCTACATAGGCAGAATATCGAGCACTTGCTACCACAACCTATATTCGACGATAGTTATGTGCTTTGTATATTTCTCTCCCACTGCTCCACCCTTATTATGTGACAATCTCTCTGTAATTGCACTTTCTTCCAATCTTATTTTACATTCTAGGACCAAGCACGTTGTAATTGACATCCATTTTGTTTGAGAACGTGTCACCAGGATTTGCATATGCAAATTGTTTCCTCAAATGAGTAGTTTTCGAACATTTTGACAAAATGATTATCTACCTGTTTGTTTCAAAATCACTGTGTCAAGCTCATGCTTGGTCCACCACTCCTGAACTTGAAGGGGGATGTTAGGCCTTGTTTGGTGGGCTGGCTTGAATTGGTTAGGATGGGCTTTGAAGCATTGGGCTTGGACTGGCTAGGCTTTGAGTCCAGTCTTGTTCCTTTTTACACCAAACAACATACTCGGATTAACATTTTTTAATAAATCAATATATATATGTTTATTATTAACAACAACCAGAGGCAAAAACATTTGCCTCACTGTCTTTTTTTTGTTTTTTGTTTTTCTTCAGTATCTTTCTTCCTCTTTTTTTAAATATATTTTTTTCTTCTAGTCCAAATTTCTGTATCTTTCTTTATCAGATAAAATTCATCTTTTTTACCAGAAAAAGGGTCATCCTTTTTCTATCAAAAGAAAATCTATCCTTTTTATTATATAATATTTGTAAAAAAGATAATTACGAGAGGAAAGATTGTTGACTAGTTTCAAAAGACAAAAATACAGTATAACTTTCATATCCAAGAAAATACAAACAAAAGAAAAGAGAGAGAAGGGGGGGGGGGGGGGGGGGGGGGGGGTGGTGGCAAATTGCGATTGGATGTGGAGATCGAGAAGATGAATCAATCTTTCAACTGTTTTTTTTTTTTTTAAAGATATAAAAAGAAATCAAACCCAGAAAAAATAGGAAGAGAGATCAGTTAAAAGCAAAATTAATAATAAGAAGAGTGAAGAGAGGAGAAGAGAGGAGAGTAGAGAGAGCGGAGATACCGCGAAGTAGCGGAGGAAGACGACACGAGGGAGGCTTCACGTTTAGCAAGAGGAGACGATGCGATGGAGTCTTTGAAACCAATGTCTCAACGTAGGTTTTGATATCCTGAACAAAAATTTAAGTCCTAGGCAGTGTGTGATACACTTAAGCTCACCAAACAACAAGCTGGACTCGTGTATAAGATAGACTGCTCAAATTATAACAAGTGTCACAATCTTAGAGAGTTAGCTAAATCATTTTGTTGAAGATTAGCTCTGTTAAGTAAGGAGAATATAAATAGTCATATGAACTCTATGCAGATTCATCTAAGCTTTCAATCAATAAGATTGATGACAGGTTCCGCCTTGAATTCCTTGGAACTTGGGACGAATCCTGTGGATTTTTTGACATCATACTGATTCCGGGCCCACAAACCTGTTAAAATACTTTTAAACATCCCAACTAGCAGCATGCATAAGTTCATATTCATGCAGTTTACATACATGGCCTTCGGCCTCACAATCAAACCCTAACGAGACGACATCAGATCAGTCTAATAGAATTTAGTTTACATACGAGCAATAAAGTTTAATAGAAGAGAAGCAAATGAAATTTAGTCCTACAAAGGCTTGGGGGCTCGAAAGCAGAGATCTTGGCTTCGCCGCTCAATTCGAAGCTAACTACTGCTTGGGGGCGCAAAACAGAAAATTATGAGTGGACAAAAATAAAGTTTTCGTTAGTTGAAAACAATGTATAGTAACCCTACCGTTTAGAAAACGATGCCGAAAACCATATGCATTCAAACCATCATAGATGTAAACATATATATATATATAGCCACATCAAAACCATGGTGAAAACCAATTCTCGTCAAGATATCCAAATACCCATCTCATACAAACCCATTTCCCCAAACCACTCTCTTGAAACGTGTGCCCTTTGGCACTACGAGTGAGGAAGTATCCTCATCGATAAACAAAAAGGAACATATAGGTATATATACATATATAATTATGATCACTACCAAGTTTGTATCGGGGAAATAAATCAACTGGGGGATTGTTTGACTAGTCCACATGGAAGAATCCTCAATTGACCATGTGGCTAGGGAACGAGCTGTCTAACTGGGGGACTAACTCTACCAACACCCATAGCAGAATCCACAATACTCGTATACCCGTGGCAAGTCCTACGCACGCAGACTACCCCGCTAAGGGTCTACGAAACACCTAGTCAAGGGTGCCCGGGTTCCATCATATCCAAGTATCACCAAACATTCCAATCATCCAATCCATAATTTCCATATCCGGAAAGGTACATAGGGTAGTGCTTATAGCACTTCAAACTGACATAGCTATAATCCACTCTCTTTCCGTACTCTCATTACTGACACCCATGTACCCCACACATAACCAAGCATAGATAGAAATTCTAGAAATCAATATATATAAACTCAAAATACTCGAATTTGCCAAAACCCGAATATATTGCAAATACTTTACAAAAATATCAAGTTCAACAATTGATTATTTAATAAACTCAACAAACCATTAAAACAATATGCATAGTTTTTCCATCATAAAATAATGCTTGTTATTTGAAAACAAAGTCCACTCACAAGTAGTCCCACGCTGCTTGACTTTGAGAGGGTCCCGCCTGCTGCGTTCGAGTAGCCGGAGTACCTATTTCAATATACGAGGGCGACATTAATGTAAAGTACTTCAAACGAGAACTTTAAATAAAATCCTAGTTTCCCAGGTTTCAAGTGTGTGTACAATGAACGAGACGTCCTAGGGTCCAATTACGTGTTTTGGGTGGTGGAATAGCCTCGGGAGACGCTCGGTCAACTGAGTAGTCAAACTTTCCAAATCTAGTCAACCGGGCCCACGACCTCTGATTTCTACTTCGAAAGTTTCGACGAGCTCAACAAGGTTTATAATGCATGTACTACAAGTTTGGTCCGAATCGAACGGCCGGATCGCTCGCGATTGCACGATCGGACGGTTATCGTTTAACGCAAACTTTAAGTTATTGAATCGGAGCATCCGAGACAACAATTCACGATCCACGAATTCCTACACGGTCCTAGAGATGCCTAGATCAACATATATGAAATTGGAGTCGATTCAATGGCCTGAACATATCGAACCTGGATAACGCCTAATATGCGATATCCAATCGACAGTCAAACGATAACCAAATTCAATCCAAGTATACCGTCGTGCTCGGGATGACATGGGGATCATTTTAGAACCCAAAGACCAACCACGAAGTGGCCCATGTGCCACCGCATGCGATCAAAAAATCTCCAAACCTCCAGTCCATACCTATTCCTACATGATCAGAATAATGAATGTAGCAACTTTTGTTCTTGGACTAAGGCCAAAATGTGGACGAAGATGGTCAGAATTACTGGCTGAAACCGGCGAAAACTTCAATCTCTAAATCGAGTTACAAAATGAAGAAATCGATCCTATTCAACCCAACCATAAGCTAGAACACATTGAGAGGATGAAAAAGCATACCTAGATCGAAGAAATTGGTGGTCGAAATCGCTAGAACGTGCTCTAGGAAGTTTGGGTCAAAACCGGCTGTTCTTTCGTGTTTTCCGACGAAATGAGGTTGTGGTGGCGGCGGCGGTGAAGGGTCGGGATGGGTAGAGGAATGTGGCACGGTCGTTTTGGGACCAGTCCCGGCACAAGCGGTGGCGAGGCAAAAACCATTCGGCGTTGTTGGGGGGGGGGGGGGGGGGGGGGGGGGTGGGGGGGGGGGGTCAGGCAACGACGGGAGAGAGAGAGAGAGAGAGGAGAGAGAGAGAGAGAGAGAGAGAGAAATGAAGGAAAATCTGATTTTTAATATACCCCTTCGAATTATTTACTGTTCTACCACTATGTTTCTTTTTTATTGTAACTTTTCGTTACAACTCTGATTTGAGCCCACTACGTGTCTACGGACTCATCTCGGTATAATCTACGTATTAGTACCATTCATTTCCCCAAAATCCTTCAAGATTTAAAAGTAACCAAATTACCCCTATCTCTGGGGCAAAATTGTAATTTCATAATTTATTAAATTCATTTAACTTAAACGAATATTAAATTTGGGTCGGGATGTTACAATTGATCCTTCTTTGTTCATATCCTTTCATGCATAATAGACTGTTGTGGATGTATATATAGTTCTAGTGATAAGAACAATTACAACAATATACACCAAACCAAAAAGTAATTTTCCCTCTTTCCCTCCCCCAATATAGAAAACACAATAAGAATAGTAAATAACGAGTGATGTTGCTTACTATTTTTAGGTTTTGACTTTTCAAACTTTTTAAATTCATCTACTGTTGCTCACTTCTGTTGTATTTCTTGTAGAATATCGAGTGATGATATCCCTTATCTTCGGTATGAGCTTTTGTCCCTTGCTTTAATATATTTGTTATTGGAGAGGTTTAATATTTATTTATTACGCATGAATTTAGAAGCAAGAGGAAGTAATCAGTACTATTTTGTAATTTTCCCACAGTTGGATTTTTTCTGCCAAGATATATGTTGTGTGTTGGCATCTTGATCTATAAATGGCGGAGAAGGCATTTTTCAATGTATACAACCATAGAAGATTTTCTGCGGAGTGAGAACAACTTCATCCCAATAAGGTACTCTTATCATGATATTAAAAGGATGACCCGTGGGTTCAAGGACAAGCTGGGTGAGGGAGGCTATGGATCTGTGTTCAAAGGGAAATTACGAAGTGGCCGTTTTGCAGCTATTAAGATGTTAGGCAAGCCAAAAGCTAACGGGCAAGAGTTTATCAGTGAAGTAGCTACAATTGGTCGGATTCACCATGTTAATGTGGTGCAACTTGTTGGTTATTGCGCTGAGGGATCAAAGCGTGCTCTAGTATATGACTTCATGCCAAATGGGTCTCTTGATAAGTACATTTATTCTAAAGATGAAAGTATCCCCTTAAATTGCAAAAAGGCATTTGAGATTTCTCTTGGAGTGGCTCGAGGGATCAAATATCTACATGAAGGTTGTGACATGCAAATTTTACATTTTGACATCAAGCCCCACAATATTCTTCTCGACGGGAATTTCATCCCAAAGATTTCTGACTTTGGGCTTGCAAAATTATATCCAGTGGATAATAGCATTGTCTCTTTGACAGCAGCAAGAGGAACAATGGGATACATGGCTCCTGAGCTATTCTACAAGAATATTGGGGGTGTTTCGTTTAAAGCTGATGTTTATAGTTTGGAATGTTGTTGATGGAAATGACAAGCAGAAGGAAGAATTTGAATGCATTTGTAGAGCATTCAAGCCAAATCTACTTCCCTTCATGGGTTTATGATCAATATAACGAGGGGAAGGACTGGAGATGGGCAATGTACCAGAGGAGGAAAAGGAAATCATGAAAAAAAATGGTTATAACGGCCTTATGGTGTATACAAATGAAGCCAAGTGATCGTCCTTCGATGAAGAAAGTCATAGAGATGCTCGAGGGGGGTGTTGAATTCCTAAAAATGCCTCCCAAGCCTTTTCTATGTCCACAAGAGATGCCAGTGGGTGATCTCGATCAAGACAGCTTGAATCAAGCATATTCTAAGACCGAGCAAACTTCTACTTCATCAGCTAGGTGAACGCACATACTAGTCTATCAGTTTGAAACTCAATGCCATTTTACTGGTTATGTAATATATTGTAGTGTGCATGTAAATTGAACATCAAATCATCGTTGATTGGTGGAAAGGTAGCCATATTCTCATGAGAACAATTTGTCCTTATTTTAAGTAATTTAGTTGTTTAATATGACAAAATTTCATGAATTGTATATAAGTTTATGTTTGCATGCCATACTGAATACATATAAGTTCGTATTTGCAAATTGCATGCATGTATTGTATTTGAGAGATTCCAGTAAAATTATGGGATCAATAACATATTGAATTTCGGTCCTTATATCAAAGGAAAAACAAAACAACTACAAAGTACGTCACCAAACAAAAAAAATTAGTAACCTAAACATTCTTCGCGTTCTGACCCCCCAAAAAAACATACTTCACGTCCACTTAACTAGGCCGAGAGTTTAGCATTAAAGACGTTTTTTCTGTTTTGCTTTTGAGCACATTATTTTGAGTAGGGATTATTCCTAGTTATTAGCTCATGATTTGTTTTATTTTCCATAAAGAAAAGCAATAATGTATTTATAATTAGGCAAAAATATCACAAGCCACAAGGGTTAGAACAAATACCACAAAGGTTTTAATACAAATATGGGAGCATATGTTAACCACACAAGGTTAATCCAGATACATAAAAACACAACGGCAACATCAATCACACAAGGTGTATTTCTACTAATATAGCTACATAAGGCCAAGGAAATTTCGGCATAAAAGGCGCATACCTGAACAAGGTATTCATAAACCGCAATGCCTAAAACTACCAACTACAACTTTTAAACTCTCGAAAGTAGAAACTACAAGTAGAGACTACAAACACAACCCAACTCACAAAGAGTTGATGCAAATTACAACTCAAGAAATTGTAAGCGCACAACAAGCCACTCAACCACCTCATATGTCTCCAAATCCACCAAGGAAACAACCAGCGCACTGCTACTTCGTTGTCACAAAAAATTCTAAGGACAACAAAACCACAAGAGACGCCAATAAAATCACTATCACAACCACTCGGAAAATCTAGCCAAAATACTGGTAAACAGCCCCCCAATAGAGAAGGAATGGATTGGGAGGAAAATGGATGAGAGGAGGGATCAAAGCCAAGGTGAATCACATTCCAGCAGGCACAACGCGAACAAGTAGCGAGTAGAAGGGTTGGAGCCATGACTCCCTTGCCTAAAACTTTGAGGACTTTGAGGTTTTCGATGTCGAGTTCTGGTGAGGTATTGCATGGTGATGTTGCCACACTGTTCTCGCAAATTTGAAGCAATATCGCCGCCTCTCCGACCTCACCTCTATGATATCCACCAACACCAAAATTCCACCTTCTTTGACCAACGTCATTCGAGCCTCAAGCACTAAAATGAGAATGCTCATGACGGACGCCGACTTGCCCACAATGTTCGGCATGAAATCAGTTGAAATTCAGGAGTGAAAATGTGTTGTTATTTTATTCATCTCTCTTGGAGTTAATATATATGCTTTACAAGAGACAACGGATCTTGACAAAAATCCCAATCACAAGGCTTTTAGCCAAAAGTAACTGAAAGTATAAATAGTAATAATATATTATAATATTTCAACACTCCCCCTCAAGTTGGTGCATAGATGTCAAATATGCCCAACTTGTCTACAAACTTTAGAAACAACTGGTTTTATACTACTTTGGTGAGGACATTAGCCAGCTGATCCTCTGATCGAATCTTGGGCAATTCTATAATCTTTGCTTCCAATTTCTCCTTGATAAAAAATCTGTCAAACCTCACAAATCCCAAGTGCCACACCTCGATATTCAGCTTCTGCACTTGTGCATGAGACAACATTCTGCCTCTTACATCTTCATGTAACAAGATTACCACCTATAAAGGTGAAGTACCCAGAAGTGGATCGTCTGTCATCTAATGAACTAGCCCAATCAACATCAGTATATGCTTCAATTTTTCGATGATCATCATTTTGGAAAATAGAATTCCTTTTCTAGGAGAAGACTTCAAATACCTCAAAATTTGCATTACTGCACTCATGTGTTGTTCTCCAGGATTATGCATAAATTGACTAACAATACTTAAAGCATAGTAAAGGTCCGGCCTTGTGTGTGCTAGGTACATTAATCTCCCTACAAGTCTTTGATATCTTCCTTTATCAGCAGGCATCAGGATCAATACACAACTTCAATCCTTCCTCTATTGGAGTATTAGCTGGTTGACATGCTGACATACCAATTTCTTGCAATAAATCTAAGGCACACTTTCTTTGGGACATAAATATTCCTTTTGCCGACTAAGATACTTCAATCCCAGGAAAATATTTCAAAGAGCCAAGATCTTTCATTTCAAACTCCTTGGATAAATAACTTTGCAGTGCCTTCCTTTCTTGAAGATCATGCCCTGTAACCACCATATCATCCACATACACCATAAGTGCAATGATCTTACCATGCTGTCTCTTCAAAAACAAGGTGCGATCTGAGTTGCTCTAATGATAGCCAAAAGCGATCAAAGACTTCGTAAATCTTCCAAACCAAGCTCTAGGAGATTGTTTTAAGCCATACAATGACTTCTTCAACCGACACACCTTACCACGATGGATTCCTGGTATTAGACATCCAGAGGGGAGATCCATATAGACTTTGTCTGTTAACTCTACATGTAAGAAAGCATTCTTCACATCAAACTGTTGTAATGGCCAATCCAGGTTCACAGCTAGAGACAACAAAACTCGAACTGTGTTGATTTTAGCCACAAGTGCAAATATCTCCATGTAATCAATCCCATATGTTTGGGTATACCCTTCCGTCACCAATCTCGCCTTGAAGCGTTCAATATTACTATATGCTTTGTATTTCATCGTATAAACCCATCGGCACCCAACTAGTTTCTTTCCTGTTGGGAGATCTACAAGTTCCCAAGTTCTATTTTTTTGCAAGGACTTAATCTCCTCATTCATAGCAGTTTTCCACCTTGGGTTGGCTAAGGCTTCCTGCACACTGTTAGGAATAGATACAATAGATAATTGATTCACAAATGACTTATTTAATTTACACAGACACTAGTTGGACATATAATGGCTCATAGCGTACTTGACCTTACTTGTAAGATTCGGTTCATATGCGGGTTTCAGAATGCCTATGTTGCTACGAGGAGGATTCTGCCTTTTGGGAGGTTCAAGCATCAACTCAGGGACATCCTTAACGAGCGATTGGTTAGGTGTATCAGATACTTGGTGGTGAGAGCAATTCTGTTTGTGGGATTGATAATGGGGTCAATCCTGTTGGTTCAATTTCGATATTTGGAGAGTGCTCATTACCACTTTCATCCAAGTTTGCACCACTTGTTTCCAAAAAACTCTCAGCTTGATTCATAGGACTATGTGAGCGTTCATCGCCACTTTCATCCAAGTTAACACCACTTGTATCCAAAACACTCCCATCTTGATTCATAGTTTTAGGAATTTTCCCAATCTCATAAGCATGAAAATCGTAATCAAGGGTTTGAACTTCCTCTTTGTACTCCCCCTGAAGATCAGACCCAGAGGAAAAATACATGGTATCTTCATGGAAAACAACATCCAATGTAACATACATCTTTGCAGTTGGAGGATGGTAACATCGGTATCCCTTATGATGAGGTGCGTATCCCAGGAAAACACACCGCAATGCACACCCATGTGACACACCCAAAGACATGAGGAGGTAAGTTAGAGACAGTGAGGGCGCGAAGTACTTTAGTTAAAGCTTGAGATGGAGTACGGAACTTCAAAATAATGGAGGGAACACGGTTAATTAAATAAGCTGCATAAGTAAGGGCTTCTTCCTAGTAGGACAGAGGCATATGGGCTGCGATCAAAGAAGCATGGACAACCTCCAACAAGTAACAATTCTTCCTTTCCGCCACACCATTTTGTTGAGGTGTATAGTGGTAAGTAGTTTGATGAACAGTTCCATGTGTTGCTAAGTATTGTTGAAAATCATAACTCATGTATTCTCCCTTATTATTGTTGTGGAGAACTTGAACATGTGCTTGATATTGAGTATGAATCATCGCATGAAATTTCTTGAAGAGCAAGCTCACTTCGCCTTTGGTCTTCATCAGGCATACTCATGTCATCCTGGTACAGTCATCAATAAATGTAATGAACCAACGGGCACCACCCAAGGTAGGAACTTGAGAGGGACCCCAAACATCAGAATGAATGAGCATAAAAGGAACTAAACTGTGAGTAGCATGAAATGGAAAAGAAGTACGATGACTTTTTGCAAGTTCACAAACCTCACAACGAAAAGTGGTAACATCAATTCTAGAAAACAATTAAGGAAATAGTTTCTGTAGGTAGCCAAAAGAAGCATGTCCCAAACGTCGATGTCATAACCAGATATCAGACTTCCTCTTCTCCCCTTTAGAACCGTCCATAGTCAAATCTTGACACAACTTATTTGGACTCAGTGACACCAAATCTAAGTAATACAACTTTCCTTGCTTAACACCACAACCAATCATTTGTCTTGTGTGGATGTCCTTAAACATACAAAAGTCGGGCCAAAAAATCACAATACAAGATAAAGCAGCAGTTATTTGAGCAATCGATAAGAGATTATAATCCAAAGGAGGGACAACCATGACAGAATCTAAATTCAAAGTATCAGTAGGAGACATAGATTCATGTCCAGCAACTGTGGTTGAGGAACCATTGGCAGTGGAGACAGATTTTTGTATGGATGGTTGAAGGGATGAGACATGTCTAGAATCAAAAGTCATATGGTATGTAGCTCCTGAATCAATTATCCATGCACCATTCAAAACATATGCAGACATATTTAAAATCTTACCACTTTGACTTGTAGTTGCTACTAATGCAGAGGTTTGTTGAGCCACGATAACAGCTTCATCTGTCTTTGTGTCAACAACTGCAGGAGTAAAATGACGATGCATTTTGGGGCCTCTTCCTCGTGGTTCTTTCGTAGGATCCCACCATTCTGGGTAACTGAAGAGGTCATAACAACGAGAATTCGAGTGTCCAGTTTCCCCACACTGGGTGCAAGATTGCACAGATCCCATCAGACCAGTTTACAAACAAGTGAAATCTGATTTTTTTTCTTAAAAAAATTGAGTGAGACTCGGTCCTCCTTTTTTTTTTTTTTTTTTTTTCTTTTCTTCTTTTCTCCTTTTCTCTGTGCCAGTCATGAACCTGACCTGGCCTTGGTTCTTCTTTTCTCTTTTTCCTCCTTTTCTTTCCTTCTTCTTCCTCTCTTTTTCTCTTCCACGCTCACTGCACCACCAATGGGTTTTGGCTTGGACCACAAATTCGACAAGCTACTTGAGACCAGTGATGGAGCTGATGCGGCTCAGTTGGGTTGATTTCAAACAATGGTGCTAATGCGACTCGGCTGGTGGTGCGACATGATTGGGTCAACAAGCAACAGCTCGGTTGGAGATTTGGGGGGTAGCAACTGGAGATGGTGACTTAGGCTTTGTGGGAGCTACCGATGGATTTGAAAGTGCAAGGATTTGTGCAATGACGTGGTCGGATTCAATGGAGGTAATACGGTGGTTTTAAAATTCTATCTATGAAAGTATCAATACGAGATACTTGCAGGTTTCGCGAATCTACAGGGTGAGTAGGGTTCAAAGGTTTCTTAGAGATGGGGTCGTACCCGCTCTGATACCAAGTTGAAATTCAAGAATGAAAATGTGTTGTTGTTTTATTCATATCTCTTGGAGGTAATATATATGCTTTACAAGAGACAACGGATCCTGACAGGAATCCCAATCACAAGGCTTTTAGCTGAAACTAACCGAAAGTATAAATAGTAATAATATATTATAATATTTCAACAAAATCTGCCATCAATTCCACCAACGGCTTCATGATTCATGATTGGATGGCTCTGATCCGTTTCGCCTTCATGGAGCACAATGAGTACAGAGTCATTGACGCGTCCTTGTTCCTGCGAAAACCTCCACTCTTGAGAAGGTTCACTAGCAACTGTATCACTCCTGACCGTTCGATTGTGACTTTGTTCTAGAGAGAGAGGGTGCAGATGCGGGAGGGGCGGTGGTTAATTGTTTATGGGTCTAGCTCTGTTTGACACAAATGGGCATGAAAATTTAAGGCCGATTAGAAAGTGGGTTGCAGTGAAGTTTGTGACTTGTTGGAGCTAGAGGGCATTGTTTATGTCGTTTAATGGTGAAATTTTTTTGGGTAGGTTTTGTTTTCAAAGTGAGAAAGACAGAGAAAAAGAGAAGAACGACAGAGAGGACAAGGAAGGGCCATAGGATCACGAAATTGCACTCCAAATAATGCACACGTGCGCCTTACGTGGTTGGGTCTGACTGAAGGTTGGATGAAATCCCACAAAATCTAAAGGGAGGAATGAAATTGTCAATATAAATTAGTCAAGGGGTTAGGTTGGCTGAAGTTTTAATTCAAGGGGTATTTTGGCAATTTCCTCCTTTTAATTGATTTTATAATAAAAACATCATTAACTCAATTTGATCTTCTAAGTAGGCTTAAAGCATATTACTTTTTGAATAATTCTAGGGACACCAAATTTGTATACCAAATTTGAGTCCCAAATCCCATACCCAAATGATCATAATTGGGTTAAGTTGAAGCCCATGGCTGCAACAATTTTGGTGGCAAGGAATGGGTTGCACATGCTTGGGTGAAGAGGGAGATCATATGTGCTTTTTTATTTTTAGATTCCCCTTCTTCTGAAATAAGGTTCTAGCCCCTCCTCTGTCTCTATTCCCTTTCTCTCTCTTCCCCAACCCCAATTCCCCACCCCACTGACACCCACTCGACCCTGTGTCGTTAGTTGCAGAGAGCTGAGAGAGAGTTTTCAAAAAAAATTCTTTTTCCTTTTCTTTTGGATGTTTGAAGTTCAACTTGATAGTTTGGTTGGTACTATTTCATGTAGCTTGTTAACAGGATTAACTGCATACGTAACGAATACAAACTCCTACATATCTGGATTGGCCATAGGAATGATTTGGAATGATGAAGCCAAAAACTAGTTTGACTTTGAATAGAAACCTTCTACTATTCGAACCTCTCTTGATTAGCTAAAAAATCATCAAATTTTTCTTTAATTAATATTAATTTAAAATAACATATTGTTAATCTAAAATTCAATAAGTCACAAAATTTATCCCACGTCATTGCCACCATATAACACCACCATATTGGCCTTCTTACAATGCCGCCATGTTGGGCGACACGTCCGATAATACTCGGGGCATATGCTTGATTTTGGTTACGGATTTGAATTCATGTATGCCCAGAAACTCATATAACATTAATTTGTTGGAATTGACCATAACTATGGTTGATTTGGCCTTGGCTTTGAGTTTGAGCAAACGGAACCAGTCTTAAACAAGAAAATGTGCTTTGGGAAGAGAGAATTGAGTTTGGGCTTGGAGGCAGGTGTGATTATTCTAGTTTTCTGGTGGTGCGGGGTTTTGTCTGTATATATAAGTCATATTCTCTTCCTAAGATTGTTAATCCATAGGTTTGGATCTCTCTTTATATGGGTTTGAAAAACTAAAGGACTGTGATTTCTTGAGTCACTAAATTAAAGTATGTATCAAAGCATGAAAGCATGAATCTTGAAGAACAAAATTATAAACATATAATAGTAAAAATATGAGCTCGATGGTTATATGGTGGAACATCTAGCCAAGCCAAGGGATGGCCGCTTTTTGGAAAGGCCAAGGGATGGTGTTATACAGTGGTGGAGTGAGATTGGTGGGGATGGTGTGGTGGTGTGAAATTGGTGGCATTAGGATTGGGTAAACCATTTACTATTATTTTTTAATTAAATCCATGTGGCACATGCCATGTCATTTGGGACTCAAATTTGGTCCCTTGCATTGGCTCTAGTTTTTATGCCATGCATAGATAGATAACCACGGGTTACATGTATGAGGAATATCTAGTTAGTAATTGGGAGTTAAAGTTGATGATAGCAAGCAACATATGTGTTATCCATGGAAAGAGAACCAATCACACATTAGATATATGGGAAATATCTAGATGTTTAAATATTTTGAATTAAAGTTGAGAAGTGCTAGCGACAGCTACTTTCCATGCAAAGATAGTCTACCACGAGTTGCACACACGAGGAATATCTAATTTTACTGGCATCGAAAGTTAAAGTTGACGAAAGTTAGGAACAATTATAACTAGCCATGCAAAGTCAGCCAACCACGCGTCATATATTTGAGGACAAATATCTAGGTTTGTAGGCATTGAGTTAAGACTTTTTATCGCAAAACGTCCCTGAGGTTCACGAAACTATCAAGTTGCATCCTATATATATATATTGTCATTTTCGGTCCCCAATGTCAATATGCATGCTCATAAGTAGTTCTTGCCTTCACGTTCGGTGCAAAAGTCTGTTATATTGATGATGTAGCACACATGTGCGCCTCACATATCCAATGATATGACGTCATGTGGATTTAAATTAATATATATGTAAAAAATGATAAATCATTAATAAAAAAAGAAAAAAGAAAAGCCAAAAAAATTCACCACCTCTTTCATCGCAAGCCAAACTCCCACCCCCTTCTGCCTCTAATTTCCCAGTTGCCTCCGCCTCTATAGCTCACCCAAGTCAACCATCTCCCCTCTCCCCTTCCAAACCCAAACTCACCATCTCACATGATCGACCACTCATTCTAGCCACAACCCACCCCACACCCCCTCCACCTCCCATGTCCCCCAACCTCCACTACCCACCTTAACCCCCCCTACCCGAGCCCTCAACCAACTCAACAATCTCCCCTTCCAAACCCAAACTTACCATTTACCTTTGAATATACTTTCGCCAATCTTCGCAATAATGGTTGAGGAAGCTTGCATAAGTTTTATTTTTTATTCTTGATAATGTTAAATTGATAATGATTGATGAAGATTGGAGATATCTGTTTTTTTTTCTTATTTAAAGTTTGCTACATAAGTGGGTGGGGCTGCAGATCATGAGGTGGGAGTGGGGAGTTTAGCCATGCAAGAGGGTTGCAATGTGAATGGAGATAATGGCTAGATTTGCGGAGGACATTTCTAAAATTTTCCTTTGAATTTTGACAACTCGGTGATGTGAGATGATGAGTTTGGGTTTGGGTTTGGAAGGGGAGAAATTTGAGTTAGGCGACGGGTGATGAAGTTTGGCTTGGGAGAAGGAGAAACCAAGGGTTGCAAGGAGGAGCAGTGGGAAGAGGAGAAGAAGTCGCAAGAGGATGATGTTGTTGCAGGCCACAGGTCACCGTTGGCCAAGCGATCAATCGCTTTTGGCCGAGTGCTCGGGATGATTTTTTGCTTCAAAGCGATCGGTAGTCGCGTGACTAGGGCCTTGTGTTGTTTTGGCAGTTTGGCGTATTTTGACATGATTTCATATTTTATTGGGGTTTCATAGTCCAATTTAATAGGGTTTTGGTTTCCTATTCCTGGCTAACTTGTAACCCAAGTCCTATGAGTTATAAATAGGATTTTGGGGCTAGGTTAAAAGTAAGAGAGAGAAATACAAGACATAATTCAAGACGGATGAGTTCTTGAGTATTTATAAGGACGTCAAAGGATTTGAGTAAAAGTGTGAGAGAAAGTAAGACCTAGGGTTGTAGAGGATAGAGATCTAAGGGGGTTCTTGTTGTAACCAAAGTTTTTCCTATTCTTGTAGAGAAATTTTTCAAGGGGATCACCAAAAAAGACGTAGGCATGAGGCTGAACCTCTGTAAATCTTTGTGTTCTTGTGTGTTTGTTTTACTTTCTTCGTGGTGTTTGTGTTTTATTCTCAAGGGGTTTGTGTGTGTACCATTGCATTGTCCATCAACAACAACGTCTTGGAGTGTTTCTACACAAGTGGTATCAGAGCCAAGGTTCACAGTAGGCTCTTATAGTTTTAAGAGTGTTTTTAAGTACTGATGATGACGGGCAACAAGAAGGTGGTGGGAAAAGGCTCCCAAACAACGACACCACAAACAGATAGCATGAAGCTCGAGGTGAATATATGCAAAGGAGAATGAAAGATGACCTAGCCCAGCAAGGTCGAACTATTTTCTTGGTAGGCTAAGAAAAAAGGCCAGAAATCATGATAACGGAGGAGAGGGACGTGCTCAGCGAATCGCCTAGGAGGTCCATCAAGATCAAGGAAGACACTGCAAAGCAAACAGAGGAAAAGCTCAAACGAATGTTTGTAGGGAAGTTCCTATCAAACAACTGCTTCATGAAGGAATAGCTCCTAAATCTTCTGATGGAGGATGGTGAAAATGTCATGGAGCATCTTAACACCTTTAATAGGTGTATTGCGGCCTTGGATAAGGTGCACATGGTTTATAGCACAAAGGATGAGGCATTGATGTTGTTGGCATCATTGTGTCCGTCCTATGAACACTTACAGAAGATGCTGATAATTGGCAAGGGTACTCTCAATTTTGAGGAAGTGGTGCAAGACTTGGTGCCTCACAGGTTGGCTCAAAATTCTAGAGATAGCTCTCAAGATGTGGGTTTATTAACACGAACCAGAAAGCGAGGTCATACAAGCAAGCATAAGGGCAAGAAAGGAAATGTGAGGAATTCTAAATTTAAAGACAATGAAGAGTGCTTCAAGTATGGATCTATAGACTATTGGAAGCGGGTTCGTCCGATATGGAAATAGAAGCGAAACAAGATGAAGATTGCCGAAAGTTCAAGCGCATCTAATGATGAAGTTTTGACGGTTCAAATGAGGAGTGTAATGGGCAAGTCATAGCAAATTCTTCAGATAAGGGTTATACTTTAGTTTGGATTTTAGATTCTAGATGCTCCTATCATATGTGTTCAAATATGAGTGTATTTGATACATATGAGGAAATGAAGGGTAGCAGGATTTTGTTGGCAGACGAAACAAGTTGTGAGGTTTTGGGCATGGGAATAGTGAAGATTAAGATGCAAGACGATGTTGTTAGGAGCTTATTTCCCTTGGAGTTCTAGATACAGAAGGGTATTCGTACAAGGTTGGAGAAAGGAAGCTCTTAGTCACACAAGGTTCAGTGGTGATTATGATAAAGAAGATTCAACCTAACAACGTTTAATAGCTTTTTAGGGGTACAATAGTAGGTGGAGTAGAAAATTCTATCAAGAAGGCATTTTATACCCAAAAAAAAGCTAGCAAGGAATCTTACTGTCAAGAAGCCAATGCAACAGAATAAAGCTACAAGTGCGCTCAAGACTAGTTGAGCAAAGTAGGTTAGTCAAGGTTGTATGACTAACAGTTTATCATCTAGGGTGCTTGATTTCAAAGGTGTAGAAGTGGCAGTGTCGGAGAATAAGGTCCACAAGGGTGAAGTCAAGCCATGAGATGATGGGGAGAATATTTTTGGGTCGGTGGCAATCAAAATGACACTTCTTACTAAGGTGATCATGGAAGGGACTCTGAGATAGGTAGAGCTTGACACAAAGGTTGAAGAGGATGAGCATCAACAAAAAACTTATAAAGGGGTTCTACTTGAGGTGGAGCCTTTATTACAAGCAAGGTTCGGGCCTGAGGAATCCATCAAACCATCCCAAAGATTTAGATGAAATGACAAGGTAGATTCAACTACATTTCGGAGTGCTTTGGGAGCATGAATTGGGAGGGGTGCTTGGATGAGAATGAAGAGGTTAATTCATGAATCTAAAAGCAATGTCGGTGGCTGTGTAGGGATTTATAGAACAAGGGTTGGTATGCGTCTTGCGTATCAAGGCACGTGAAGAATTCAAGATTCCATGAAAGTGAGGAGCAAGGAGTTTGGCATGGAGAATCTTTCTTCTACACAAGAGGTCTGAGTTGCCCAACTTTGGCATGGGTGGAGCATCGCCTCACTTGAGGTTTGTTGAGGCAAAGGGTTTCTTGTGATGATGGAGCTTTTGGAAATTACTAGAATGGTTTCCAAGAGGTTGAAGAGGTTCTAGGGGTCAAAAATTATTCATGGGCAATTGATGGTTTGCCAAGGTGGAGATTGTTGAAGCATATAATTCAAGAAGGAGAAAGAGGAACCAAGTTGCAAGGAAGAGCAACATGAAGAGGAGAAGAAGTCGAAAGAGGAAGCTGTTGTTGTAGGCGACAGTTTGCCATTGGCAAAGTGACATGTTGCTTCTGGCCGAGAGCTCGGGATGATTTTTTGCTCCAAAGCGATTGATCGTCACGTGAACAATGTCGTGCATTGTTTTGGTTGTTTGGCATGTTTTGACGTGATTTCCTATTTTATTGTGGTTTCTTAGCCTAATTTAATAGGGTTTTGGTTTCCTATTCCTAGTTAACTTGTAACCCAAGTCCTATGAGTTATAAATATGACTTTTAGGGTAGGTTAAAAGTGAGAGAGAGAGAGAGAGAGAGAGAGAGGAGAGAGAGAGAGAGAGAGAGATACACAAGACAGAATTCAAGACAGAATTCAAGACAGGTGAATTCTTGAGTGTTTACAAGGGCATCAAAGGGTTTGAGCAAGTGTGCAAAAGAAATTAAGACAAAGGGTTGGAGAGGATACAGAGCTAAGGGAGTTCTTATTGTAACCAAAGTTGTTCCTATTCTTTTAGTGAAATGTTTCGAGGGGATCACCAAAGAAGACGTAGGCGCGAGGCCGAACCCCTATAAATCTTTGTGTTATTTTTTGTTTGCTTTACTCTCCTTGTGGTGTGTGTATGTTTTATTATGAAGGGGATTGTGTTTGTGTTGTCTAGTCCATCAACGATAAGGTCTTAGAGTGTTTCCGCACAACAAGTTATTGTTGTACCAACCGTCCCAATAAGAGTCCACTACCTGTCCAAACCATGCATTGACATTTTTCTCACCTTAACCACCTAGGTCCAATGCTTAGGTTGGATTAGGCCCAATGGACCTCTAGGTGTGGGGTTTTAACGTAAAAGGCCTCCGTGTAATTAGGAGTGGACCGCCTGTTTTTAAATTGTAGATTATTGTTGTATTATCCGATGTGGGACTTACACATCATGGCTTGTATGGAGCCACTTACACCAACAATCTCCACCTTGGCAAGATCCAAGCCAAGGTAACATGCTCGTTCACCACACCCACACCTTTCAAGAGTGAGCCCCTACAACTCCACCTCTTTCGACAAGGATTTTCTTGAGCCTCGCTAGGGGCTCTTACTCCAGCTATGCCCAGGATTTTCTTGAGGCTTGCTCCACCTTTCTTCGCATGTCCATAAATTTTTACTTGAGTCACGTCCTTGAACATGTCAATGGCTCCACCTTGAACCAAGTGCGTATTAGATGAACCATGCTCTAATACCAATTTTTGTACTAACGTGCGCAATAGGAGTTGATTACCTGTCTAAATCATACATCGATATTGTCCCCACCTTAACCACTTAAGTCCAATCCTTGGGTTAGGTTAGGCCTAATGGACCTCTAGGTGTGGTGTTTTAACTTAAAAGGCCTCGATGCAATTAGGAGTGGACCACCTATATTGTTGTATTCTCTAATGTGGGGACTCACACACCATGCCTTGTATAGCCACAACTACACCAAAAAATTTCATGCATCATTTTAAATATATACACAGTGAGCTTCTATTGAGGGCCCACTTTGTATTTATTTCACTAATCCAAACTGTCTATTTTGTAGATATTCATTCAAAGATCATCTCTACAAAAAATCACTTGAATTTTACCACTCAATTTGATTATTGAAAATTTAATACTTTCTTGAAGTACTGTGTTCATTGATTTTGTAGGACACAATTAGATGTTGAAACGGTTTCCAATTTGTCTAATTTTTTTTGCAAGGATGATCTATGAATGTAGGCTTAAAAATAGATGGTTTGGATCGTTGAAAAAAAAATCGTAGGGGAACCTAAAGGGTGTCCCTCAAATAAAATTATTTGAGGGATCCCTCAATAAAAGGAGACTGTGTATATATATGAGGCCCACATGGTGACACGTCATCAATTTAACAGACTTTTAGATGGAATATGACGACAATGACTACTTGTGAGCATGCATATTAACCTTGAGGACTGCGAATGACGTAAAAAAACATAAAAGATGCAACCTGATAATTTCATTAACCTCAATGACGTTTTGTGATAAAAAGCCTTGAGTTAAAGTTAAAGAGTGCTACTAGCAACACTTGCTAACACTACAAGAAAACACGTCTTCTATTACGAAATTATATGTGACGCTAAAAATTTTGTCACATTTACGTAAGATAACTGAGGAAAATTTTCAAATCATAGGGTATTCACGGGACGTAAAAACAATTTCACAGTTGCTAACTTTCCCTGGTAGCACTGAAAAAACTTAATATAAACAAAGCCCATGCTCAACCGCTTTTTTCTGTACATTTTGGTGGGCTTTTATTTTTTAATGCCATGAGTAAAAATTAAGCAAACACGTCCTCAGCCAAACATAATGTTTTCTTTCAGTAACCTAAAAATTTGTAAGCATCAAATACTGCCTCCAAGACACACGGGCATAACCTCTTTTTTAAAAAAATAAAAAAATACAAATACAAATGACAGTCTAAATTAAAAAAGGGACAAGTTATTCAAAACACGCTCTTCCAACTATTTTTACTCACGCATACCAATCTTTTCTAATAAGATCAAACCAATAATCTCTTATTTGTATATAAATCTTCGAATTTTGTACGGATGTGAATTCTGGTAAACCGGAATACTATTTTTAAGGTTGGCAAGAGCAAGGTTTTTTTCTTTCACTCTCAGTTTGAATCAAGCCAAATTGGTACATCTTCTAGCCAATGCAAAATTGGATTCTAAATTTAAAGTATGCTAGGCTAAAGCATGCACAACTTTGTTTGCTTCCCTGGGTTTAAATTGAATATGCACAATACTAAACAAACATAATTCATCTCTTAATGCTTGCACTATAAAAGTTTCAATACACAAATTTTACATACATAAATTAAAATAGGCTATATTTCTCGTACGGAAAGTACTTATATACCAACACTATTCTTATCTTCTTGGTTTTTTATACATAAAAGTAAATTTAGCGAAAGTCAGGCGTTACACCGACTACAATACTATTCTAATCACGTTTTAAATACATTAGTAGATATGGTAACGTTCTTTTCTGTGTATGATACACGCATATGAACTTTGAAATTTTCGATTCCTATTATGACAGAAATGAAATCATTACCTTGTTTTTAGAAAATTATTTCTATATGTAAAAACATACCAATAAATCATGTGTAGTTAAAAAAAAAGAAAAAAAAAGAGAGTAATTTCGGCACAACAAAATATAACTACATTGAGCATATACAAAAATAATAATACTTCAACTAATAAAATAAATGATCATTTCTTCGATGTCAATTTGATGTGATAGTGTTTTATTTGTTCCTAACTCATCTCAATTTTAATTTTAGTAGTCAACACATTAAGCTAATTGATGAGTATGGCTGAATTTTGGGAAATTTTTTGGACCCTCATAGTGTTATGTAATTTATTTTTTTCTTTCTTGAAAGGTCTTCTAGTACTTTTTGGTGAGGCAAAACTGTAAACTCATACCTTTACCAACAAAACAATTGAATGCTAAAATCACTACAGTTACAGCCAACGAGCCACCTTAGCAACAGTTTAATTTGCAGTTTTACCACACTGTCATTGAGGGCAATGTACTAAATTGAAGAAACAAACTACTAAAAGAAGTTTATGAGTTTTGTAAAGTCATTAACCATAGGCGGTGTGGCCACAATATAAAATATAGGAGGTGCCCAGACTAATTTCTATTCAATATATTAAGTGTAGCCTATCTGTTTGGCTTCTCTCTCTCTCAATCTCTTTCTCTCCTTCCTGTGTTACTGTTGGAACTGACTGCATTTTCCGGCATTGACTAACCCCTGAGCTGCCGGGCTGCGACTCTGAGTCTCACTGCCGGATTTTTGTGAGCTAAGCTGCCTGCACTCACATACATTCTACCATCTCTGTAAGCCTTTCACTTAATTCATGCATGTTGACCAAAGCCTCTATTTAATTGTTACATTTTCTTTCATATCAGAAGAAGATTCCCTGAAGATATAATGATTTGTTTGCCTCATAATCCTAGTCGTTTGAACCAATATTAAGTAACTCAGTTTGCACAGAATGAGAAGATTACTGTCTATCTATATTCCTGGTCTAGTTTGGCTTCAATTGTCACTCATGTTTCCTTGTTTTCCAGGACACAAGAAATGGCTGGCCTTTAGCTGCTGAGAAACATCTTGTGTAGATGATTTTGAGCATTAATAACAGAGATGCCCTTCTGCTTTTTCCCATCTGAGGGAAAGATCTCTTCTTTAATGTGTATTAAAATCTTGTATTGCATGTTGGGTGTGGGAGAGTTAGTTTTGTGAGAAATTTATTTATGCGTTTTGGCACAGTCAGTTCAGACAATAGGGATAACCAACAGAGGGGCGTGTTGAAAAATCAGGCATCGCCAATTTTCCGCAAAACTTATGCTAGAGGGAGATCAGAGTGTTATAGATAGGAAGACATCAAAGAAACAGAGAAGTGGAAAGAGACTTTGATAGTTTATAAATTGTAGGGGCTCGAGAATGAAGTTTGGAGGGAGATTTTCGTTTCCCCAGGATGTAGATCTTCGGTTCACAATTCTTGGGTACCAGTGACCCCAGAGAAGGCAATTTCAGTGAAGCCTCATCCGATCCTTGCCAACCCGTATGCAAACAACCAGCAAGGGGCAAATTGGCAGCAACAACAACAACCAACTGGAATTTCAAGTGATCATGTACAAATGGGGGCTACTTACAATGGGATCACTCAAACAGTTAGCCCAATGGAACAGCAGCATGCAAATGGAGGGCGTTATGGTTACTCTTATGATGTAAGTCTGGCCGAGAAAACCCAAATGGTTGATCTCATCACAGGCTCCTACAGCCCAGGCTCCTTCACAGAATTGCTTTGTAGTGGCAGCTCAAGTTGGAACAACGATCCAATGACACATCTGCTTCATGATCAGGCAGCTTATGTTGCCTCTGCAAGCAGGAACCTGAGCACAAGTGCAGACATACCAGCAAATACAGCTCTAATTCCTAAGTTTCAACCTCATTTGAGCAACCTAGGAAACAGCTCAGGCAGTTTCTTGCTAGCCAATCAAAATTTCAGCAATGGTTCATATCCTTCAAGTATCTTGATGGACAGGTCCTTGGCTATGGATTTTCCTTCTCAAGTTGACAACAGTCAGAGATATTCCAACTCAGTTCATTGGCTATATAGCAACCAAAATCCCTGCTCAAGTTCAAACCCCTTGAATAATGGCGCTAGCTCATCCCAGATATGCCAGTGTAAGCATTTTAACTCTGTTATGATATTTGTGTCATTTATGCGACAAAGATTTGCCTTAAACTATTGGTTGAAAGAGTGTGTGTTATTGTTTATTCTGATAAATTTTGTTGATAAAAACAGAACATTAGGAGAAAATAAATGATTTGGCATTTGATATAGGAGAAATCAATTTCATGTCACAGCAATCGTATGTCTTATGTGACGTATAACTTATTGAAACATTGTACTAGAAACTGAGGAGACCATTAAGATGCTTAAATTTATAAAGTAAATTTTTATGGATCCGGATCCTCTGCCTTGTTTTTTTTATTTTATCTATTACTGTCTACTTGGCTTTTGATGTAAAACTGTCACATCAATAATGTATTGCAAAAACAATAGTTTTTAATAGATTAAATGTAATGTAAAAAAAAAATGTATTAACTTTCTAATAGATTAAATATTGAAGTAAAAAAAATGTATTAACTTTATTTTTACTAGTACATGTTTTTAATCCTTTGATTATATTATAAATGATGTGGCAGTCTCACATCAAAAGCCAAGTGAATCCTAGTAGATATAAACCAGAACTCAACATCAACAATCTTGTCTTTGATATATTCTGTTATAGTTTGAAACAATGCTCTGACTATAATTTGTTTATGATATATGTCTTCTAATGATCTGTATGTATGTACTATAATTTGTTACAAAAACGTTGACCAAGAAAACAAAAGAAATAAAATACATAATTTTCTCATCCAAACACTACATAAGATCAGGAATGATTCAATGTTAACCAAAACCAAAAGAAAACAAGGGAAAAGAAAAAAGAGAGGCAAAACCAGAATAAAACATTTTGATTGCCATTAAACTTGTCTGCCCACCCTCCCTAAAGTCTGCCCACTTAAACTTGTCTCTCTAAGTGTGGGAATGGGTGGCGAGCCAGCTCACAACAATCTCCATGTTGGCGCATGGCAATAGCCATCAACTAACCACTCGAATGTTTGTAACTCTTAAGGATCTTTGAATATTCCTGAAGACAATCCTGAAATCCTTCAAGAATCTTCTCCATGGCAAGAGACCACTTTCATTGTCACTTCTTGGTACCTCATAGCTATGTTTTAAGCAATCATTAGCGAACCTATTTTCAACCATATAACTTCCTTACCTTAGCAACCTTTATCAAACCAATTGTATGTAGCATCGGTCTCCAACCAATCGACCCTCCACCACATGTGGAGACATAACACGTGGGGATTTGCTTAAGTCCCCTACATGGTTTGCATCCACATAACCAGACACACATGGTTTTCCCTTGTTGATTTTCAAACAAAATCCCAAGACGCTTAGTGCCTTTTAAATAGCTTAGAATCTAATTCACTACATTCCAGTGCATTTACTCGGACTCACTATGTACCTCGAAACTAGACTAAATGATTGGGGTAAGTCAGGTTGCGTAGAAATCATTGCATATATATAAGAGTCACCGCAAAATTTTTTAAAATAGAAACTAGGTTTTCTTTACCTACTTCAACAAACCTTAGTTGACTCATGTAGATCTCTTCCTTTATCAGGAAGTTAGGAAATGCATTCAAGAGGTTTGGGATTAAGTTTGGACCGCTCATCAGGGGGAATAAAAACATATATGCAGTACATCTAAAAACCATTAGAGCAGATAAACTAACCGGTTTATTAGACCATACCTGATTTACATATATGAAACCAAGCATCCTTGATAGTGATGGATCAAGAAAATAACAAGCATGATTAATCGCTCTCCACAAAATGACTCGGGCAATGCATAAATCCTTATGGACCTTTCTCCATAAGATTCATGTTCATCCTCTCTACAGCTCCATTTTGTTGGGGATTTTCTTCACATTGCCTTGTGATACTGTCATCCTTGCAAAACTCGAGAAACTACTTATCTATAAACCCACCCCTATTGTCACTCTTCAAGTATTTAACTTTTCTACCTATCTAAATTTTTTTACGCCTTCCACACTCCTTGAATTTGGTGAAGACCTCGAATTTTTATTTCATGAAGTAGACCCAAATCTTGCTAAAAAACATCACCTAAGCAAGTAACAAAACGCTGGCCCCACCTCGTCCGAATGAATATATTAATCCTTCTGGTACTCTTATTCTCCTTGTTTGCTAACTTACATACCACCCTTGTTTGCTTTCTAGTGGTAAAGTGCTTACAAAACTTAATAAGTCCGCAATAGCATAGATCTTCTAGTAAATTATGCTTTGTTTACCTCTTGCATGGCTCTTTCACTCATTTTTTCTAGCTGCGAATGTGAAAAAGACAAGTTTGATCTTCTAGTCCTCCTTGGTAGAAACTGATGCTTATTGTAACCCATGAAAGCTTGTAGAAACTCATAACCCCAAGTGAACCCTTTGTGACCTTACCTTCTTTAGATTTGTATTGTAGCCATTCTACTCAAGAGAAATATATTCTTTCTTAGTGAAGGAATATACCTCACCTTACCTAGTGACATGACAATATCATCATGCATTCCGATCTTCATGTAATCACATATCAAGAACTACTTTGCATGTTGATTTATCCACCATCATGACTTCACCCCCATCTTTGTCTACGTATGTATCAAATCCTTCCTTTTTCAAACACATATGAAAAGTACCTCCAAATTCTAAAATCCAAGATGGAGAAGATTTTCGTAAAAAGATGACCATGAGTTCATTGTTGCTGGTAATAACCAAAAGTTCAGTGTTGCTATAGCAACACTAACTGTAGTCTGTATGAGAACTTCCTGCATTCTCAATTTGTTCCTCTTCTCCTTCCATGCTGGAAAATTCTTTTCATAATCGTCCTTAGAACCACTTTCAAACTAACCATCTTTATCCCTGAATTTTGACCTTCCAATGTAACCATTTTGGCCATCTCGCTTATATGGTTGGCCTCTCGCACCAGAACTCTTAGTATATAGAGCCCTTAACCCTGAGAGATTTCACCCATTAATTGTATGATTCATCCTCACATGATAGATGAGATCCTGGACGACTTCATCCTATAACAAAGTATCCACGCGATCATAAGCATGGTCATAAATTACTTAAAAGACGAGGGTAAAGACCTCAACACATCACATCATCATATATATATATATATATATATATTTCTCCATGTTTCTTTTGCAGGAGTTGTACCCTCCATATTTATGGCATGTTTACATATCAGTAATGAGTATGAGAATCATTCTAATTCCTTCTTCGCTTGTGTTTACTAATGCATGGGTATTGGAATGATACCAATTTCTTACTTCCCCTGCGTTTACTTACATCTAAAGAATAAAAAATTATGAGAGTTCCATCCTAAAATCTGTAATCAAATACCCTCAAAACTAGGAATCTGATCAACTTGGGGAAGTAGTTGATCCGATTCCAATTCCTTATCCTTATTCCGTGTTTCTTTTCAAGTAAAAACTACTTGGTAGAACTTTTTTTATTTTATTTATTGTACTAATAAAACCTTATTTATTTATTGTACAGATGGTTTTTCCGTACCATTCCTACCAAGCTATGATCTAATAAACTCTTTACCAAGAACAGAAGCCGATGCTGCCACATCTGCTGCCAGCCAACTCCAATTCACAACAAATCAGGCCAAGACTTTGGAGATCGACGAGCTTTCTACAATACTGAAATCCTTCACAAGTGAAAGTGCTAGTAAGGAAAAAGGCAAGCAGGTGAAATTAGTATTGTCTATAGGGGATGAAGCAGTTCAAAAACATAGTGACGGCCTCTTGGAGAACATTGTGGAGTCATCATCTGCAGCCATTTCTACACTATACGTGGAAACGAAAGATTATGGCAGGGAAGGTGATATAGGGATTGATATCGAAACGATAGATTCTGGCAGGGAAGGTGACAGAAGGATTGATCAAAACAAGACACCACAGCAGAAAACACCCAAGCGAAAAAAACACAGGGCCAAGGTAGTCAGAGAAGGCAAACCCAAAAGGACACCACATCATGCAAGTCCAAATATTAATTCAGAGTCTAACGAGAGCAGACCAGCAAAGAGGAAGTATGTAAGGAAGAATGTCCAAAAGGAATCCCCAGGTCAACTGTCGCATGTTCCAAGGGAGACAATAGACCCTAATGCTGGAAAAGTTGCAAAGTCATGCACGAGAGTTCTATGTTTTGGTTCTCAAAAGTCCATGGATGAAAACCCATGCAAAGCAGTTGGTCAGCAAGAGGAGATGAAACAAGGGAACAAGAGAACTTTTGATTTGAATATTGATTGTAAAGGGATACATATGGGCACTGGAACTGACCAGGTTTTTAGAACAAATGCGGCTGAGCGAATCGGTGTACAGAATGAGCTGATGGTAGAAAACCAGATACCAGGAACTATGAGAAACCCAACCCCTTCCATGACCCATATTCTAAATAACTATCCAGACCAGCCCGAAAAGCAACTATCTGCAGCAGCACTTGCTACAACAAAAGACGTGCATATGGAAAATTTGACTGTCATACGGAGACAAGTAGAAAATGGGAATTTGGATTTATGCCAGAGAAGATGTAGAGATGGATACACTCCCATGCAACAACAAAGAGATGCTCAAAGAATAGGCCATGATGTCATTTACGCAAAAACTAACGGTGAAAACCTTCAGAGTACTGGAGAAAGTATCAAGCTTGGCAGCTGTCAATCAGTAGTAAAACTTCTCTCCATTCCAAGTGAAGCCAGGGGATCCAAGAGGGGATATTCTGGAACTGTTGAGCACACACATCTTTCTACCAATCATCCACCTAGTTCATTGTCGTGCCAAGATATATTTCAATTGGATCGCTATCAGAGAAATAGTTGCACTCGCGGCAAAAAATTTCCAGAGAGTCATAAGAAACAGAAATCTGATAATGGATACTTGAGCATATATGATATGTCTTCTAAAGTTTCGCCCGTTGAGGAGTGCCTGGGAAAAGTTGAGAAAAAAGGGGAAATAGTGTCAACTCAATTGGGTTTGCATCAAAGCTGAATAATACATTATTGAGTTATTCCATTGAAAGTAGCAGAAAGATAGAGGGACAGAACAAAGGGCTCAACAAGTTTACCAGTGAGAGGTACACTCACTCCATGGCTTCTGGGCATAGTTTTCTGAATCAGCAGAACTCATCCAAATCACATTCATGCCAAGAATTCGCTCAAGTTCATAGCTTGTCTGCCCATTCCTCGATTGAAACATGTAACCAGCTTGCCTCATCACCTTCCAGAAAATCCTTTCAACAAGGAAACAGGCAGGCATTTCGAACTCGCCATGATAAGACAACCGGAAAGAGGCAGACTGTGTTAACGGGAAAGAAGGAGGAGACTGTATCGCAATCGGTTTCATCAGGTACAGAAAAAGTCCTGCAAGAAGGGGATGCCTTGTATGATAATCAGAAACCTTCTCCACAAGCAATAGGTACTTGCCACCTTATGAAACTTTTGAAACTTGTATATGTAATCTCAATACATGTTTTCAACTTCGTTAAATGATGACAACCTCTTGATTTGGATGCAGGGTTTCCAATAAGTACAAGATATACCATATCAATAGATGACATCACAAGTCAATTTAATGGCCTGAACCTCAATGGAAGCTGCAGCAAATCTATAGAGCATGAGAAAAATGCACTTGTCCCATACAATGCACCTGGCGCAGTTGTTCCCCATGACGGGACTCTTAAGAAACGTAAGCCACGGCTTAAAGTAGAGCTTGACCCAGAAACAAATAGGATGTGGAATCTCTTGATGGGCAAGGAAGGAAGCGTTGGCATTGAAGAAACTGATGAGAAAAAGGAGAAGTATTGGGAAGAGGAAAGAAAGGTTTTCCGAGGACGAGTTGACTCAGTCATTGCACGCATGCACCTTGTTCAAGGTAAAATACTAACAAAAAAATATATAGAATTAGGCTGTTGTTTTGAAATTGAGTGAATATGTCGACAGTAAAGTAATAAGCATTTCATGAATGGTTTCATTTATTCCCTTCTTAATATGTATATAAACCAGGCCAAACCCAGTTTTGTCAAAAGTTTTTTAAGTGTGAAACATTTGCATGATTTGTAGATCTCTCGATCAAGCTCTAACTTGATCCAATATTATTCTACACAGGAGACAGAGGTTTTTCGAAATGGAAAGGATCAGTTGTTGACTCAGTGATTGGAGTTTTCCTTACTCAGAATGTTTCAGACCATCTATCAAGGTACACACAATTTTAGCATGATTGTTATGCAGCAAGGTTGTCCATAAATGAATGTCTTTAAGTGAGCAGTATTTAAATTTTTTTTTCCTTTTTCTTTTTGTAGCTCTGCATTCATGTCCTTAGCAGAAAAATTTCCGCTCAAGTCGAGCAATCGCCAAGCTCAAGACAAGGTTGGGATGAACTTGTTGGTTAAAGCACCGCAAGTTCGCATGACAAGCCCAGAGGATGGCACCAGATGGCATGAAGAAGTATCAAGTCAACCAATCTATAACCGAATTTCTGTGGCACTCCATGGACCTGCAGAAAATCAGAGAGGCAGTGAGACATCAGGGATGGAAATGAACTTAGTGGAGGCACATAGCCAGTGTTTGGAGGAAGAATTTGCAGCATCTCAAGATTCTTTTCAATCCTCAGTCACTCAAGCTGCTATAGGAATCCGATCCTACTTGGTGCCCAACTCAGAAGCAGAAGATTCCATCACAGAGTGCCAACCCAACAAGATTCATATGCCTCTTTCAACAAATCAAGAGATGGAGAAAGCGACCACATTTCAGGAATTTTACCAAGTAAATGGAAGTTCAGTATTAACTGATGGATCCAATAATGGGTATATAGAATATGGAAAGCTAAAGAAAAGATCAGACAGAATCGATGATCTCAACGGAACTTCTTCGTTCACCAACCTACTCAATCTTCACAACAGAACAATGCAAGTACCATTTGCTTCTTCCAGCAACAATCAGTTGTATATGTACCCGGATTTTGGAGAACCAGATCCATGTGGATTTGGAACTTTCAGTCAGGAAAGCATATCGTCTTGGCCTCCAACTGCTTCCAGGTTCAACATTGAAAATGGCGAAAAGTGCGAAAGCTTCAGAAATGAAGAGCTGTCAGGAAGTGTTGTTAATGCCTCTGTGCCACATAATATTTTGTGGGGTTCTCAAAATAATTATCAACCAAGTTCGAGCAATGGATGCAATCATCCTTCCTACTACAGTCATCAATGTGAAGGGAACCAAACCTTCCAATTACAAAACAAGTCAGTAAGAGAGACTCCAAAATCTACTGAACTTCTGGGAAAGAAGAGTGGCATGCACCATGCTCGAAATGTCAGTGAGCTTAATAAAAAATCTGTCAATGTCGTCGATAGGATCTCTGTTGTGAATAAGCAAATACACATGGGAAATCAGTCAGATGAATCAAATTTAAAGGAGCAACTACATTCCTATGGCCACCCACATAATGAGACAAGTACAAAGATTTCAAAAGGAAGAAAAGGAAAGGCCGTGCGCAAGGAACAGAATGGAGTTGACTGGGACATGTTGAGAAAGCAGGTGGAGGGCAACGGTAGGAAAAAGGAAAGAAATGAAGACACAATGGACTCACTGGATTATGAAGCACTTAGAAATGCTGATGTGATTGAAATTTCTGATGCGATCAGGAAGCGAGGGATGAACAAAATGCTATCTGATAGAATCCAGGTTCTCTCATATACTGTTCAGTCTAAACACCTCTTATTTGTGATGAAGATCAATATCTCCATGGTTGCAATTTTTTTGTAGGGATTCCTGAACCGACTGGTTAGAGATCATGGAAGCATCGATCTGGAATGGTTAAGAGATGTTCCACCAGACAAAGCGAAGTAAGCCATTCCAAATAATTGATTAGAGTAATGCACTTAAATGCATCAGCAGATTTTGTATGTAGTTCCTACAAATTTTTTCGTGCAGGGATTATTTATTAAGCATACAAGGATTGGGCTTGAAAAGTGTGGAGTGCGTCCGGCTCTTAACCCTGCACCATGTTGCTTTCCCGGTAACAATTTTCTGGCTGCTAATTTGTTATTCTCTGATAAGAGACTCAGAACATCTTACGAACTTAAATTGTATTTCTTTGTTGCTCCATATAAGGTTGACACAAATGTCGGAAGGATAGCAGTACGACTAGGATGGGTTCCCATCCAGCCACTGCCTGAATCACTTCAGCTACACCTAGTGGAACTGTAAGAAATAATGTTTCGAAAACGAATGCTTAAGTTTTCTGGTAGTTCCAAATGCTAAACATATTCCTCTCCAGGTACCCAGTGTTGGAGTCAATTCAAAAGTATCTGTGGCCAAGACTATGCAAACTTGATCAACTAACCCTGTAACCTCATAACTCCCTAAACCGTTCAAGTTGATTTGGGAGCACTATTTTTGTGTGCAAATATTCATGCATGATTTGTTTTATTTAACTTGCGCTTTTTGGCTGCCTACTAAACTACAGGTATGAGCTGCACTACCAGTTGATTACATTCGGAAAGGTATGCATGGAGTTTCATTAGTTACAGTTTACAAACATTATCTGTAATTAATCAAAAATAAAATAAGTGGCTCAAATATTGCTTTGTATGCAGGTTTTCTGCACAAAGAGTAAACCAAATTGCAATGCATGTCCAATGAGAGGAGAGTGCAGACACTTCGCAAGCGCTTTTGCAAGGTTTGACCAATAATCTCTGAAAAATTAAATGTATACTAATGCCACTGTTCAGGCAAATAAACATAGAAGCAATTCATGAGTATCTTCAGATATTTCGAGGCATGGGATTCATGCCTCACTAATTAGCAATCAGAAAGTGTGTAAATAACTTAGACTATGTTTCAGTAATCACATGGAACAATTAAGAGAAGTGAAAAAAATTAAAATTTTATCAAACTTTTTTTAATCTTTTTTGAGGACCTTCCCTATTGAGAGATGTGATAGTATACTAAACTTACACACACTATACGGATGCTAGGACTCGAACCCAGGACCTTTTCTGGGGGAGGAATTGCTCCAAACCACTACACTAGTGGGTCCTTTTCTATATTTATCAAACTTAGTTAAAGAAGAAAATAGCATTAGTGAAACCAATACCAACCATGTTTGGTGCAGTGCTAGACTTGCCCTGCCAAGGCCAGAAGAGAAGAGCATTGTCAGTTCAAGTTCTTCAATTGCAGCCGAGACAAATCCTACTATAGGTGTTACTCCCATGTCACTGCCTCCACCCGAAAACAAATCGCTCCGGAAAGTAGGTACAGAAATTAACAAGTGCGAACCAATCATTGAAGAACCAGCAACGCCAGAACAAGAGTTCACGGAGCTATCACAAAGTGACATTGAGGACTTTCCCTATGAGGATCCTGACGAGATTCCTACCATCACACTCAACGTTAAAGAGCTCAACTCGACAATAAAATACTACGTGCAAGGGAACAGGGAGCTCCGAGAATGCGACACATCCAAGGCTTTAGTTTGTTTGAACCCAGATGCTGCTTATATCCCTGGCCCCGAGCAAAAGTTTGCCACTCGACTACGAACAGAGCACCAAGTGTAAGTATATATATCTTCCCATAGTCGCAAAACCACATATGCTTCTCTATAAGCTGGACTTATATTCAGCTAAAGTAGGGCCTCATTCTAGTTTGAAGTTTCTTACTAATGTCTATGATTGGATCGGTTCGTACTAATGTCTAGAAAAAATAAGTCTTGGTGTCTGTGTCAAACGTAGCAGGCCGACCCGAGCACGCCCTGCTTATGTAAGGTCCGGCACGGCACAGCCCATATCTTTGGACCTAAATACAGAAGTCCTGTCCTGGACCTAAGAACTCTCGGCTTAGGAGCCAGTATGTTCTGAGTTTTGGCATACATGCCTATATACAACCATATGTACATGGACATAATTATGTATTCTCTGTGACACTTCTACATCCTATCGATATGATGCAGGTATGTGCTACCAGATTCACATCCACTCTTGGAACGGGTAAGTCGAAATGTTACACTTTATATCTAGAATATGTAGTGACCTACATGAAGCATTCTTATTCTCAATTAAGCACTATTCAATTTTACAGATGGACAAACGGGAACCAGATGACCCAACCCCATATCTTCTTGCTATATGGGCACCAGGTAAGCTCAAAACAGAACATTGCTGAAACAGTTCGTCTAATATAGAATTCCAAGTAATCTCTCCAAAAGTAACTAAAAAACATGAACTTCGCAGCGGTTAGAAAACTGAGATACATTTTTGAGAATCTTGACATCATATGAATTTAATTAATTTGATTTAATAGAACAAGTTAGCTAATGTGCTAGCAGAGATATGAAGTTAAATATTTTACATTTTTCTTGGTGATACATTTATTCTACATTTCTGTATACTAGGTCAAACTTCGAATTCAGTTCCACAACCAGAAAGCAGGTGTGGCTCCCAGGACAAAAATAAATTGTGCAATGAGAAGACATGCTTTTCATGCAATACTAAAAGAGAAGAAAATTCGCAAACAGTCAGAGGCACAATTTTGGTGAGGAAAATTGAGTGTCATAATATGTCGAAGCAGAAAATAGAGAACCTGCAGTTGTTTACTGAAATTTGATTCAACTTGTAACAGATACCTTGTAGAACAGCAATGAGAGGGAGCTTTCCGCTCAATGGAACATACTTTCAAGTTAATGAGGCAAGTCTTATTCAAACTAATCTCCTTGAAGTTTATCTACTGTGCACAGTCTGGATTAAGTTAATAGCAAACCAGAAAGTACACCTTGTGCGAGTTAGATTAACCACTAGCCTGCACTCATGCAACCCAATTGGTTAAAAAGAGTCTATCTGCCTATCCTAATGAGAAAAGCTGTTGCTACTTCATCCAGTTCTCTAAGCCAGAATATGAGAGCCATTAATTTCCAGATTTATAAAAAAAAGTTCTATCACAATGCAGGTGTTCGCTGATCATGATTCTAGTTACAATCCAATTGATGTTCCAAGGCAGTGGATATGGAATTTGCCAAGACGGACCGCATACTTTGGAGCTTCTGTAATGTCGATATTTAGAGGTAAGAGAAATCTAGATACTTCCCAACTAAAGATGTAAAAGTTAGTTACAATGGAATACATATTGTCTAACAATGAAATTACCTGTCTATCAGGTCTATCAACAGTGGGAATTCAATACTGCTTTTGGAAAGGTATGTGTTTTCAACTTCAGTTCTTATAATGATTTGTCTGCCTAGTTTGATGATAACTCTTTAGGCATAAGTACAGAAATAAGAAGATAACACAAGATCATGAATTTAACTTCCAACAAAAACTACATTGTATTTGGCAACTACAATAAACGTCAACGCAACCTACTTAATTGCTTGCAAATACATCTTGTTCCAGCAATTCTTCTAGTATCAATCACGAGATCATATAAGTCCATTTAGAATATTCAAATATCCCAGTCATAATGTCAATCTAATGGATTTGATCATTTGAGTAACTAAATCATTTGAACATAACATTTAACTGATTAAGCAACTGTCAAGTTCAGACATGGCAAAAGAGGTACACTATTAGAAGTTTTCAGATCTTATGGCTATAAGACCATATGCGTAACTCATGAACATGAGTGGTAAACTATTAGAAGATTAGTTTACACCTGTACATAAATTTACATAAAAGTAAAGATTAGTTATGCTACTTGATTATTAACAAATGGACTGATTTTAAGTGACTAAAAATGTAAATCATAAACTTTTAACAAAGGGCCTGTTTTGTAACCTTTTCTTTTTTAGTTTTTAGTATTCTTTTTTCTTTTTGGGGTTAAGAGATAGAGTATAAGCAGAGAGAATGGATGTGGAAGGGTGGAAAAGGAGTGGTGGTGGGAGGGTGGTGGGAGGAAGATGGAAGAAATGTACACGGGCCCTAATTTGTCTTCATTTGTCCCATACATTTCCCCTCTACATGTCCTACCAAAAACCAAAAGGCTACCAAACAGGCTCTCATCTGTAGTTATAATGTAAAGGAAAACTCATAGGTAGTGCAGTACCTAAAGGATTATTAACAAATTTGAAACATGAACTTGTCGTTGACAAAAGTTTAGCATGAGGTCATTCAACTGACACCTTATTTCGTGGACAAAAGTTGAGTTCCAAAATTATGCAGAAGGTTATTCAACCAAGTTAACTTGCTCTTTGATTTGCAGGATATGTTTGTGTGAGGGGATTTGACCGGAAAACAAGAGGACCAAGACACATAAATCCCACATTGCACATGACTACAAGTGAGTTGACCAAGACTAAAAAGGAAGAAAAAAGATAAACAGATCATGGTGCAGAGAAGATTTTGATCAGAAACACAGAAGATTACTGACTGTTTGAGAAGAACAATGACTAAGAAATCCTAGCATCTTCAATTGTTCTTCCTTTAGCATGAGATGCTGTCACTATATGTTCAGATGGGCAGCAGAAAGTGGTTTTCAAACATAAAATGTGAGATCTCGTGACAGGTTGATTGTTGTCTATCCAGAATTATAAATTACTATTTTCAATAAATGAACTGATTATGTGTGGGTTATTTGCTCCTCTCCACCAAGATGCTCAAAATACTAAGCATCTATGACCTAAATCTTAGATGTCCAAGGTTGTCAAGTTTATGAACAAGTTACAAGTAATATTCAAACCATACTGAATCTCAACAAGTTAAAAGGTCTGAAAGCATGTAGAACATGTTTAATATCATTTGAATCATAGTCATTATAAACATGAAGTTTATGGATAAATGAGATGTTTATGGTTGGTTCTATTGCTGAAAAATTTTCTGTCATAATTTGACTAGTAAGAAATATATTATAAATAAATATTATGAATTGCAGATGATTGATAAGTTAAGGAGTGTGATTTTCATGGAAAGATACCTCTTGATAAAAAGGTTACATAGATTAACCAAAAGATGTTATCTCCATGGAAAGGTACCTCTTCGTATAGAGGTTCTAAGTACGAATTTAAATGATATAACTTCCATGGAAGGAACTCTTTAATGAATTGGTATGTCCATGATGAAGTGATAATAGGTGGAGGTACATAACCACCTAGCAAAAGACACATATGGTTCTCTGTTTATAGAGAATGTATCTTGCAAAGTTTTATATAATGATTTGATTTATATTTTGATTAATATTAGAAGCAAAGTTTAATGCATATCATGGTTATTATTTTTAAGTTATGTTATTTATTGAAATATTTTAATTAATGTTATATATGTGATATGCATGGCATGGAGAATGCAAAATTATTTTACAAAGGAATAGACTAATGTAATCCTAGCACGAGTTAAATTGCATAAGATAATAAAAGTGCTAAATGAAATTGATTTGGAAACCAAGGATTAGTTCTATTGAAATCAATCAACTTTAAATGAATATTGGAAATGCAAAGGAGTTATTGCATAGTACATGAATGTCTAAAGTTTTGACTATGGATTGGAAAGGGTACTCAATCTTGATAAAGATGAGTAGGACATCTAATAAAGAAGAATATGACATAGTACTAGTTAAAATGTCAAGGTTTAATTCAAATCATGTTACTAGACGAATCCTTGGAGGATAAACAAAGAAAGATCCTTGATAACATGAATTGTCAAAATTATATTGCCAAGTGAATAAAATGGCAAGGAAATTGAATAAAAAATATAACTATGTAAAAATATCAAGAATATCATATAAATTAGAATTTAACTTTGTAAGTAAGTTATACTTGTATGATATCGAAGTGGGTGAGTATTTACTCTTAATAGACATGATTGAAAGTACTTAGTTACAAGGGTACTACATGTTTACCTATATGAGTGTAGAGGGTGGTGCTGCCTTCTATGTGACTTAGGACTAGTCACTAAAGCACTTACAAACATGGATATAGACACCAAGCCAATTCACGTGTCAGTTATTTAAACACACCTAGGGGTTTAAAGAGTTGTATGTGAGATGTATCCGGTTAATCACAACAAGAATGCAAGTTCAAAATTTATCTACTTAGCATTACTTGACTAATTTTGAAATGTTTTCACTAACCTAAGATTCAAAGTCCACAAGAAATCTTAGTTTATTTCAAGGAATTGCTCAAGAAATTTTCTAAACTTGTTTTCAAAAGCATTTAAAAGTTATACGTAAAGTTTTGTTTTGAAATTTTGAAAATGGTGGAGGATTGTTGGAGAATTTTCAAAAATATAAGGTAGGTGACTGATCGACTGGTCGTTTCAAGCAGAAACTTCAGTTAGTTGTCTCGGTAAAAAGCAACCAGTCGTCAAGGAAAAACGACCAGTCGTTTGACAGAGAATTTGTGTTTTTGAAGCACCTCTTCAGTCATGTGGTGTGCCTCTTGATGCTTAAGTGTTTGAATCATATATATGAACGTTAGAAACACTTTATATTATGATTTAAACATAAAGACACATTCTTTCATAAAGGGAAGTGTTCTCCTTGAAGTAGTACTTCTTGATAAAGAGGTACAATTCAAAAGCTGTATATTTTCTGAATTAGGAGTTAAACCAATTCAGAAAAGACATCAATTCCCCTATAATAGATATGGTTATACTGCAACAAATACATGAAGTTATATCCAAGACATATAGGAAAGATATAAAGATCAAAGTTCAATTCCAACTATTCTCCATCTAGTTTCACAAAGTAAAACTTCTAGAGGCTATTTTCTGCAGAATTAGGCTCTAGGTATCTTCAATATCCTTGTTACAATTCTAAAGTGTGTTTGGGGTTATCTTTGGTTCTGCAAGACATTGACAACATATAGTTTAGGCTAGGCTTCATTGTATCCACATGGCTTATTTGCTTAACATCTTTGAACAGAAGTTGTAAGGGCAAATAAAGTCTGAAAGATAGTATATTCATACACACCTTGAAGCATCTTTTATCCTCTCATTATCATTCCTTCTTAAACACTTCTTCCGTAAGCCATTACCACAAGATTTGTAAACACAAATTTCCAACAGAAGAAACCTGTTCAAGCTTATGTTACTACTTTATCGACAATGGAGAGCATTAGAGATTATTCGAATAGTTATTTTGTTAAAGCTAGTATACCTCAAATGAAATCCTACCTCCAAGAACTATCCTGAAGTCATAGAAATTCATAGAAACCAAAAGTCAGCTTCTTGTGAAACCAACTTCAAAGCCAACTAGAGAAATCTCACTTACAGAGAGAACAATATGCAAAAACCTAAACAAAGACACCCCGTTGAGCAAATTTAGACTAGAGGATGAAAACTATAACTAGAGATTATGCCTTGTTAATATGAATGTCACAAAACGTGTTGCAAGAATTCTAAGTGCTCTGGTATCTAACATCATTTGAGAAACTTCAAATCATTATGTAAAGCTCATAATAGAAGCTTTCAGCATTTAAATGATACCTTATGAGAAGACATCAGTTTTATCAAAATCTTCTTCCAATTAATTAGACACATACAATTAATCAAAGATCATATTAGAACATTTCTAATTTAAAACCACGGAATGGACGTTACAAGAATTAGAAACCTCCCAATAATGAAAATAGCTATAAGAAACTAAGATAATCTAAAATTAAAACATCATTCTGCAAAAACTTTTAGCCATAGTAATTGTTTGTGGGTAAAATTACCCTAAGGTTGAGCTTTATATGGATTGGAATTCTGTTCAGAGATGGACTTCTACTCCCAGGCTAATTAGGAAGCCTACTTCTACAAGGATTTGATTATCTCCAAGCTATTATATAAAGACAACTCTCAAACTTGAGAGGGGTTTCAGGACGCTTCTCTCTCGCATCCACTCGCGAGAACTCAACCCTACTATATCAATATTTGATCTCGTTTATCATAATTATGAGTGTTATGGGTGTAATTGGGATATGGGTTGTGAGGATCAAATACTTTGTACCTTTGTACTTCTTCATTCAATAGTGAAAATACCCAACAACTCGTGGACATAGCCCAATTATGGGTGAACCAAGTAAATCTCTTGTGTCTCTTGATTGCATATTCTTACTCAATTTCTATTTACAAGTGCAATCCCTAAGCATTAGAACTCATTTTAGGGGACGACCTGCTTGGTCATGCCAACTTGGTTTGGAAGGATTGTCGACTCGATCTTGAAGAGGTCATTTTCTGTTGAATCAATTTTAGGCATTGACAGTAACCTAGAACACACAAAACCAAATATTTCATGCATAACTTAACTATTCAAATTAGATAATAGGATCATATGTATGTCATCAAAGAGACCT